GGATGGCGCTCTTACAGAACACGCCGGCGTGAGCCAGACAGCATAGCTAGAACTTTTTAAAAGTCCGTGCCGTCAGCCTCAACGGCTGCTCTGTGGAACCAAGGGGCTGGTGCTGAGCCGGGCGAGGCCCCGCCTGCCTTGCCACCTGGAGGGAGCAGTGCCAGCAGCTGGGCACCGCGGCGCCGCCTACAGCCTCCCCTTGTTTCTGGTCTTTCCTGTGTGGGGGCCATCTAGGCACCTCTCGCCTGGTTCCCCTGCCGACTCACCTGATGGCCCAAGAGCTCTTCCGTCCACCTGGCGCTTCAAGGCCTCTCCTCAGCCAAGGCGCGGATGCCGCGTGCTGGGGACCCGGGAGGACTCCTCTCCACGGGGAGCCCCAATCAGATGCGTCTTGGCCTCAGGTCCCAGGCAGCTGGCCAGCAAAGGCCGGAAACGCTCCAAACAGGCTCCTTCCTCCAAACAACTGAGGGGAGGGAGGCCCTCCGAGAGGCCATTTTATATTATAGTGATAGCCCGGCGACAGCCTTTGCTGTGGAGGGATGAGGGATGGTGGCGAGAGAAGCACTTTTGAGGGGTGAACCAAGAAAGCCTCCTTCTGCATGAATGGGCTTGTTAAAGCCCGACAGCCCGAGAGCTCGCCTTCTGCCGAATCCCAGGCGGGTATATGAGGAGTTCCTTTGCTGGGACACGAAGCTGTGTTGTTGGCAACTGTGATATCTGAGCCTGACCTTCAGAAGGAGGTTAAAAATAGTGTTGTCCTGGCAAAGCCATTCTCCATCTGTGTGTGTGTGTGTGTGTGTACACACATGCATGCATGTTTATGCACTAGCTTCTTAAGAGGCAGAGGCAAATAGCATCCCCACCTGGTGCTTCTTGGGGGCAGACATGGCGGACACAAGGGGAGAGACCATTCTTTGTCTCAAGTGGAATGGCCTCACCTGCTTTCCTGTTACTTGCTGATTCCAGCCAGGGAGTTGCAACTGGAAAACAACTTTTGTAGTGAACTGGGGAGGAGGTATGGGGTGGTTTTGACTTTTTGAAACCTGCTCAGGATCAGAGCTCCTCTGGCACCGTTCTTACTTTCTGTTCTTGAGCTTCAACCTCGTGCTGGGGTGGGAGGGCCCACAGGGACGCCACGGTGCGGTCATTTGCCTTAGATTACTCATTAAAATAGGCATGGGGTTTAGGGTCACTCTGCACGGGCGTTACTGTGCTTGCTGAGTTTTATCTGTCCTCGCAGTCAGGAGTGGTCGTCTTGTTATCCCAGTTAACGGGTAAGGAAGTTGTGTGGCTAAGTGGGTACCTGGCAGGGCCTGGCCCCCAGCCCTGGTGGTCCTGGGGGGAGGGGGGCACTGCCTCCCCCACCGCCCTTTCTCTTCACATCCTGCCTCAGTAGGAAGCCTTGCAGCAGTGAGCTGAAGGGGTGTCCGGGCCCCCCTTTTCTCAGCGACCTGCACACTTTCTTCTTAAGCCAGAGGTCCCCCCATCAGTCAGTGCCTCAGACCAGAGGTTCGGAACGGGGCGCAGGAGCACGTCAGTAACGGAGCTCTGTGGTACCCACCGGAGTCCTGCCCTCCCTCACCAGGGAAGCCGTGTGCTGTGAAATCCCCACAGCCTGTACTCCCGCTGGTGCCAGGCTTCCTCTCCTGGGGAGAGGGTGCGGTCCCTGGCTGTCAGGAGCGCAATGCCGAGTGCAGGCTGAAAGGAGTCCTGTGACCGGCTCTTTGACACAAGGCTCAGATCCCACCCTGGGTGTTTCCCCTCACCCTCAAACCCTCTCAGCACAGTGGATCTCTGACCAGAGGTCCTGGCTCCAGCTTCTCCCCCCTCCCCCATTGTCCTCTTGATCTCCCAGAGGTGTCTGCCAGTCAGAGTGGGTGCCAGACCCGGGTGGGAGTGAAGGGAGCCTCAGAATGGAATCCCAGAGCCTTGTACTGTTTCACCCCTGAACCCCTTTCAGGGACTGCCCACAAGGGCAGCAAAGAGGAGGGCCAAACCCCAAATTATCCTTCACCAGCCCAGCCTAAAGAGGAGCAGAGCAAACACTCTAAAAGAGATCTTGAGAGTGCCCACTGCTTCCCACTTGTTGCAGGGATAAATGCTCACGATGCCTGAGCGTTGGGGACCCGACAGAGTAGTTGAGAGCCCTGCCTCTGGGTTCAGGCAGATCTGGGTTCAAATCCTGCTCCGCTGTCCTACCACCTGTGTAACCTCGCGCAGGTCACTTCACCTCTGTGCTTCAGTTAGCCTTCTATGAAGTGGCGGATTAGTGCCTGTAGATGGGCTTGTAGTGAGTATTAAATGAAATAGTGATGTCAGGTGTCTTATCACGGGCCTGGCACGTCATTGGTGCTCAGTAAACATGACTGAGGCCCAGAAGGACTGAGTGGCTTGCCTCAGGTGCTCAGCCTCTCCGTCTGCCAACCTCTCCTCATAAGGGAGCTTCTTTCTAACTTCTGGGCAGTTGCACAGAAGACTTCCACAGGCTGTGGAGGCCCCAGAGTCACTGACTCAGCCAGAGTTCTGAGCACCAGCTGCTGAGAAGCCGGAGGCCGTTGCAGGCCCCGTTAGGAGGCAGCCATGTTAGGGGGAGGCCGAGGAGGCCCTGGCGGATTGTCAGTGGCCGTGTTTGTAAGGCTGAGGAGGACTGAGGGCAGTGGGGCCCAGAGGCGGCGGGGTGGTGAGGGGCGTCTGGGGTACTGACCTTGCTGCTGTGGGTCTGGGGTCCCCTCCTGAGGCTCCAAGCGCCTGCCCTCAGGGTCACAGCATTCATGGTCTCTGAGGCCCAGGGGCTGCCTGGTCACACTGTGTTTGTGAGGAGACCCTCATCCCCTGCAGAGTCTGGACCAAGCGAAGGCGCCTCCAGCCCCCCCGCCGCCCCCCGCCCCAGCTCCCTCTGAGGCTGCAGCCCTCCTGCCTGCTGGGCCTCCCGCAGTGGGAGTCAGTGAGGCCTCTCCGTGGCCCCAGCCAGCTGCCCCTTTCACCCCCACTGCCTCCCAGGATTACTCAGCCTTCACAGCGTCTGTCACTAAGATGCTGAGTGCATTCTTGATGTCCTCTCTTCAGGAACGGCTTGGGCCCTGTGGCCTTTTAAGAAAGGCTCGGTGCCTGGGTTAAGCCTCTGATTGTGGTTCAGCGTGAAGAAACCATAAGCCAGAGGAAAAGTGATGGTTCAGCTTTGGTCTCGGAGCTCTGTGTCAGCGTCCGCTTGAGTCCCGGGGCTTGGTATTGATCGTGGGCCATACAGACAGGTGGAGAAACTGTCCTTTCCCTCTGATTTCTGCATAGATTATTCAAAGTAGGAAAAAGTACGAGGAACCTCTTACCTTGCAGTCTTTAAGTCCTGGTCTCTGCTCACAGGTTTGTCTCCTGGACTCAGGGGCCTTCGGCAAGGTCTCCGATGCAACTTCTTCCTTCAGGCCAGGATCCCCAGTCCCTGGAAATCTTGTTTTTTCCACCAGGGCCAGGAGCTCAAGAGTGATATCCAGGTTTTTAGGCTAATCGCTGGGGAAGCCTGAACATGTTCTGAAAGGTTATAAGTGGTCATACCAGTGTCAGGGGATCTGCCTGATCCAGGGAGGGGAGAGGGCTAGGCTGGACCGACTGGTGCCCGACCTCAGCCTCTCTGTTGAGCCAGAGCTGAGTCAGTTGTTCCGGGGCGGTGCTGACTGCCACTTGACTGATGGTCAGCAGCCATTTCCTCATCCTTGGTCCCAGGATCAGAGTTTGGTTTTCCCTCCTCTCCAGGGGCTCAGGCAGCCCAGGAACTGGGTGGTAAATGTCTCTTCCGTCACTTCTATAGGAGCAGCCTCTGAACAGGTGCAGCACACCTTCTGAGGGCTGAGCTGAGGGAGCCTGGCCTTGCTGGGATGGGGTTTGGGCACCACTTTGCCTCCCCTTTCCCTTCCTAAACCCGACAGCACGTGGAAGGTTGTCTTCACTGCCACGTTCTGTTTGTCCCCTGCCCCCGCCAGAGGTGGCGGCATTCCTGGCGCTTATTTTCCTGCATTGGAGTTTGCCTTCTGCCTTGAAGTGGAGTGAGGTGGATTGCAGGACGGCAGACCTGTGGCCAAGGCCCACTCTGGCGGCAGCGATGCAGTGCCACCTCCTGGCCAGAGAACACAGCCTGGCTTCCTGCTCCTGCAGCACAGTTGCTGAACGGTTCATCTAAAAATAAAAGGAACTTCAAAAAGATTTTCCAAAGCCTGTTTCTGGTTGATCCTGTAATACCTATAGCTTTTTGTATCAGCTTGACCTTTCTGGGGCTGCTTTACCAAGCCTCCGATTAAGATGGCTTTGTATTTCCAAAGCCCAAATTGTCAAGGCAGGGCTTAGCAGTTACAGTCTAGAAGCAGGGACGTTGACCCAGAACCCAGTGCTGGATGTATGTGTCCCAAGAGAGTGACCTTCTTGTGGTCTTGGAGGAGAGGGAGTGGTAAGGAAAGTGGCTGGAATGTGGGAAGGACACAGGGGTGTGAACAAAGCATGTTCACATGAGACTGAAGCCGTTCTGCTTTCTAGTCTGGGCTTAGTGCTGCCAACTGATCAGGCATTGAAGGAAGCTGACCCAAAACAGGACAGAAGCTCTGCTAACTTGAAGGGGTCTAGCTCACTCCCTTCTCTAGAATGGGTAGTCTGGGAACTGGTGGTAGGGAGGATATTTGGTTTTGTGAATTCATCTTGAGGGTTTCCTTGGTGTGCTATTATCAAAGTGGATTCTGTACCTGGCCCCATCTTTCAGTGCCCCTTCCCCCACTGTGCAATTAAGAGCAAATTTTATGCAGCTCATTTCCCAAACCAGGGACTGGGGATTCCTGTGTTTCTACTTTACAGAGATGTTGGAATAAACATGTACATTTCACTGGTGACTGTATTTGGTTGTTCACCTGGCCCGTACCATGTGCCCCAGTGGAGCTTACAGACTAGAAGGAATACAGCGTGGGAAGTGGGCATCCATGGATACCCTGTAGCTAACGCCTCTGTCATTCCCTCCTCTCTAGGCCTGGTGTCCAAGTCCTCTCCTAAGAAGCCGCGTGGCCGTAACATCTTCAAGGCCCTCTTCTGCTGTTTTCGTGCCCAGCATGTTGGCCAGTCAACCTCCTCCACTGAGCTCTCCCCCTACAAGGAGGAAGCCAACACCATTGCGAAGGTAGCTGGATCCAAGGTGGTGCGATGCCAGCAAGGACGGGACTGCCGTGGGCAAGTCAGGGTCACTGTAACCACAGCAGGAGGGCAGGCCAGCCTTGCCTTCGTCCGAAGATCTCTGGCCCAGAGGAGGCCCTTCCTCTCTCCTTCCCATCATGGGACATCCTCCTATTGATTCCCATTTGTGGTGTGCGCCACCTGGATGTCCCTGTGGTTTCTGAGGGCCCCTGTAATCCACATTCTTCCAAGTTCCTGGAACTGTGCAAGGCACTTTGCATATGTTGTCTCATATGACCCATAGCAGCCTTGCAGATAGACAAGGATTTCAGTTCACAGACATGAAAACTGAAACTTAGAGAGTATATGTAGCCCCTGAAGAGTTATTGGTTAGTAAATGGTAGTATCAGGATTTGGACTCACATCTCTCTGGCTTTAAGTCCTGTGACTGTTGTTTTTATTTTTAACTAAGCAAAGACCACCTACAAGTTACCTTTCAAGGAACTTTCAGGGAACCAAGGAATTGAGATTCTGTCACATTTCTTGATAACCCCTTGCAGGACTCTGAGCTGTACCTGTTAGAGGCATTTGGAAATATGTAGGGTGTCTTTGATTCTCATAATTACCAGAAGATATATCCGGTATCTCAGAGGTGGGGACAGAAATTCTTCTTTCCCCCTAGGCCATTGGTATTTCTTTCTGAACCGCCAAGTTTTAGCTGTCCTTCTCTTTCAAAGCCAGGCTATAGACATGTACTTCACTATCCGAAACAGGGAAATGGTTAAATGAAGTACAAGGTGACAGTATTAGCTGAACTATTAGCTTTTACTAAGAGTTCACAGCAATGTGGAAGTGTTGAGTTGCAACTTTAAGTCAAAAAGCAGAAAGCAAAATTACCCATTACGAGGGGGAAAGACTGCTAAAACAAGCTTGAAGGAAATGCAGTAAAATGCCAACATTGTTTCTCTTAAGTGCTAGGATTTTCATTTTCTTCGGGGTTTCCATTAAGATCCCTTGCTTGCTTGCTACAGCCATAACATTTTTATTATTAGCCAAAGGCAGAAACAACATTTCTGATCTCTGCAGTCTATCTCCCTTCACATTTTAGGACCACAGCGTGGGCTCACATCGGCTTGCTTGTGTTGTGTCGAGGCTCAGTGCGCGCACACACGCACCCGCCGTCTATGCCCCCACGGAGAACATAGGAAAAGGACCGGTTCTCAAGGAAAAGCCTGGGTTTCTGGACTGAGCAAGAGGCTAGGCCCCTGTAGGGAGGGGTTCTGACTGTGCAGCGGCGTCAGCTGCGTCGGTTCCCAGTTCCTCTGAGAGGCAGTGGCAGGCAAGCTCAGGGACCCTGCCTTCTCCACCCTGCGTCAGGCCTCCTGGGGAAGGGAGACTTCGGCCACTTTCCTGCCCAGCTCTGAAGGACAGTCACTTTTGTTATGTCAGGGTTTTCCAGGGGGCTGGGATCTCGGGGAGGAGACTCCCCTGCAAGGCTGCGTGGGCTTCAGACGCCAGGAGAGGCACCGGCGGCCGGCGCTGACCCCCTCTCTCCCCCGCAGGCAGACCTGCTGCAGTGCCTCCAGTACCAGTTTTACCAGGTGAGTGCAGCCCGCGGGGTGTGCTCGGGCGCCCCGAGGCCCGGCCATCCCTGCTAACCCATGTGCTGATGTCCTGGGGCCTCTAGTCTTGCTGGCTAGATCCCCACCTGGGAGTTGTTTGTCCCAGACATTGGCTGAAGGCCCACGATGCGCAAGGCATTAGATCGTGGAGGGGACAGCCGGCCTCCACCTCCAGTATCCGGATCACTGCACAGGCCCTGGGGAGGCGGAAGCAGGGAGTCCATCTCTGCTTGTTCTCCTCTTGGTCTTCTCGCGTCACCTCTCGGGTTGAGGTGGGGGGCATCTTCCGTCTCCTCAGTGGGCCCAGCTCTGCCCAGAGTTCTGTTGAGGGAAATTAATCTTTCTTGGTGGCAGATTCAGCACCTTGGCTCTGGTTTTAGATTCCAGGGACTTGCTTGCTCCCAGAGGTGACAGAGGAAGATCAGGGAAGAATCTGCGTGGTCATTGACTTGGATGAAACCCTCGTGCATAGTTCCTTTAAGGTAACGTGACCTCTGGAGCCCTTCCTCACCCGTCCCGGGCTGTCCTGGGAACCTGACTCAGGTGCCGTGAATTGGCCTCAAGTTGATGCTGGAGGAGTGATCAGAGATGGGAGGCCCGGCCTCTGGGATGTGGCCACACTGGCATCGCAGAACCTGGCGGCCGCTCCAGAGCACATTGAGCAGGAGCTGCTGCTCCCTCTGGTCACTGCCGACAGGCCGCATCCGCCCCGTGTCCCAGCACAGGCGCCCGGGGCTCTGTACAGGACAGGCCCGGAGGAGAGCTGCGGGCCGGGAGTCGGCCTTGGGCCTTGTCCCCGCCTGCCTTGTCAGGACGTCTGTTAACAGGGCCCAGAGACTCTCAGCTCAGGTAGAATTTGCAGGTGGTGGTGGTAGGTAGGGAAAAGCAGAAGGGATACTGCAGCCTGTACTGGGCCGAGAGCCACTGGTGGGGCGGCAGGCGCTTCCTGGAGCCTCCGAGATCTGACCCCCCCCCTCCTCCCAAGGGACGGGCCTTGGCCAGGACTGGGGTGTGGCTGGGCTTCCTGTCCCTTCTCTTGAGCTGACTCATTAACTCCTCTGCCTTTCAGCCGATCAACAACGCTGACTTCATAGTGCCTGTAGAGATCGAAGGGACCACTCACCAGGTAAGTGCTGCCGGGCCCAGGGGCCCAGGGTCCTCTGTGCCTCAGGGCTTGTGTTCCGGCAGCTGATCCTTTCCTGTGACTTCAGTCTCTCCATTGTTATTGGTACCTTGAACACTGAAGGCTTTCTCATCTTAAAAAGTTCAGCCCCCCAGTCACCTCAAGCTGCCATTTTTATTCTCCTTGCAGCCAAACTTTTCAAAAAACAAGTACTATTTAATAATAGTAATAGCTATCATTTTCTTACCTGCCCTGCCCCCACTGAATGTGACCAGTACTGTTAACGCTTTATTACATTTTCTCTGATCTGAAGAGTTGGTGTCTCTGCCTGTTACAGGCAAGGAAGCCAGTACTGGCTATGTTTTCTTTCCTCCCCTGCCCACCCGCTCCATCTAGCTGGTGAATTTTCTTCCTTCCCAGCTCAGGCATCTCCTCCTCTGTATCTCTTTATGCAGCTCCCTCCCCTTGGGTCCCTACACTGGATTCTGACACAATAAATGCTCAGTACACATCTATCAAAAAACAGTTGATTCCAAGTCAGAGCAGACTCTGGGCCTGTATAACCTGCTCAGTCCAGGGTTAAGGGTCTGTGGTGTTGCTGGTCAGACAGAAGAGTTACTTGTAGGGAAATGGGGCTTGAGGCTCCCATGGGCGGTCGCCACTCTCCTGTGCCCATTAAAAGTTCTCTTCTCCCCGCTGCCCTCCTCCCAGCTGAGGTGCTCCGCCAGGCCTAGTGCCGGGCTCTGAGTGGCAGCCCTTCATAGTCTGCTTGAGGGCTTCCTTGCCGGCTCGGATGGTGAAGAAGGCAGGAGACCCGAGTTCAACCTTTTGGGTTGGGAAGATCCCCTGGAGAAGGGAACAGCAACCCACTCCAGTATTCTTGCCTGGAGAATCCCCACTAGAGAATCCTCTAACTCCCCCAGGGATAGGGGAGCCTGGTGGGCTGCAAGTCCAGGGGGTTGCAAAGAGTTGGCACCACTGAGCGACACACTTGGGTGTATCGAGATGCACAAAACTCAGAGGAGACAGGGCGCGTCTTCAGACAGACAGACACGGTGAGCTCCTGGCCAACAAGGAGAGGTGTGAATGACGGAAAAGGACGAGATTTAAATGATTGGGGGTGGCGGTGGTAGTGGGGCGTCTACGTGCAGAAGTTGGGTTTCCAGCAAAGAGTGGTGAGAGGATGCCAAGCTTGATGAATAACCAGGAAGAAGAGAGGACCTGTTAAAGGTTAAAGAAATGACAAATGAGAGGCCCAGTTGTGGCTGCCTGGAGCAGAGAGTTCCTGTTGCAGAGCTGGGAGGGTCTGGTGAGTGATGGCCAGTCCAGGACACCTCCAGGGGGAAGAGTCATAGAGGCACACGCTCCTGAGCTGGGAGAGGCCTGGGTCAAAAGAGCTTTGAAGGGATGATTCTAGGAGCACCTATGTAGGCTGGATGACAGGAGAACACCTGGATGGGGGCAGGGACACAGACCCACGAGGGACAGGCACCCGGGACGCGTCCTGGCCATGCTGTGCGGGCTGATGAGAGGACACCAGGGGTGGGCTGGCTGGCAGGAGCAGGCACAAAGTGGGTGGGAATCACAAGGGCATGGTGCTACGGGGTATTGGATCTGTGGTCACGAGAGGGGAACAGGCCACTTTTCCCCTGGTGCATTTCAGAGAAGCTCTGCAAGGGAGGGCTTGAGGTTAGGAAAGATCTGCGACCTTGCCTGACGGGGACCTGGACTGACTATCCTGCCAGAACCAAGGATAGGAAACTCCTGCCGAGGCTGTGGCTGGATTCAAGTAATCCAGGATAGGCTGTTTCCATCCGTGAGGCCTATTCTTGATTACTTGTTTCTGGAGGCAGCTGATGGTTCACCGCCGGAAAGAGATGGCTCCTGGGACCTGAGGTGTTTTTGTTTCTTTTTGAGCTGGGTCAAGGTTGGGATCACCAAGCCGCCAGGAGCTTGGTGAGGAGCTGATGCTAGCGCCCCGGCCTGTGGGGCAGCAGGCTGCTGGCCAGCTGGTCCAGAGGCGGGGTCGTGGGAGCATGGACTGCGCCAGTTCTGCGCCTGCTTGTGCGAGTGATGATGGGGCCTGCCGCGGTGCAGCGCCCCCCGCACAGGGTCTCCAGCAGTCCGCTCTGCTGCTCCTCAGGTGTATGTGCTCAAGAGGCCGTATGTGGACGAGTTCCTGAGGCGGATGGGGGAGCTCTTCGAATGTGTCCTCTTCACCGCCAGCCTGGCCAAGGTATTGGGGGCAAGGGGGCGGGGGGCGAGGGACCAGGAGCAGGTGTGGCAGCTCCGCAGGAGGCCCCGGGGAAGCCAGGACCACGTCCAAACAGAAAGCTGCCTCTCTCCTCCCAGTATGCCGACCCCGTGACGGATCTGCTGGACCGGTGTGGGGTGTTCCGGGCCCGCCTGTTCCGTGAGTCCTGTGTGTTCCACCAGGGCTGCTACGTCAAGGACCTCAGCCGCCTGGGAAGGGACCTGCGGAAAACCCTCATTCTGGACAACTCGCCTGCTTCCTACATTTTCCACCCGGAGAATGCAGTGAGTGGCCCATACACCCGAGCGGCAGGGCTCGGCAGAGCCCCTGTCCTGGGAGGGGAGGGGCGGAGAGGCAGGGGGAGCTGTGGGCTTTACCGGAGCAGTGCAGCAGCCCGGGTGAATGGGCCGAGCTCCAGGGGCTCCGGGACAGGAGACTCAGGCCGCCCGCTCCCTCCCCAGGTGCCCGTGCAGTCCTGGTTTGACGACATGGCGGACACTGAGTTGCTTAACCTGATCCCGATCTTTGAGGAGCTGAGCGGAGCCGAGGACGTCTACACCAGCCTGGGGCAGCTGCGGGCCCCTTAGCCTTCCCCGCTGCCAGCCGCGGCCGTCCCAGCAGGGGCTTTCCTCACTGTGCCTTCACGATCAGCCTGACAGAGTGGAAGCGGGAGCGTCTGGCCAGATGCGGCCTGGACATGGACGTGATTGGAAAGAGCTTTAGGACAGGTTAGATGCCGAGTGGGCAGACAGCAGACCAGCGATAAACACCCAGAGCTCCCTGCTGTCTGCGTTGGGTTCCTGAGATGTGAGTGAGAGTTTGTGCGCGCGCGCGTGCGTGCATGTGTGTGTGTGTGTGTGTCTTGCCTTGAACTGTAGCCCCAGGATACACGCGTTTCCGGTTGGGGGAGAAGCTGAAGGATCGAGAGTCTCCTGGAGTTAGTCTGTCTCCTGCCTTCGCCCTGAGAGCCCCCAGGCTCTGCAGGCTTGAAGACTGCTGAAGGCTCCGTTGCCAAACCTGTGGCCTTTCCTCAGTGTTGTAAGGTTTATGCCAAGGAGAGAATGGGGTCAGGGGCTGCCTTCGGGTGCCCCAGGCATGCATCTTTCTGAAGCCTTTCTCTTGCCAGCTGCTGCAGAGAAGCGACATTTCTGGGAAGATGAAAGCTTGTGTCCAGAGCTGGTAGCTCCAGTGGCCATCAAGTCCTGTGGCCCGACAGCTGCCCTGGCCTCCAGCGGAGTGCCTGACTCGGGTCCTGTCTGCGTCTCCCAAGGCCTGGGCACCAGGCCTGCCTTCCTCGCCACCTAGCCATAGTCTTGAACCTGTGGGGAAGGAGGTCTTCTCCCTGCCCTGGAAGAGGACAGATAACTGATTTCCGTTGACTCTGTTTTAAAATTCTCTTTCTAAATACAGTGTTGGGCTGTTTTGTTTCTGACAGAGCTGCAGTCCTGGGTCTGGGTGACAGTGGGAGGCCCCAGGGGTGCGGGGACGAGCGGGAGAGTGTGTCCGCGCGGCCTGTAGGTCAGCAGGGCCCGGGCCTGTGACTCCGTCTGCTCTTCAGGGAATCTGCTGGTGCTGCCACAGGACTGTCCCCGGGTCCCACCCCCCTGTGTCCTGGGCAGGGCTCTCTCCTCTCGTGTCTTCCCCCAGGGCCTGGCCTGTGCCGAGTGTCTTCTTCCTTCCTGGCTGGCTGGGGTTCTCTGCAGAGCCCCAGGCACGCCTGCGTTTCCTGGGCGGAGGGGCTGGGTGTTCTCTGCGCTTAGTTTGCTGACGAAACACACGTGCGCCCTGCCAACAGCAACAGGTGTGCCTGAGCGCTCCACGCGCCTGTGCTTGGCAAGTCTCTCTGCCTTCAAAGTTTCTTAATAGTGAAATGCTTTAAAAAAAGCCACAAAAAGAAAGTTTCCCCAGGATGGAAAACAAAAGGGGAAGAGCTGCTGTAACTGGGAGCACAAGGGGCCCCCCAGAGGGAGCCCCGCCTCAGCATCACTGCCTTAACCGTGGCCGCCCCTCCCTCCTTCAGGTGGGAGTTCCTGTCACCCCCACCCCCTTTTCCCTGGAGGCAGGTGTCGCCAAGCGTTTGTAAGTTGCTTCAGGTGCGAGAACTCTGCCCACTCAGGACTCACCCCCATTACCCCTTCCGGTTTCCACACACTGGGCCAGTCTGAGGAGCTCATCAGGACCGGGCAGCGGAACAGCAGCTCAGGGTTCTGGCTGCCCAGGGTCCTCCGGCATCGTGACCCCCCCGCCCCGCTGCAAGGTCGTCAGGCCTTCTCTTCCGCTTTGGCGTCACGTGAGTGGAGTAGGGCCCCCAGGCGTGTGTGGTCAGTTCCCCAGCAGCATTTCCTGGTGCCTGTGGGGTCCTGCTCCATGCAGGTGGGGAAAGAGGGCTCCAGGGCTGGCCAGGAAGGACATCTCCTGAGGGAGTAGGAGCTTCTGATTCCAAGCCCCTGGCCTAAGCCTCTCCTGGTATCACAGGGGGGCCTCTCTCCTAAGCCCCACTCAAAGCGTTAGCCCTCGGGCCAAATCTGCCATGGCGTCCAGCCAAGCTTTTTTGACTAAACAAGCAATAAGAGTCTCTAGGCTGACCGAGTTCCAAGGACCCTTTCTGCCCTCCTTTGGGTCACCTGGTCTCTAGGAAGAGCCAGTGCCACCCACTTTCCTGTCAGGCTTGTCTGAGTGCTCCGAGGGGTCATGACCAGGGCCCAGGATGACCTGGGAGTGCCCGCTACTTCTGCATGAAGCCCAGCTCCGCAGGCCTGTCTTACCAGACCCCTGCCCCGCCCCTGCGGTTCCTTACCAGAAATGCTGCACCCCTACGCCCCCTCCTCCCTTCCCTGGAGAGGTAGCTCAGCCAAATATAAGTCTAAGCGGGGTCCATCCGTGTGGACCAGGGCCAGCCTGAAGTCGTTAGGTGCTTCCTGGTCTCCAGTTTCAGTGTGTTAGGGGCAAGAGAGGATTGCAAAACTTGCTCCTTAGAGGAATCAGGCCAAACTCAACTTGGGAGGAGGGCAAGATTGCAAGGAGGAGCCAGTTCACCCCAGGATCTGTTTCAGGGTTCCCTACCAGCACTTCCTGTTTGAGGCTGGCCTTTGGGAAGCAATAGCCCACCAGGCCTGGCCAACCCCAGTTCAAGCCATGCCAGGAATCTGCCCACCTGCCAAGTTCAGTTTTTTAAGGTGCCTCTTCAGGGACACGGCGTGTCTCTCTGATTGGGCTTCTAAATCAAAAGCCTGATGTTCTGTCCCTCTCATAGGGGGAGCTTTGGACACAGGACCAGTTTGGAAAGGGTCAGGTGAGAGTCTCCACTCTGCACATTGTAGAGGGGACCCTTTGCGGGCCCGTGGTCCCTTACTAGAGAGGTGGAGGTGATTTGCCTTCAGTTAACCTGGGACCTTCTGTTTAATTCCCTCCTGCCTCCCAAAGATTTGGACCATTTTATAAGTGTATGAACTCACCTCTGTTCACAGTGGCCCCGAAACTTGTCTGCGCTAACAGCATAGGAAGCCTAGAGGCGGTCATTCCCTGGGAAGTGGGTCCCGTTCTGTTTTGTTTGCAGCCCTAGCCTGTTCCTGAGGGGGCCTCATTCCGTGAGGCAGCTCCCCATCCCCCTCCAAGACTGTCGTGCGCCCCATGTCCCAGCCAGGCCAAGTGTCTGCAGAAGGTAAACCTGTTTTGTTTTCCCCTTTAGGTCTTCATTTAATTATTTGTTATGTTGTCCCTCAGTTGCCTTTTTTGTAAAATGAGGTTTTAGTTTTGTCTTTAAAAAAAAAAAAAAAAAACACCGGTAAATACTTGCATTCAAGCCGGGGAGGCAGAGGTCTGGCCCCCTGCCACATTCTCTCAATGCTGTGGGGCTTGCCCCTGGAGCAGACTCTCATCTTTGGGTCCCTGAGCTTCTTTGCTTGTAGTTATCTCAGATCTGACCTGTGCTGTGCCGCTCAATCCCCTTCAAGACGCCATCTGGAGGGTCAGGGAGGTCTGCCTCCCACTGTGACTGGGCTCTGGGGTTCTGACCACCTTGCTTACAAGTCCATAATTTGATAAATTTGTTGTATTCAAAAACTTGAAATGTAGGATGCCATTAAGTGTCTGTTTATATTTTTGAAATATTTGTATTACTTACAATTAATGAATAAAAGTGGGTTTAAAAAACCCATCCATGAATGGGAACTGTCTCCTGCCCCTGCTGTTGTTCATTCGGAACTTACCCCCCACCCCCTTCTTCCCTCAAAACGCCTCTGTCATGATGAGGCTGGAGTGCCCAGGCTGGGAGGCCAGCTGTGGACTCAGCACATGGATTCTGCCCAAGGTCGCAGAAGTCAGGCTCCATCAGCTCTTCTCTGGCCCCTGGGTGGAGCCAACCCCATTCCCTCCAGGTGCTTAACAAGCATATGCTTGGTGGCCTGTTGACGTCTGGGAGGAACCAGAAGCCCCGGGGGGAATCGGGGACTTAGCATCTTCCTTCTGCGCCCCGGACTGGTTTTCCCAGAGTAGGAGCCCTGAAACTGAACGGTGCTTCCTGGCACATAGTAGGCACTCCGGTTTTGATTGGACTGCCATGTGACCCCCCCAAGGGACAAAACAGGATGACCTGATAACACACCATAGGCCCTTCACCCAGACTGCACCTCCGAGAAATGCCCAGAAGCTTCTGGGGGAGGCGCTTGCCTGCCTGGACACCCCGGGGGCTTGGTGGGAAGCCCAGCCCTGCCTCCTGCCATCAGTGTAATGCATTCATATCTACAGGATGGCAAGCATCATATCCTCCCACTGTCTTTACTGCATTATTGATGGACTGCACTTTTAAAAAAATCAATTAGATCAGGGCGTGGAACTGGAGTTAAAAAGAAGCCTTTAAAAGTCTGCTCCTGTTTTTGCTGTTTTGAATAGGAACAGATAAAGCTTTCCCTCTGGTTTGAATAAGTCAAGCCCAGGGCTAGGTTGGCTGTGATTGGCCAGGACTAGGAAAATGCGGTTAAGATGCAAACCCAAGCAAATATAACCCAGTGTCTGCACAGCCATTATTAAGGGAAGGCAGCAGGGCCTGGAGCCTCCCACACTGGGTGGTTCTTCAACACTGCGTACCCGCTGCCAGAAAACTGGGAAGACTGGTGAGAGAAGGCAAGGTAAGTTCTCTTTGGTTTGTGGGTGCCTGTCGGTAGAGCAGCTTCACTGGACTAGGAGGAAACAAAGGAGAAGAGATTGAAACTGTCCTTGGCGTGCCTTCCTGGACGAGCCTTTTAGAGGACTGAACCAGGAGCTTGTCAGTTTCTGCAAACTTCCTGCTGAGAAGTTGAGGTAATTTTTTAAGAGATCCCTAAACATTAAGACACATTTTCAAAGGCTGGGAAACAGGGAGAATGCTCCAGCTCAAACAGATGGTGTAGAGCAAGGCATAAATGAAAACCAGCTTCCTGTACTTGGGGTCCATTCATAGGAGTGTTGATGGGAATTAAGGGCCTGAGATTTCAAAACTGCACCCCGCCCAGTAGAAGTGTCAAAGGGTACTAAGTTAATAAATAAGGATTCCAGGAGGGACGGAGAGACGCTTTGGGAGACTTCGGTGTCACAGACGGAATCACACTTTCTGGGTGTTCCAACACGGCAAAGTTCCTTCTGTGAGCATGTCCTGTCCTGCATTTCAGGGCTCCTGGCCCAGTGAGTGTCTTGGTCGCTAAGTCCCTGTTGGGAGTTGGGGCTGCTTTTGGCCTCTGGACTCACAGTCCTAACTGGTGGCAGCTGGTTTGACTTTGAGCAGGTTTACACTTAGCTCTCTCCCAGGAGCGAATTGGTTTTTATCCCCTTCCCCTAGTTGGGTCATTGCATTTGCCTTTAGTTTCTGAAATCTAGGATCTGCAGAAAACCTGAACAAATATTCCCCGGCAGTTCCGAGCAGCACAGGGTGGGGCGGTGCCAGTTATCAAATTAAATCCTCAAACGTTGACTGCTCTGCATCACTGCTCTGCTTTAGGCCTGCTACAGCAGTAGACAAAGGGAGGTTTTTGTTTGTCTTTTTTTGTTTTGCCAATGTCCACACTAGATAATGGCACATACCCAAACCTAGGTTCATCTACCAAGGCTCAAGAAGAGAATGGCCAGACATGCCCCTCCTAACAAGCACAATATGCTTCCAAATAGCCAAACCCCAGGCTTTCCTGGTGGCTCAGATGGTAAACTGCCTGCAATGCAGAAGACCTGGGATCAATCCCTGGGTCGGAGAGATGCCCTGGAGATGGGAATAGCTACCCACTCCAGTATCCTTGCCTGGAGAATTCATGGATGAGGAGCCTGGCGGGCTACAGTCCGCGGGGTCACAAAGAGTCGGACACGACCGAGTGACCAACACTTCCACAGCAAAATCCCAGATAGAGCCTTTCAGGGTGTCTGGGTTTTGATTTTTCTCTTTCCTATGCATTAATAAATCAGTCAAGCCCATCCTTCACCTTTGCCTTGTGAGAGCTTCATCAGTTATGTGTTTCACCAGATTGCAACCCCCTTGAGAGCAAGAACCAGACAGGAATTTTCATTATGTAAAGGCTGTGTGGCCACGGACGTGTGTAGGCGCTCGATAACCCTAGACAGGCCTCGAGTAGAGATGGTACGCGATGCACGCTTGTCTTCACCTCTCCCTCTCCCCTCTGCCTCTGGGAGGCCGCTGCCCCGCCGGCCGGGTCTGTGGCGGCGGGGAGGACCGGTCCACAGGCCATGCCCACCTGCCCCTGCTGGCTCCCTGAACCCAGCGCTCCAGCCAGAGATCTAACCCACCACCCCCTGCACTGGAAACCCTGGAGCCAAGTGGTGGGCTGCCAAGGAAGTCCACACCCTGAATTCTATGTCCCAGCTCTGCCATTTTACTTTCCCTTTTCTTCTGTGAGGCACAGGGAATATATTAGTCATATGACAAAAGAGGATGGGATCGTTTAAGGATGGTTTACTTTAAAAAGTCTGGTAAGTGAAGGCCAAAAGAGTGGACTGTGATGAGGACCTGCCAAGCAGAGTCTGGGAGAACTAGGATAAAAACGAGAGAAGGAAACTCAGTTTGGAAATACTCTGATGTAAGCTTTTCAGACCCGTGTGCCACTGGATTTAGGTGAGTTAGGAAGGGTTGCAGTACCTCAGAGTAACTAGAGATTTTAAGACCAGGTACAGATTTCTTTTTAGTGATACTAAGCAAATCATTTAACCTCTCTGAACCTCAATTTTCCCACAATGTCAGACAAAGGAAATATATTCAACTTATGAGAGTTAAATGAGAGAAAGTCAGTCAACAGAAGGCTTTAACACATTTGTCACCCCTTGGGTAAATAATCATGCCTGTTACCAGAGCTCTTAACAAGGGAAGTGGCGAGGGGGATGCAGAACTTCCGGTGGGCGCCCCCCCCACCTCCCCGCTGGGTCAGCAGGCTTACAACCTGAACTTGGACAAGTCATTTCGCAAGTCACTGAGACAACGGTGCAGGGATGCGCCGTGAGGACGTGGCCGGGTGGCTGACGAGAGATCGGGAAGTGACTTAGGAGGAGAGCAGGCGGGATGCCTGCTCTGAGAGGCATCATCTCCCTGCTCGCTCTGTGATGTTTCAGTCCCGGGAAGCCACGCACCATGTCTCTGAGCAGCGCCTTCCGGGCTGTGGGCAACGACCCTGGGATCATCACCTGGAGAATAGAGGTGAGCTGGGCCAGACGGGGCGCCTCCTGGGCGGCTGCAGGCCCCCCACACTCGGTCTCCTGCTGGTGGTTCCGCAGCAGTGAGAGGCAACACTGTCCTTGACCCCTCTCCAGGGCACAGAGCCGGCGAGTGAGGTGGAAGAAATGCTCTTCACTTTGGGGAGCAGGGCTTCGAGCAAAAACAAGCTGGCCCCTTATCCAGCCATCTGCACTTCCAGTAAATGCCCTGGAGAGATGGGTGGGGCCCGGGCCACCCAGAGAGCCCCAAGACTACTGGCTGCCCTAGTCAGGACTATGGGACCTGTCTTCCACGGGGCACTCTGGCTCCTGCAAAGTAGGAGGAGGTGTGGGTACAGCATAGATCGGGGCCCGCTCATCCCTTCTCCTACCCCGGCTTGAGCCCCTCTGGCTGACCTGGAGCGCCACTGGTCTGTAGCTGGGAACCGCCCTGGCCCAGAAAGCCTCACCTCCTCCTCTGTGCTCTGAGCCCAGTGAGGGACCGCTGCTCAAACCCAGAGGAGATGCCCACCTCACGACTGCCCACAGGAGGGGTCAGAGCTGCCGAGCAAGCTGCTCAGAGCCAGGTCACTCCCACTGTTTTAAGGCTCCCCGTGCATTTAACAACTAATAGGAACAAAAAGTTACACAAATTGTGGGATATTTGACATTTTCACATTTGACACTCATATTTTACTTAGAATACACTCACATAGGACCGCAGGTTTACCTCCTTGGAGACAGTGATGAAAGTCTCCATCTGAGGTCACATAAATGGCTCTCCTGGGACGAGTCAGACATGCTATGACAGATGCATCCGAGCTCCAATTCAGACTCCAGACAGGAGCCCTCAGCACGGAACCTGCACACAGCCAGCCCTCAGCCCCCAGAGCCTCACAGAATCCAGGCACTCCACCCCGTTCTCAGACCTGGGCCCGCGCTGGGTGGATGGAGTCGGTGCCGGAGACCCCTGTGCTTCGGCTCAAGAGACTTGAGGCTCTTCCTTGAGGGCTTACGCCCAGCTGAGGACTGAAGGGGCTCCCAGGCTCCCCAGCAGCAAGATGGGACCGGCAGGCGGTGGGCGGAGGACAGACAGACCCAGGGCCGTGCAAGCGGAGCTCAACAGGAGCCGGAGGGGTGTGCGCTCGTCCTGGGCCTGGCCGCCATGCCCCGTGGGGCTGTCTCCCTACCTTTCCACCTGCTCCCCAGCCCTGTGACCTGTGCCAAATAATAGCATGGAGGGAGGAGGCTTGGGGGGCGAGGGGGAAGGAATGTAGCCCATCCATACCCCTTGTCCTTCCAGAAAATGGAGCTGGCGCTGGTGCCCTTGCGTGCCCACGGCAACTTCTATGAGGGAGACTGCTACGTCATCCTCTCGGTGAGCACCATCCCGCCCTGTCCCCTGATTCTCACAAGCTCCTCCCCAGAGAGCCAGCTCTGGGGCTCCCCTGGGAGATCTGCCCACAGGGTTAATCAGGCCTCTGGTATCCATCTTGATTCTTCCTAGCTGTTGCATGGAACAGGCTTCCAGTTTGACTATCAAAGGCTGTGCTTAGGCCAGGGTTTTAAATTTTGCATCAGAGGGTGGGGGTGTGGCCCTCAGTCTGAACCTCAGCACGTGGCCCATAGCCAGGCTTCGGCCTCCTGGGCCCAGCCCCTGAGATTACAGTGCTCTGGAGGAAGGCCAGGTGGACACAGGGCCGTCTCTGGCCTCAAAGTGCTCACCTAGCTGAGGGAACAGTCTCCCACGCGGACGGTGCTGATGGAGCCACGCCGGCAGACAGCAGCTCTGTACAGCTGAGAGAGTGCCCGGGTGCACGCAAGCAACCAGAGAGCTCTTGCCTGCAGTCCAGCCGGCAAGATCCCCCCGACCGCTGCTTATGTGGAGGACAATACGCTGTCAGCAGTCCCCACACACAGGGAGGGACTCGGGCTGCTAGGGCTTGAGCCACGGAACAGGTCTGCCCAGGGGCCACTGCAGGGGGGCAGGAAACCGCAGAGCAGGACAAAGGCCCGAGCCTGCCAAGAATGGGACCCGAGCCACCCTAGGCAGCTACCTTCCCAGACCAGAGGGGCGAGCCGGCCCCTGAGCCAGTCTCTTTGACTCCACCCCAGACGCGGAGAGTGGGCAGCCTCCTCTCCCAGGACATCCACTTCTGGATCGGGAAGGACTCCTCCCAGGACGAGCAGAGCTGTGCGGCCATCTACACCGCGCAGCTGGACGACTACCTGGGGGGCAGCCCCGTTCAGCACCGGGAGGTCCAGTACCACGAGTCCGACACCTTCCGCGGCTACTTCAAGCAGGGCATCATGTGAGTAGCGGGGCCCCCAGCAAGGGCGTAGACGTGGTCCACCAAAGAGGAGTCCCAAAGGCTGGAAAGTATGCGAAGAAAGTAATCAGAGAAATGCGAATCGAAACAAAGCTGTCCTTCGCACCTGTCGCAGCAGCGTAAGTTAGAGAGCTGGGCGGTGCCGAGTGTGGGCAAGGCTGCGGGGAGACGGGCGCCCTGGTGGTGGGAACGGGGACGGGCCCAGCGTTCCGGAGGGCAGTCTGCTCCTGGGGGGCGACCCAAAGGAATTCTCACGTTCCCAGGTCCCCAGGGGCACGGGAGCCAGAATGTCCATAGTGGTATCAGTGGCGGTGAGAAGCTGCAGGCAGTGGGGCGTGCCTCCCCCAGGGAGACTGAACGGGAGGAAACACTCCGGGACACCACGGAGCACCCTGCCATCACATCAGAGGCTCATCTGGCCTGTGGACACACCTTAAAAGCACTGGGCTTGAGGAACACAGGAAGAAACAGGCTTGCAATGTAGAACAGAATGCCAATTCCTGTCTGTCAAAAATGACATAAGCGCAAAACAGCAGGCCACGTTTTACCAGAATGAAGATAGAAAGACAGATGTTACACTGTTGGAACGGATGCCTATGGTGGGGAGGAAAAGGCAGGGAGGGGAGGGGATGCAGATAAAAGGGAGCACATAGACACTACAAGAGCGGGGTCTTGCAGAGGCCAGTGATGTCAGCCTTCCATGAACTGAGGAGTTTGGTCACCTCCAAACTTTGCACTTGAGATTGAAAATAAAAGAATTCCAAGGAGCTTGAGAGTTCTGAGGCTGGTCCAAGGCCAGCTTCTTGCAGGTGAGCAGCCCTCACTGAGGACCCACTGGGCACAGAGCAGCCTGCTGCGTCAGCAGGGAACCCAGCAACAGAGGCCCTCTGCTCCTGGGGGCTTTCTGGGTGCCCTTCACCCGTGGGATGCCTGGAGGAGGCTGGGTTGGGGTGAGAACCAGAGGCAGGAGAGTGGTTTCCTGGAGTGAGTTGGTCTTCAGGCCACGGGGAGATGACTTGTGCCCCTCCCCCAACACACATGATGTTCAGCTTCTAGAACAAAACGAAACGAGCTCTTCACGCCATGGGGACTCTTTCCACTCCTCTGCCTGGAGACCTAGTCCTCTGGTGGTTGGCTCCTACCCTTAATATCTCAACTCAAACGTCAGTCCTCCAGAGAAGGCAGCCCCCGATGTGCTGCCTCCACGAGGGCACCTCTGTGGAAGGGGTGACCGGCATCAGTGTGTGCCTTGCTCGTGTACCGTCATCACCCATGTGGGCAGAGGCTGCCTCTGTGTGACCCCCCCCACTCTCTCCCCAATGCCTGGCACCCAGAAACTTCTTGGTAAATAACTCACCGGCTGTTCCCTCAGCTACAAGAAGGGTGGTGTGGCCTCTGGGATGAGGCACGTGGAGACCAACACCTACAACGTGAAGCGGCTGCTGCACGTGAAGGGGAAGAGAAACATCCGGGCCAGCGAGGTCGGTCCTGCCCGCTATCTGTCCCGGGCCTGAGGCCTCTCCGCCTGGCAGCCAGGAATTCCTCCTGCCTGATGTCTACCTCTTCCCCGCAGGTGGAAATGAGCTGGGACAGTTTTAACCGAGGAGACGTCTTCCTGCTGGATCTTGGGAAGGTCATCGTCCAGTGGAACGGCCCGGAGAGCAGCAGCGGGGAGCGCCTGAAGGTGTGGCCCCTGCGCTCAGCCCCTCCGTTCCCCCAGCTACTCTCTCCTTCTTCTTTCCTGGCTGGCTCTTTACTGCCCTTCCAGCCAGACGCCTGCCTTTGAGCAGCATCTGTTTCAGAGACAGGCCACATGACTGAGGCTGCGACTCAGCCTGGGGTTCCTCAGCCTCAGGGTAACCCCTGTGTGTGGGATCCAGGCTGCTTCTCTTGGAGCTAAGGGCATCCCCGGCCTTCTTTACAGGCGATGCTTCTGGCAAAGGATATTCGGGACAGGGAGCGAGGGGGTCGTGCTGAGATAGGAGTGATCGAGGGAGACAAGGAGGCAGCCAGCCCGGAGCTGATGAAGGTTCTTCAGGACACCCTCGGCCGGCGCTCCATTATCCAACCGGCAGTCCCAGACGAGGTCATAGATCAGCAGCAGAAATCAAACATCACGCTGTATCAGTGAGTAGCTAAGGCTGGCTGCTGGTTGGAAGCTGGGGTCAGGGGACGGTGGCCCCCAGAGAAACAAGCACTCCTGCTCGGCTCCATTTGGGGTGCAGGCAACTGGGTTTCTTTCAGTCTTTCTTCAAATGCAGCTTCTACGAGGAGCTCATTGTTCCCCGAGCAGCTACCGTCTACTCTTGTTAGCGATGTTTCCTGGTCTCTGGGGGAGAATGTTCCTTGACTCAGGTCTATGCATCCCAGGGGTGTGGACGGGATAAAGTCAGGGGCAGGGTAGAGATAATATTCAGGGAAGAGATGCAGATAATATTCAGGAAAGAGATGCACAGAAGTCTCTCCCAGACTACAGCATGCATCACATTCCAGTCCGCGCTCAAGCCATGCCTGTTGCAAGAAGTCAAACTCTAGCCAGAAACTCCATCCTAAGACCAAGCCAGGAAATAGCAGACTGACCACATGATGCTTTGTAGAAGGGACGCTACAGGCTAACCTCTCCCCTTCTCCAGTGTCTCAGACTCGTCTGGGCAGCTGGCGGTCACGGAGGTAGCGACGAGGCCTCTGGTCCAGGACTTACTGAACCCTGATGTGAGTACACTTGGGTGCGCTTGGCTTGGGGCAGCCGGACCTGGCTTCAGAGGCAGGCCCCACAGAGAGGTCTTCCTCGTGGTCTCGGGCAGCAGTAACCACCTTTGTCCCTGGCCGTCTGCTTCAGGACTGCTACATCCTGGACCAAAGCGGAACCAAGATCTACGTGTGGAAAGGAAGGGGAGCTACAAAGGCTGAGAAACAGATGGCCATGTCTAAAGCCCTGGTAGGAGCTGTGCGCGGGCAGCATTACCCAACAAGCCCGTCCACGACACGCCAGAGGTGCTCGGAGAGCGTGTTAGGCACTGGTGCGCAGAACGTCGCAGTTAGAGCCGTGACTTCAAAGTCACACAGACAAACTGGGGTTCCAATCCAGGTCTGGTGCTACCTCCTGGGCTTGTTGTGCTGGTTAAATAACATTTGTAAAGCACTCAAACACACGGGCATACACACCTCCCCAGTAAAGGGCGGCTGTTACTATTGAAGGCGATATCACATATCAACAGCCCTGTCCTCAAGGAACGTGTGACGTTACCGTGCAGCCTCCTGCAGCTGCACCAAGCAGGATGCATCTACCAAGCAAAAAGAAAAAGCAAATGAAGGTGATGCAAAGTCAGCAGAGTACAGAGGTGCTGAAGGAATATACTGTAGAGGATTTTAAAAAAAATCAGCAATAATCATGACCAATGAAGGAATGCCAAAATGTTCCATTCAGTCCTTTCCTTGAGGCAGCTAGCTCGGCCCCTAGACAGAAATGAGTTAGAATTTGACTCTGACTCCCAGAAGGGAACAATCCTACCCACTGGCTTCAAAGGGGTGAATCACCAGTCAAGCCAAGAACCCAGTGCATTCCCTGACTGACGTGCCCTTTGGGGGTGGGGGGTACCCACAGAACTTCATCAGGATGAAGGGCTACCCCAGCAGCACCAACGTGGAGACCGTCAACGACGGTGCCGAGTCGGCCATGTTCAAGCAGCTGTTCCAGAAGTGGACAGTGAAGGAGCAGACCGTGGGTCTGGGGAAGACGTTCAGTGTGGGTAAAGTCGGTAAGACTGCCCCCAGATGGTGTTCTCGTTGTGGGGGGTCTCTAGAAAGACGGGCACGGATGCTTTTCACTCACCTGGCTTCTCCCAAACCCCTCTCTGCAGCGAAGGTTTTCCAGGATAAGTTTGATGTAACTGTGCTGCACGCCAAACCAGAGGTGGCAGCCCGGGAAAGAATGGTGGACGACGGCAATGGCAAAGTCGAGGTAACGAGCCCAGCGGCCCGTGAGCCAGGGCAGGCGGGGCCCCGGCTCTCCTGGCTGCTTTCCTGCCAGAAGCACACGGGATCCTGCGTCTCGTCTGCTTCCCCCGTCACCTCCGGGGCCCCAGGGCTCTTCCCTAAGAGGCGTCTGCGTCTGCAGCGTTCTCCCACAATTCTTTTTTTAATATTAGTTAGAGGCTAATTACTTTACAATATTGGAGTGGTTTTTGTCGTACATTGATATGAATCAGCCATGGATTTACATGTGTTCCCCATCCCACAATTCTTCAGGGAAGGGAAAGGTAGACACCCCAGTGTGCTGTCAACAGCTCACCTGGCAGACACATTCAAATCACCTCTGAGCTGTGATGGGGGTGCGTCTGACCAGGGATGACCTAGTTCTCCGGATTCAAATCATGCAAATGGGATAAGCCCTCAGCACTGGGAAGAAGCACCAGAGGATGAGGGGTACTGTGAATGGACCTTTGTGCCCCATCCCCCTGGATTCTCTGCTCAGCATGGCCCAGTTCCCTCCAGGTGGCTGTTTGTTCAAAGAGGACTCCCCCCACCTCTGGGGAACTGTGTCTCCTTCCATGCCCAGGTCTGGAGGATAGAAAACCTGGAGCTGGTCCCCGTGGAGCACCAGTGGTATGGCTTCTTTTACGGGGGAGACTGCTATCTGGTTCTCTACACATACGAGATGCATGGGAAGCCTCATTACATCCTGTATATCTGGCAGGTAGGCCTGGAGCAGGCTCTTAGCTTTGGATCCTGGTGCTTCCTCTGGCCACGGAGCTGGGGCCTGGGGGTGGCAGGGACCCATTGTGCCCGTCTCACCCCCGCAGGGCCGCCACGCCTCACAGGATGAGCTGGCAGCCTCGGCATATCAGGCGGTAGAGGTGGACCGGCAGTTTGAAGGGGCCCCCGTGCAGGTTTGGGTCACCATGGGGAAGGAGCCGCGCCACTTCATGGCCATCTTCAAAGGAAAGCTGGTCATCTTTGAGGTGAGACCCCTTAGGTAAAATTACACCAGAAGCAGAATGCTCGGAACCAGCAGGTCAGCAGGGGGCTACGGTGGAGGAGAGGAGGGGTGGAGAGCGGGGCTCGGGGTGGACACAGGCGAGAAGGGGGTGAATCTCTCTAAGACCCTGGAGTGCATCCCGACTGCCTAGGGCTTCAAGGCCACAGCCCTGCCTAGTTCCTGTTCAAGGTCTTGTACAATCTGACCCATGTGACCGTGCGGGTGCGTCACCCCCAGCTCCCTAACCTCACGCTCCACTCCAGTCAGGGGGTCTCCTCTTTAGACCTCACATGTGCTCCCTCATTCCCTGTCTGCCTCCCCCAGCCATTGTGCCTCTTCAGATTCAAGTCCCGTGTCTTCCAGAAAGCCTTGGCTGAAGCGCCACCAGGACTGTATTGCGTCACATGCTTGATATACACAAGTCAAGTCCTAGTCTTGTCATTGATTATAGCCAGTTTTCTGAGCCTCAGTTTCCCCACCTGCACTATGGGATAATAATACCTACTTCACAGAGTTATTATGAGGATCAATAAAATGATATAGCTAAGGCACCAGAAAAGAGCCTGGCATATAACCCGGGTCTCAGCATGAAAGCTAACACTATTTCTTAAAAATATTTATTGATTTGGCTGCGGAGGGTCCTAGCTACGGCACGTGGGATCTAGCTCTCTGACCAAGGGTTGGAGCTGGGCCCTGTACTGGGAGCAGTCTTAGCCGCTGGACCCCCAGGGAAGCCCCCTGAACGCTAACACTGCTGGTCCTGTAACCCCAGCTCACCTCGCCCTCTCCCAGTGAGCCGAGGCACTCCTTGAGGGCAAAGGCGGCGTCAGACACAGCCCTGTTCTCCCCAGCGCTGGCCCCCTGCTCGGCGCACACCTATACCTTAGACCTGGACTCTGCTTTTCTCTTTCTCTCTAGGGTGGGACTTCGAGGAAGGGAAATGCCGAGCCGGATCCTCCAGTAAGACTCTTCCAGATTCAAGGACATGACAGATCTAACACCAAAGCAGTGGAGGTCCCAGCCTTCACCTCCTCCCTAAACTCCAACGATGTCTTTCTGCTGCGGACCCAGGCAGAGAATTACCTGTGGTGTGGCAAGGTAGGACGGCCGGCCCAGCGGCCACACCCCGCCCCGGGCTCCCAGCCCCGCGCCCGCCCTCCGGTCAGCAAGGGCGAAGGACCTTAGAGTGGGCTGGAGCCGTCCTCAGAAAGAGGAGCCTTTTCCTAAAGAGTCTTCAAAGGGACCAGCAGTGTTCCTCACAATGAGGCCTCCACTTACACACTCAATAATGGCACTGCTCACAGGAGACCCTCCATAAACAGCTGGATGCAGGATGGAAAAGTCAATCTTTCCACACCAGTTTGGTGGACTGTAATAGGACAGGCCTTAACACTGAACAAAAGAACACTAAGAATATGATTTTTGTCAATTCAGATTTCATCTGCATTGAAAAGCACTAGAGCTGTTTTACAAAAGAGAATTGAATAGGAAAAGATGCTCAATATTAATAGTCATTGAAAGTGACAGTGAAGTTGTTCAGTCATGTCCGACTCTTCACGACCCCATGGACTGCAGCCTACCAGGCTCCTCCGTCCATGGGATTTTCCAGGCAAGAGTACTGGAGTGGGGTGCCATCGCCTTCTCCATTAGGGAAATGCAAATAGAAATCCCGATGAGATACCACTACACACCTCTGACTAATGACTAAAAAACCAATGAAACCTAGCGCTGGTGAGGACAAAAAGCTATAGGAATTCTCACACTGCAGGTGAGAATGCAGATATGGCCTTTGAAAACAATTTGACAGTTTCTTATAAAACATATACCCAGCAACCCCATTCCTGGGTATGTACCCATGTGAAATAAAAAACTACCTTCACACAAAGACCTATACACAAATGTTTAATAGCACCGTTATTTGTAATTGCCAAAAGCTAGAAGCAAATCTACCGGAGGATGGATAAACAAGCAGTGTTTCCACACAACTGGAACAGAATACTACTCAGCTACAGAACACCCACAACTGCAAGGAAGCATCTCAGACGCATTATGCTAAGGGACAGAAGCGAGACTCAAAGTCCACACAGTGCAGGGTTCCATTGACCAGGTTCTGGAAAAGGCAGAACTGTAATGATGGAGGACAGATCAGTGGTCGCCAGAGGCTAAGGATTCAGAGGGGGTTGACTACAAAGGGGTGGGCAGTCTGAGGGACACTTTCGCAGTGGTGAGGCAGCTTCTCTGTTCTTGTGGTGGTAGCACGATTCTATGCATTTGTCAAGAGTCATAGAACTCTATGGCAGAAAGGGTGAATTTTCTTGTATATAATTTTAAAAATAAGTTTAACTTTTTTCTTAAAAAAAAAAAAAATCAAAACTAGGTGCTAAAATCCCAGCTGAAGGTGAAACAAAGGTGACCTCTCACTGCCCACTGAGCATTTCAGAGTCTGGTCTTGTCCTTTGCTTCCACACAGGTTTCCTCCTTTCCACCCACCCCCCGCCCCCGCCCTTCCCAGCACCGGAACAAATCCATCTAGCTCCCTGTCCTGAGGTCCTCTGGCGTGGTGTCTAATCCTGGCTACACAGAGTCACCAGTCTACGGCACTTCATTCCCACATCCACGCGCCCGTGTGTGACTAACGTCTGTGTTCTCCCCGCCCCGTCCTCAGGGGTCCAGTGGGGATGAGCGGGCCGTGGCCACGGAGCTGGCCGGACTTCTCTGTGAGGGCGCGGAGAACACAGTGGCCGAGGGCCAGGAGCCGGCTGAGTTCTGGGACCTGCTGGGAGGGAAAGCTCCCTACGCCAGTGCCAGGAGGTAGGGGACCACAGCACCCCCTCTGTCTGGCTCCCCCTGCCTCCCAGACTGGTGAACTGCAGGTGATTTCCAAGCAGCTCAACGCCTCTGCATGGACTGTATTGCAGACTACAGCAGGAGATCCTAGACGTCCAGTCTCGCCTCTTCGAATGTTCCAATAAGACTGGCCGGTTCACTGTCACTGAGATCACAGACTTCACCCAGGACGACCTGAACCCAGGTGACGTGATGCTCCTGGATACCTGGGACCAGGTAAGACACAGCCGGAGAGCTTGGAACGAATGACAGACATCCTCAAGCTTTAGGCTATTTTTTCCTATAGCATCTCTCTCCCAAACCCCAGTTAATCCAGGGTAGCCCTGGACCATCCCCAAGTCAATCAAACAATTGTCAGTGGTGACCAAAGGGAGAGCCTGCTTTTTTGCCAGGGTTGAAGAGAATAGACTGATGTTTAAAACTCACCATCCTGGGAATTTTCCCACCATGCTCTGGGAAAATCATGCCATCCTATCACACACCCCATTCTCTCCGGACCAAGGGCAGTAGGCTCCACACCTGGAGATATGGGCCTCTGGGGGAATAAAGAGATAAGAGGGAACATCTTCAAGGCCACCCCTGGCTCAGCAAACACCTCCTCCTTTCTAATCACTGTGCTGGGTGTGGTGTCACCAAGGTGAAGGGCCCCACCCCACCCTCAGATCTGCAGGCCGGCGGAGGGTGGAGGAGACGGGCCGTAGAATCATCGTTTCATGTGATGGAGGCCACAGGAGCACAAATTAGGGGTACTCAACACAGTTCAGGGGCTCAGAGAAGACTCTCTGGAGGAGATGTCTCCCAGACTCCAAGGAGAAATGGGTATTAATCAGGTAAAGAGGCCATTCCAGGCAAAGGAAAAGGCAGGAAATAGTCTAGTATATGGAACTACAAAGAGTATTATCAGAGCAGAGGACAGAGTTAAAGGGTGCCCTAGAGGGGAAGCTGGAGAAGTGGGTGTGGACCTTACCAACCAAGTCAAGAAGTTTGAAACTGACCCTGGAAAGCTACTGAAATTTAAGCAGGTGAGTGACGCGGTCAGAATGCTTTAGATCGCTCAGTCTGGTGAGTGTAGGAGAGGAGGGAGGTGGTGTGAGAAAAAAAGGAAACTACGTCGGGAGGCCCGTCAGCATCCCATGGTCCCAGTCCAGAAAGAGCTACTGCTGGCCCACACAGAAGCCGTGGGGGAGGGCTGGATGGACGGAGGCAGATTTGCCAGAAGCGTGGGGGGTAAACTAGCAAAGTCCTGGTGATACAGAAGGCATTCAGGATGATTCCCAGGCCGCCGCCTTGGGTGACTGAACGGACACCATTCCCCAAGAATGGGGACACAGAATCAAGCTTAGAAAAGAGCTGCGTGTGGGGGGTGTTATACTTGAGGCGCTTGGAGACAGCCAACAGGAGATGCTTTGCAAGAAGCTGGATTCAGGAAGCTGAAGTTCAGAGAGTTCAGGACTGGAGATGCAGATGTGGGAAATACACAAATCAAAACAAATCTGAGAAAAACTTTACTCTGCTGAGGCTGAGAACTGCTGACGGGGAAGGACAGGGCAGCGCGTACGATCTAGTACGTAGCCTTTGGCAAGAGCGCAGTGACAAACGGTCTCTACGACAACAGGTGTTCCTGTGGATCGGGGCCGAGGCCAATGCGGCGGAGAAGGAGGGCGCTCTGACTGCCGCCCAGGAGTACCTGCACACTCACCCCAGCGGCCGCGACACCAGCACACCGATCCTGATCGTTAAGCGGGGGTTCGAGCCTCCCATCTTCACAGGCTGGTTCCTGGCCTGGGACCCTCACATGTGGAGCGTAAGAACAGAGAACCAGGGAGACGATCTTACTGCCAGGGTGCTCGGCTCTGATAGCTCAGAAGGATAGCGGGGTACTTGACCCGGGACTGTGCTCCCCACCCCCTCCTCCCCTCTCCCGTGTTCACCTTTCTTCTCTTCCGCACCCTGCAGAGCGGTAAGTCCAGTCAGCAGACTCACAGCTTGCCTCAGGAACAGGCAACGTGAGAAGTAGTCACGTTTGCGAGGTCTGTCCACACCCATCACATCCTGATAGCCAGGGGAACGTTGTTGCCTGTGTTACAAATGAGGAGGCTCAGAGGAGAAGTTACCTGTCTACAGTCACAACCAGTAGGAAGAAGCCAGGTTTTCTGACCCCTGGTCAACTGCTCTTAGTATGGAACATTGAGGCGCCACCAGCAAAGGCTGCAGATCACGTTTAAGTACCTGCCAACCCTGCATAGACCTGGAAGGGGGGTTTCCCTTTCTGCATTTCTCTGAAATGTCTTCTGTCCCCTGGCTTTTTTGCTTCTCTCAAGAGTTACAGACCAGACCTGAGACATCCCTCCACTATAAGCAGCATCTCATCCTGTGTTTTCTATGTCTTCTTCCCAGGCAGGGAAATCATATGAACAGTTAAAAGAGGAGCTGGGAGACGCTGCTGCTATCACAAGAATCATTGCTGTGAGTTTCTTGGAGAAGCTGTTCACAGGCAACCAGAGCCAGAGAGAAACAGCAGATGCTATAGACACAGCATGGCTGAAACCCTATCATGTCCTTCTCAGTATCACTCCGGTGGTCTAATTTGATGTGAAGATTGTTTTAATCAGTAGAAAAAGCAGGCTTCAAAGCTGAGTTCCTTATTTTACTGCCTTCTAGAATTTAGAACAGGCTTGCTGTTACCAAATCAAATTATTCAACCCTGTCACTCAGGAGAGATTAAATTTACTAGTAGTATCTTTCAGAAATAATAAGCTTCTAAGCCAGGTGACACTGTTAGTTTCTGACAGTGGCACCCACAGAAACCCAGGCCATCACCCCGTTTTAACAGCCTCCCCAAAGCGGGGCTCGTGGCCGAGAACCCAGCAGCTCTCTAACAGCAGGACACGGCAAGCGCCACTGTCCAAGCCATCTGCAGCTTGTCGTTTGCGCTCTATGAACCCCAGATTCCAAAACTCATCGCGATGTGGCATCTTCAAAATGTGATTTAAGAGAAGCGTGACTTCAATCTGAAATCATCTGAAGGCCAGAAATGTAGAGCCCAAGTAAAAGTAGCAAGAGAAGGGATGTGATCACAGTATTTAAATGATATGCAAAACATTTACGCCAACTGACTATACAGGATTTACCTTAGACTCACTGAATCAGCTTCCCAAGAACCTCCAAACTGGAATATTTTAGATTTCCAGATGACTCTGACATGCAGCCAGTGTTGGGGACCACTGTTCTAAAAGATGATTACAAAGCATGAAGTGGTAAAAAAAAAAAAAAAAAAAATTTAAATGTTATAAACACAGAACTTCAATGGCACAGACCTGAGTGGTCTTTTATCATGTCTACATTCTTATCTTCCTTAGGATATGAGGGACACAACCCTTCCCCTGAATTCTGAGCCAAAATATTACCCCCTAGAAGTTCTGTTGAAAAATCAGAGTCAGGAGTTGCCAGAGGATGTGAATCCTGCCAAAAAGGAGGTGAGTGACCGACAGGGGTGGAGCCCTGCGTAAGCACCATCTCGGAGCGTGGCCAGCTCTGTAATCGCCCCGCAGACTGCTGCCCTACCCAGGAGCTCGAGCCGGAAACCCAGGGCTCCGTGATTCCTTCTCCTCACCTCCCACATCAGCCCGTCGGCTGGCTGCCCTCCACTGCTCTCCATCTTTCTGCTGCCCGTGTGGTCAAGCCGGCGTGGACCACTGCCATAGGCCCCCAGAGAGCTTCCGCCTCTGTCCCTACAACCTGATCCCCACGTCACCACCAATGGGCTTTTACAGAAGATGATACTCCTGTTTAACACGCCTCGAATGGCTTCCCGGTGCACCCGGAATCCAGAGTCCTCGTGACGGCCTCCAAGGCCCATACCACCTGGCCCCTGCCCACCTCTGACTTCCTTACGGGCCACTGCTGTCTTCACTTACAGCCCTTTAGCCAGTTGCTGTTTTTCTGTTCCTCGAACATGAGCCTTTCTGCTGGCTACCACTCCTGCCTGAAAAAAACATCTTTCTCCCAGATCATCAGAAAGCCAGGCCCGCCTCATTGTTTAGGTCACAGCTACAGGGTCACCTCCCCAGGAAGGCCTTCCCTGACCACCTGACCCTGCCTCCCTCAACCCCTGCAGCTCCTTGGTACTTGGCCACTCACTGTCTCTCTGCCCGACTCCCTGATACCTTCAAAAGCAGGAAGCTTGTCTGTGCTGTCCACCATCACATTCTCAGCTTTTCAGCACCTAAACGGTGACTGGCGGATCATAAGTGTCAGTCGCTCAGTCCTGCCTGACTCTTTGCAGCCCCATGGACTGCAGCCCACCAGGCTCCTCTGTCCATGAGATTTCCCAAGCAAGGATACTGGAGTGGGTTGCCATTTCCTCCTCCAGGGGATCTTCCCAACCCAGGAACCGAACCCGGGTCTCCTGCACTGCAGGCAGATTCTTTACCCACTGAGCTACAAGGGACAAGTGAAGGCCCTTGGCAGATCATAGGCACAACTTAAGTTTCAGCTGATTTAATTAACAGTCATGTTGAATGAATGAATTTATTTTCCCCTTGAAGGGTCTCTGGGCTTCCCTGATAGCTCAGTTGGTAAAGAATCTGCCTGCCCCTGGTTCAATTCCTGGGTAGGGAAGATCCCCTGGAGAAGGGAAAGGCTACCCACTCCAGTATTCATGGGCTTCCCCGGTAGCTCAACTGGTCAAGAATCCACCTGCAATGCAGGAGACCTGGGTTCAATCCCTGGGTTGGGAAGATCCCCTGGAGAAGGGAAAGGCTACCCACTCCAGTATTCTGCCTGGAGAATTCCATGGACTGTCTAGTCCATGGGGTCACAAAAAGTTGGATACAACAGAGCAACTTTCACTTGAAGGGTCTCTAAATTTTCCAGTGTCTTATGTAACCAATTCTTAAGCATCTTGAAAACAGAAACCATATCTTAGTAATTTTACTTGGACTAAAAATATTCATTAATCATTAATAAATAAATGTTAGAATGTTATGCTCTCAACGAGATCCACCTGATCCTGCATTGGAAAACATCTGGATAAAAAATGGCAGATAAAAAAAAGAAAAAAATTAATAAAAAATGGCAGATAAGGGCATAAGGGCATAAGGCAAGGAAAACTCACTCAATTTAGTTCAGCCAAAGCCCAATGTTTAGCACTCATACATAATATATAACCCATTTCTTGTCCTGGCAAGAGCCTGGTGCCAGGTGGGACTGCAAGTGCAGTGAACGCAGTCAGCGCTCCCACAGGCCATGCTGGGACTCCACAGGCTGGAGAGCTTGCCGGTGAATAAGTCAAACACAGACTTTCTGCAAAATTCATTCTACTTCCCCTTTCGAGAAACTACTTGGGACTATCTCTTGGCCCCTCTGCCCCCACCCCATTATCACTGACAGGTGCCAGGTCTTCTAACTAGAAACTTTGTTTTTTCTCTTAGAATTACCTCTCGGAACAGGACTTTGTTTCCGTGTTTGGCATCACCAGAGGGCAGTTTGCTGCTCTGCCTGGCTGGAAACAGCTCCAGATGAAGAAAGAAAAGGGGCTTTTCTGAGGCAAGAAGGCATCTGCCTATTGCAAGATCCCAGAAGAGAGCAGACAGTGCCAATGTCAGCAAAGAATTTCTCTAATTTCTGCCTAATGTCCAGCTACTTAATGGAGAGAGAGCAGAGCCTGCCAGTCACAGCATGCACTCCATTTTTCTCATCCCTGCATCTCCTAGTTGTCATATACCTAAAATGGTAGCTGCTCACTTGGAAATGTTTATGGTCTTCTGGCTGCAGCCTTAGCAGAAAATGCTAAAACTGCATGAAAATCTGGAGAAGTCAAAAGTAAGAGAACAGAAAAATTGTTTAAAGTGCTTAATTCTGGGGCAAGGGCCCATGTTTGTTTTACATTTTAAGGTGGGTATTTTCTATTTAACCCACAAACCATCAAAGTTACTCACATATATACAAAATAAAAAATGCTCAAATCTGTGTGTGCCAGAAGTTTTTAAATTTTCAAATAAAGATACCTATAAGAACAAATGGGTGTTCTTTTCAGACTTTTGGGTCTGCCCATTATGGTAACTATTGTGTTCTATGAGAGAAATGTCTCAGTACTGGGGAAGTCAAGATGCACTTCTGGGCTTCCCTACAGTAGCTCAGTGGTAAAGAATCCACCTGCTGATGCAGGAGACGTGAGTTTGATCCCTGCTCTGGGAAGATTCCACGTGCCATGGAGCAATTAAGCCCATGAGCCCCAACTACTGAGTCTGCGCTGTAGAGCGCAGAAGCCAGGACTACTGAAGCCTGCAAACTCCACAGAGTCCGTGCTCCGCAACAAGCGAAGCCACTGCAATGAGAAGCCCGGGCACCGCAGCTGGAGCAAAAGCCCACAAAGCAACAGAGACCCAGCACAGCCATAAACAAATAAAACTATTAAAATCCTTTTAAAAAAGAGGCACTGCTGAGGGAGCTCTCTGGAGAGCTGGGATCCCTGTTTCTGGCACAAGAATCCCAGAATCTGCCACACAGCTGTCCAGGAAACCTCAGGCCCCACCCAGCTACACCCTACTATCCAGAAGAGAGACAAGGCCATGTGTTATTAATTTCAGGAATGAGGCCAGAACCAGTGTGTATACCACCGCAGAGAGCCTTCAAAGCATGCTACAGACATCAACAAATGAACCACATTTTCCAGACAACTCTAAGTTTGAGTCAACAACTGCAGGAGATTCCATGTGGCAGAAGTAATGTAACTGGGGCAGTCCCAGGATAGAAGCGCGGGCCACAGCGGCTCAAAGCAGAGCTGAGCAAGAGCGGTCCATGGCACAGGAGCGGCAGGGGAGGGCCAGACGGCTCCGGGACGCCGCAGTGAACGCGCGGGAGGGGAAGCAGCACAGGTCTCCCGGGCACTGTCCGCCACTTCCATGAGGCCCACCTGTGGTTTTCTAAAACACATCACAAGTCAGGCACAAAAAAGCTAGGCCCAGCATGACGCAAACAAGGAAAAGAGTCTACTTTCTTTATTACCTAACAATTTTATTTAATAGCTTTACCCACAAAGTATATAATTTCATTATAAACTCAAATGAAAAACAAATTCTGGGTTTGAAGAGGCTCAGGAAGTAAACTTCTTTTTGTCAATGTCCAGGGTTAAGGATAAACACGTCCTCCTGGGCCCAAAGTCTCTGGAACCTACTCGGCGTCTGCTGCGTCTTCGCCTTCTCCACACTCAAACCGCACGAAGTCTACGACGGACACGCCGTGGGGCTGCACGTACTGCCCCAGCGTGATGGAAGGGTTCAGCAAGTACGGCTGCGACAGCATCTTGGTTTCCGCCTCTCCCCCGGGCTCGTCGCCCAGGGAGCCAACAGAGAGAGGAGCCATGCCCACCACGTGCTGCCCGAGGCGGCGGCCGAGGTCTCCGAGGTCTGCCTTCAGCTCTGCCGTCTCGCAGACCACCAGGGCCCCATACTTCCCCAGCGCCAGGTTGCGGAGCGAGGGGCTGGGCATGGCCCCATGGACATAAGAGCCAACATAGAACCCAGCTGGCACCTTCACCCACGCGGCCCGTTTCAGAACCATGTTTTCTCCCAGTTTCCCTGTGAGAGAGCAATAACAAACAAACAAAAACACGCTTCCAGAATACAATGCCCATGGCAGTACCAAAATACGCACAGCAGTGGCCAGGCCTGGGAGAAAGTCCTCTGCATTTATACTGTGGACGTGCCCTCAGACGGAAAGATACCATTTTCAGGACAAACAGGAAAAGGGGTCTTGGGGGAGCAGGTGGGAGAAACGGAGCATACTTTATGGAGCGCCAACCAGGTGCCATGTGCTGGTACTTAGAAACACAGACTCTGGTATCACACAGACCCTGGCCACAGGTTCTGCCTCTCACCGGCCACACGACTTTAGGCAAGTAACTTAATGATATAACCCCATTTACTAATTCATCAAGTCTTCTGTGTTCTCATCTGCAAAATGGAGATCATGCCACTTAACCTGAAGGCAGGGTTACTGGGAGAAATAAATAAGATGTGTAACAGAACTTATTACAGATCTGGCCCTCTAATATGAGCACTCCCATCTGGCTAACATCACTACATTAAACTTAGGCTTAGAGAGCTAAAGGAACCTCTCCAAAGCTTCAGAGCTAATGGATGGCACAGCCCGAATTCAAACTCAGATCTGACTCAATTCAGGGTTTTTCCCACCAGATCACCACCCCTCCCCCAAACCACCATAGCTGACACAGACAACTCCTGATCATCCATTATTTGGGGGAAAATCCCAAACTAAAAGCCCCGGGAAATCTAAAACCCCAAGTCATCTGGTGGTTTCAACTTCCCTTCATCAAAAATAAAAAGATAACATCTTTGAAGTTACTTGTAAGAAACAAAACCAGATTCTAGTCCCCTTCCCCCTTCACTGTTCTCTTAGGATGCTATCCCCTCCTATCAGAAGCCCAAATAAGTCAAAAGGTAGGAAGGGGTAGGAAAATAACGGGGTCTGGGAAAATAGCCCTGAAGTAGCCATTGTTACATCTAAAAGTCATAGAAGTCATAAACCAAAAGGGATCCTAAAACAGCTCTAAGCACCTACCCAACAGTCAATTCCCAGAAACTGACAAGGCTGAAACACCCAAGTCTTCCAGAATTTCTTAAGAAGTTTCATACACAGCTGGTTGGCTGGCTGGTTTCTCAGCCATGACTCACTGAAACATCATACATACCTCAAGACAACCTGATAAAAACAGAACTGATGCCTTGACTGGAAACATCAGATGAGCAGTGAATTCCCGCAAGCTCCACCCCAGCCCTGCTTCCCTCCTTCCATCAGCTCGTGTACAAGGAAGGCAAAACCCCTGCTGCTCCCACCACAATGATCCAGATGCGGTTCCTACAGCCAGTGGTTCTGAAAACATGTACCTTCACAAACTCAGGATCAGACTTTTTTTTTTTTAAGAGAGGACAATTTCACAAAAAAAAAAAAAGAGAGGACAATTTCCTAAACACCACACCCTGAAATATTCCTGGATCCCTTCACAAAGGTGAAATACCCTCTGATGGACTATTTCCTTCACAGTGTATAGAGAGGCAGTCAACCGGAGGTCAAAAGGCCATCGCTGCCTAAAGACATGCCTTGTTTGGTCAGCAGTGATGCCTGCTAATTTTAATTAGTTGCAAACAGCTAAAAACTAATTTTTTTTTCCAAACAAATCTAAATCCTTTTAAAGGAATTAAAAAATTCTGACACTGGGATCCTATTTCCCTCAAAGTTATCAGGTGGCTTGCTAATGGTTTCCTTCAGTGGAATGTGAGCTTTTCAGGGTGTCCACTGCTCACCAATCTCTAACACGCAACCCACCTCTCGCATTCATACTATCTGACCCTTGCAGGAACTTGACCTTGTAATTTTTGATCTAGATTTGGAGGAATATCAAAGATACCCAGAGATTCAATTCTTAATTGCCAGTTTCCACATCCTCACAATGCATACATACAGTCCTCACATCCTTACATCCGTGCTCACCAATCGCTAAGGCCAGCTGGTCCTTGAGAGAACCCTCGCTCTCGGGTCCTGCTGGGAGTTCAGAGAGCTCAGAGGAGTTCAAGAAGCCCTGAGTGCGCAAAGAAAATGGACAAGAGGCATTTTCAGTACAGCTGAACATGAGTCAGTCTGCATCATTCAAATTACCGAGAGACTAAGCAAAAATATAGGTTATAGGTTATTCCTCAGAAATAACCCATATTTAAGACAATTAACTACAAACAATGTTTTCTTTAAGCCAAGGACATTAACAATTAACAACAGCTCCACTTTTATAAACATTTTATCCTATCAACACTCCACCCCCAAATCCATCCCAATCTCCGGCCTAACTTCTTAGAATGTAGCTTCCTAGAAATCAGGAATAATATTTTCACACAATCATAAAATACTAAAGCTAAAAGGTTAGTAGATTGTTGGTAGGGATGAAAAATGGTGCAAATCCAATGGTGGGAAATTGGACAATAGATAACAAAACTATTACATATATTTGTATCCTTTGATCTGGCAATCCTATCTCTAGAAATTTACTCTAAAACTCTTCCAATGATACAAAAGTACATATGCACAGTTATTCATTGAGCAAATTTTTCTAATTGTAAAATACTGGAAAGTTTAAAAGTCCAAACATAGGTGGAGACTGGCTGAATAAACCACAGTACAGTCACAGGTGGAATACTATGTTGCTGAAAAAAGAAGGAAAAGGTGCCTCCATGAGCTGCTAAGGAGTATTTCCAGGGTGTATGAAGTGAAAGAAGCAAACTAAAGAATACATACATATTACATCACCATTTGTGTAATAAATATTTGTATGAAAGCGTTAGCCTCTCAGTCATGTCCAACTCTTTGTGACTCCATGGACGGCAGCCCACCAGGCTCCCCTGTCCATGGGATTCTTCAAGCAAGAATACCGGAGTAGATAGATAGCCATTCCCTTCTCCAGGTGATCTTTCCAACACAGGGATCCAACCTGGGTCTCCTGCACTGTAGGCAAATTCTTTACCATCCGAGGCACCAGGATGAATATGCTTATTTTTGCAAAAATGATAACCAGAAACCAATGAAGCTGGTTATCTACAAGGATGGATAGGAATGGGGTAGAAGGGAGACGAGGGAGTAAGACTTGTGTATGTGTTGGGGGAGTTATCAGAGTTTTAACTTTCAGAACTTCGTTAGTTTTACATATTCAAAAATAAAACTAACGAAGGCTTGGAGTGAAAATGAACACTGACCAAACAGAAACAAAGATTCTAACTGTATTTCAAAGGAATAACATAACTTCAAAAGGGGGAACAAAACTAATCCAAGTTACTTTTGATACAGTCCTTTGACCACGTAACTTCAACTAAGGACAAAAAGAACCTCAAAGAAATCTTGAGCCACTTAGTAGGTTTATTCTATGCAGTGATCAGGGACAGTAACTCTGAAACAAAGCGTGTATGCACTGCACAGCGAGTAAATAAGCAAACATACTGAAGCTGCTAGGAGCCAGTGCGTTCACTACGAGAGAAGAAAGGCGTGAATTACAGAATGGGGGAAGAAAAGGAAGCAGCCTGTGGTGCAGGATTAGAACTGAAACACACACACTCTTCTAGCTCTGTTGAAAGAGCAGAATAGCAATGATATCTCAGTAGATTTAAGCATACCCAATGCCCAGACCTTCCCCCGGAGGAGAGTATGGCAGCCCACTCCAGTATTTATTTATTTTTTAACTGAAGGATAATTACTTTACAGAATTTTGTTGTTTTCTGTCAAAACTCACTATGCATCAGCCACAGGTATACATCCATCCCTTCCCTTTTGAACCTCCCTCCCATCTCCCTCTCCACCCCACCCCTCTAGGTCGATACAGAGCTCCTGTTTGAGTTTCCTGAGACATACAGCAAATCCCCGTTGGCTATCTATTTTACATACGGTAAAGTAAATTTCCATGTTACTTTCTCCATACTCCAGTATTCCTGCCTGGAGAATACCATGGACAGAGGAGCCTGGTGGGTTATGGTCCACAGGGTCGCAAAGGGTCGGACACGACTGAAGAGTGTACATGCACACAATGCCCAGATCTTTGTTTCTAAAAGCCATTCCCCTGCCAAAAAGGATCGAGACCCCTTGCAGAAGCGGCCGATTCCACGCACGGGGGCAAGGAGAACATGACATGAGCCCAGAATACTTTGTTACGCCAAAAAGGAAGGCGATACTTGGAAAATAATAAGCTATACCAAAGAGACAATGGAGACAGCTTGCACAGGCTTAGGTTATACTGGCCAAATCCAGGGATAATTTGAGCATTAAAACGACTAATGGATTATATGATGAATTGCAGCCTATCACATTCAATACAAAAGAAGAATCTACAACGGAGAAGGAAATGGCAACCCACTCCACTATTCTAGCCTGGGAAATCCTATGGACAGAGGAACCTAGCGGGCTACAGTTCATGGGGTCACAAGGAGCTGGAACATGATTTAGCAACTAAACAACACAAAACCAGGACTAATTAACATTTATCACAAGATCTCAAGAGAAAGATAAATAGTAGGAAAAGGGTGGTACAAACAAAAAAGTTGTTGTGAGTAGCTGGTTCGTTTTTGCTTTGACAATAGGATGGATCAAAGGCATACAGATATGTCAATAATTCCTTCCTTGATCCTTCTACAGAAAAGAAAATGCTCGGTCTCCTCAATTGCGCCTTTTCTCCAGGATCAGTATTTAGAAATCCTTTCCTTAGGACATTCTAGATTCCTAAATACAAAGTTTCACCTGATTTGATGGATTTTTATCCCACGGGAATTCATTCATTCATTAAAAGAGATGTAATGAGCCCCAGCCAAGTGCTGGGCCCACCCCTCATGCACCAGAGACACACTAGTGAAAAGACAAATTTCCTGCCTCATTAAACTTATAGTCTATTGTGGAAGGCAAACAGAAATGAATAAATATAAATGTAATATATAAACATTATAACAAAATATTCTAAATGAAGCAAAACAAGGGTACAGAGCAATAGGAGGCAAGGAACTCCTGAGAGATGACGTTTAAGCAGAGACATGAAATAAGGAAGTGAGGCCTGAGAACGTCTGAAAAATGGAACAGCAAAGACCCTAAGAGGGGAGGAAGGAACAAACCCAGCACGTTGGAGACAACCCCAAACTCACTTTGCTGTATGTGGAGAGCTGCTCCTTTAAGTTCTGACAGTGCAACAGGGTTCCCCGGGCTACTTGCTGAACCAACTGTTGAAATTTTAAATTTCTGGAAACAAAATCTGTCTCACAGTTCACCTATGGGAATAAATCGATATTGTTGTATAAACTGTTTACTAATAGTCTTCAAAAGTGTCTTAAAGCAAGGTACTGACAGAACAGGCAGCAGACCCAACAAAACAGAAACAAATGTCTGGGGGATTTTAAAGCTGCAGTTGCTCCTCTAGCTCAAGGCCAGAAACTTAATGAAGTGATCCCTGTTGTGCCAATGAGTCAGCACTGACCTGCGCCTTCAGAGACTGGTTCCACAATGTCGCCAAAGGATTCACTTCAAGTTCACACCTGCCTGTGCCCGCAAGCCATAATCCCCTCATTCTCTGGGCTCCTCCAATGCCAAACCACTTTTGTGATTCTCATAAGGAGCAGCAACCTTAATCCCTCACATGCACAGTTCAGAGCAGGGTCCAAGCTCCTATGAGAATCAAATGCCACCACTGATCTGACAGAAGACTGAGCTCAGTTGGTGATACAAGCGATCAGGAGAGGCTGGAAATACAGAGGAAGCTTGGCTCCGTCGCCTGACATTCACCTCCTGCTCTGTGGCCCAGTTCCTAAGAGGCCACGGACCGGTACCGGTCTGCAGCATGGAGGCTGGAGGCCCTCTGGGCTACCCTAACAGGCCTTTCCTCGCCAACAACCGGTGCGTGTCTATACTGGAATGAATCCAGAGCTAATAACCGGGGTCTCACGGGCTTAATTCTAACTAGCTTTTATGGTTCTCAAACACCTCTTCTTTAAGAATGCAAAGGTCTACCACAAAGCCCACACTTCAAGGAGACAGTTGCTTGTGATATCTAGAACTCAGACACTCACTTCTACTAACACAGTCGTGTCTCCTTCCCCCAGCAGCCCAATAAGACCTTCTTTGGTCTTCCTCCCATGGAGCCTAGCAGCTTTACTCCAGCCCTCCTTCTGGGCCTGCTTATGGAGCCAGCTCTCTGCCTATAAATAAAAAAGATAAAGGGCAGATGACATAAGCGCAGAATTTAGAAAGGAATGGGGCTCTAAAATATCTTCAGGTTCCCCAATTCTTTCCCCTTCTCCTAAAACCCACAACAGAAACTAATCTATTATTTACTGGCAGCATACCACCAAATGCCAGACAGTAGATATTGTGCCTGATGTTTAGTAAACTTTTAAAAATTATTTATTTGGCTTGTGGATCTTGGTTGCAGCATGAAGAATCTTCCATCTTCATTATGGCATAAAGGATCCTTAGCTGCAGCATGAAAACCATTAGCTGCGGCATGTGGGACCTAGTTCCTGGACAAGGATCGAACCAGGGTCCCCTGCACAGACAGCCTGAAGTCCTAGCCAGTGGACCACCAGGGAAGCCCCACGCCTGGTACTTTGGATAAGTTTAATCTTCACAACAACCCTACCGGGGGAGACGGCAGTATTTTCTTTATGCAAAAAAAGAACAATGTAACTCTTAAAGATTAAGTAAGGCATCCAAGGTCGCGGGGATTAGTGTGAGGGTACCAGGACCTGAGCGTTGGTCTGACTACTACAACAGCCTTGCATGGAATAGTGTGTGAGCCCTGGGATGCTGACTCGGTTGCTTCAAAACAGGTAAGAGTCAAAGGGTGAGATTGTCATTAAAGTCAGAATCCTGTGTACGGGTCACTGGACAGCAGCCGGTGTGATTTCTACAGTCCCCAGCGCGACCTCTGGAAAGCACTGGGGTAAGGCCCCAGTACCCCATCCCCGCTCCCCTCCACTTCCTTCCCCACACCTGTTTGAGATCCCCGTCACAAGTCTCCAGGGCTTTCTTGCAGTTTACAAACGAGTAGCCCGTTCTCCGCCGCAGCTTCATGAGGAGCTCCTTGCTGGAAGCCGAGGACAGCCAGGACCCAGAGTGAAATGTATGCCACGGCTGGGGCGACTGAAGCAGAGGGAGCCCGGCCTGGAGGGGATAAGAAGGGATGAGAAGCAGGAAGCGGCGAGGAGCTCCGGAGGAGGGAGCACGTCGGCCGGGGGACGACTTCAGGAGAGACGGGCCCAGAGGGTGAGGGGAAAGGCAGCGCCGGGACGCTGGACCGCCAAGAGGCACCGAGGTGGGGAGAAGGGTGAGATGGAGCCGAACGCAGCCAGGGGAGGGGAAGGCAGCGTGCCGGGCGCGCGGGAGACCTGCAAGGAAGGCAGGAAGGGACCAAAGCCAAGCGCGCTCAGCTGGGCGCTCCCGGGCCGCACGACCAGGCAGAGGCGCAATGACCGCAGCAGCGACATCTTTCCGGCGGCCGTTCGGCGCACCTATGAGGCCACGGGCCTACGGCGTGGCAGCGGGGCCAAAACTCTCCACCAGAGCGCGCCGAGCGGGGACAGCGCCACCTGCCGTCCAGGGCGCGCATTCGCCTCCCCACTTGGCCTACTGACTGCATTCCGCACGAGAATTATTCCCCAGAGGTACAATGATGGAAGACATGAAAGCGAGTTGTCACAAAATAACAACACGAGACACGTGGTAAGGCTTTATGTTTATTTCCAGTGCTTATTTCTATATCCATTTATGGCTCACTGACAAACTTGTAAGGTAGGAGAGTGGGTTCCGAAGTTTGACCAAGGTCACCTGGGGAGGAGGCAGGGTGTCCCTCCAACAAACCCAGTAAATTACTTGTTGAACAAGCAGAAATATTTGATGTGTGCCTGGGACCATACAGCCCTACCCTCTAAGGTAATCTGATGGTGAGAAAATAGGGAGCAGACAAGCGATCACGCAAGACAAGGTAAATAAGCCCCAGGAGACAAAGAGTTAAAGGGTCTCAAAGGAGAAAAATCATATTCGAACAGGAGGCTCAGATAAAGCTTTTTTCAGGCGAGAGGCTAAGAGCAATGAAGATTTTGAGAGGTAGAAATATGACCCAGGCAGGGAATGAATGAAGAAAGAAAGAAGGAAGGAAGAAGTCAGAGAATTTTGATGTGGGCTTAGGGAACAAAGCAGACCTTTTGTAATTTGGCCAGAGGTGAGAACACGTGTAGGAAGCCAGTAGGAAATGAAATAGAAGGGTAATTTGGGGTCACACGGGATACACTGAGTACCAAGCAGAAGAGCTCATTCTTGCTTCTGTTGGCAGCAGCAGAAGCTAATCGGAGCTGATTGCGGAAGATTACAGGAGTTTACAAAACAGTTTGAATGGGAGTGAACGGAGGCTAGGAGGCCACAGGAGGTGATGTGTGACCCCAGGAGTAAGTCAAGAGAGGATCAATCAGACGCCCCATAGTGGGAGGAAAGAGAGGTGAAGGCAAAGCACGTTGGGAAGGAAGGACTGACAGGGCTTGGAAAGGTACAAAAAAAAAGAAATCAAAGAGAACCTGGAACTCAGTGATCAGAACTCCAACTCCAAAAAGACTGCAGGAGCTACAGTCCAAAGGACAGCTCTGCTCTCTAACCCCAACTTCAGGGCTAGGAAGACTTGACCCAGTTAGAGCCACAGTTCCACCGGACTACCTCTAGAAGCAAGAAGTGGGTGGTCTGAGGTTTCTTGCTCCCCAGCACCCCCCAGCAAAAGCCCATGTTCTCTGGATGCAGAGGAGATCTTTAATGCTTATTTTCCTTTAAAAAAATTTCCAATAGAATCTGGAGAAGATAATCCATTGTGTATAAAAAGACAATGGCGACAGACAGGGTCACGACTGTCTCTGCAGCCACTGTTTACGTCCCACCTAACCTCCCCTCCCCTGAAATCCTGGCTGCCCTCTCACCATCCTCTGCAGAGAACAGGAGCTGGGAATCTCCTCTGCACTCCAGCCCACACGGCAAGGGATCCGGTACCCTCACAAGCGGCACCTGCGCCTGCAGCATCCCAAGAGGCGCCCAGGAAACAATGACGGAAGGAGGAAAGGCAGGCAGACGAGATCCACCTGTTTCTGGTCCTTATGTTTATGGCTCTGGAGACATGGCAGTTCCTTCATGAGAACGAGGGGTTCGGAGGAGCAGAAGGGTGACGTCAGGCAGGTCTTGGTCCCCTGTGCCTGGCCCTATAGATGTTGACATTTTCATCCTCATCCCGCTGGGCCAGCTCCAGTTGGAAATGCTGGGGCAGGAGATGGTGAAAGAAGCTCTCTGCCCCGTGCTCCTCTCTCATCTTGGAGGCCAGATAGATGGTGCCATGGGGCCCGCACAGGTGTCGGAGGGTCCCCAGCAGCAGCGGGAAGGTGGGCTCCAGGTACACGATATCAGCCCCCAGCACCAGGTCATAGTCTCCAGGGAAGACATGCTGGTCAATCCCCCAGGACAAGGCACGGACCTGGGCCCGGCCTCCAGGGGGCACATTGGCCTGGACGTTGCCCTGGATCTGTTCTAGGACCAGGGGTAGGTCAGTGATGGTAACATCCCCCCCTGAGAGAGAGGAAGGAGGAGAAATGCAAGTCAGAGGGACCAACCAAGGGGTTTCAGCTCCTGCCCAGAATGACCAGAGACCTCGGGGCCTAGAAGATAATGTTTTGACAGCCCAAAGTCCACACTTTGGATTTTAGCTGCCCTAACCTCAGCTTCATCCACTGCCATCACATTACTCTACATTCTACAACATCAACATTCTCGCTGAGCTAATCTTCAACCTCTCTGCCCAACACACAACAATCAGATGTCAGCAGAAGCCTGGGCAGGACTAAGCTGGAGGTGGGCTATGCACCCACCCCCTACTGACACAAACCAGCCTTTATGGATCTGGAAAGCTTCCCAGAAGACATGACCTCAGCAAGCCTTAAAGGGCAAGGAGGAGTTAGTCAGGTGAAGCTTCTCAGGCAGAGAAGAGAGAGTACAAAGGCCTGGTGATGAGAAAGCACAGCGTATGCGAGGAAGGCTAGAGCTCAAAGGAGGTGGCAGGGAAGCGTGTTAGGGCATGACAGTACAGAGGAAAGTCGGCATGGCATGCTAAGGAGATCCAGGTTTGATGCTGAGGGCAACAGGTTTAAGGGCAGAAGCAGAGGGTGACGATGATTAGATTAGGACTTCAGAAAGCCTCCTTCATGCAGTAAGTACCTGTATTGAGCATCTACCAAGTTCTGAGGGTACAGGGGTGAGCAAGACAAGACCTTGGCCTTCCTTGAGATTTGTTATAGAGGCGGAGACAAATGAGGTAATGCAAAACAATTCAGTCATAATCATGGTGATTATTACAGAAACAGGAAATATTCAGAATTCATTCTTCCATTAATAGTCATTATGTGCCTATATGCCAGGTGCTGAGAATACAGCAGTGAACCAATCAGACAAGAATCCCTCCACTCCAAAGGCTTATAGTCTAGTGGCTAGAGATAACAACAACAAAAAAATGAAATAAAACACACTGTAAGTCAGATGGTATGCTGAAGCAGGGAAGGAGGAGAAGAACTGCTTGAGGGACAGGGCAGGGCATGTCACTTTAAACTGGGTAGTTAGGGAAGGCTTCAAACTGGTAGTTAGGGAGCAGATTATGTTTGAGCAATGACCTGTATGAAGTAATGGGGCAAACTCTATGGGTCTCTCAGATTAAAAGATACCAAATGAGGGACTAACAGAAAGAAAAGAGGTGAAGGTAAAACACATTAGGAAGGAAAGACTGACAGAGCTTAGAAACCCCTCCCCCCCCCCAAAAAAAAACAGCCATAAACGGAAGGACCAAGAATAAAGACCTTCATGCAAGAGTTCACCTAACAAGTCTGAGGACCAGTAGGAATGCCTGTAGCTGGAGCAAAATAAGTGAGAGAAATAATCATAGGGGTCAGATTCTAGACAGCGCCTTGTAAAGCAACCAAGAAGTCTGTTTTTTAGTCTGAGTGAGATGGGAAGCTATTGGAAAATTTGTAATGGAAGAATGTCACAAACCTTATGACTTTAAGAATTGAAGAATGGCTCTAAAGAGATCACTCTGGCTACTGTGATGAGGGAATACCACAGAGGGGCAAAGTCAGAACAAACCAGTTAGGAGGCGGCTACAGTTACCCAGGTGAGAAGTGATCATGGGTTGAACCAGGGCAGTTGTCAGATCCTGAATACATTTTGAAGGTAGAGTCAATAGGAGGGTTTCTGACAAAGTAGATACGCACTATCAGAAAGAGAGGCTGAGGATGCTTCCAAGATACTTGGCCTGACAACCAGAAGATCAAAGTGTCATTTGTTTAGGTGAGGAGGGCTGCAGGAGGGGCGGGCTGGACGGGAAAATCACGACTGCGCTTCTGGACACATTAAGTTTGACATGTTCATGGGACAACCACAGGAAGGTATCGGTAGGCTGGAGGTCATACAAACAAGTCTGGAGATATCAGGAGGAGAGTCAGAGTCATCAGCGGGGAAAGGGCGCTTAAGCCATGAGTACAGGCAGAATAGGGGCGGGTCCGAGAGCTGCTCCTGAGCCCTGGGGCACTCAGACTTCTGGTGGGGAAGAGGGACAGCCACCAACAAAGGGGAACGGAAACAGTGCCAGCGAGGTGAGAACCGGAAAGCCTGGCGTCTTGGAATCCAAAGGAGGGGTGTTTCACGGGGGGCGGGGGGGGGGGGTGGTGACAACTGCCACCAAGTCCTGGAAGCTGGGCTCACACTGACTGCTGCACTTTTTTTCTCTTTAATAGTTATTTATTTGGTTGCACCACGTCTTACTTGCAGCATTGCAGGCTCTTCCATCTTTGTTGCAACATTCAGTTTCTTTAGTTGCGACCTGCGAACTCTCAGTTTCGGCATGTGGGATCTAGTTCCCTGATCAGGGATGGAACCTAGGCCCCCAGCATTGGGAGCTCCGAGTCTTAGCCACTGGACCACGAGGGAAGCCCCCTGACTGCTGCACTTAACAACAAGCAGTCAAAAGTGAAGCTCCCAACCGTGACTGGAGCTACTGGAGCGGAGAAGGCAAGTTGGGGGGCGGGGCAGTGTGAGGGGGTGTTCTGGAACGGAACTGAAGAAACAACAGGAGGAGAGCAACGACAGTGGGTATTAACTCTTCTGAGTTTCATCACAAAGCTGAGCAGAGAAATGGAATGGTAACTGCAGGGATGTGTAGGATCTGAGATAGGAGAAATTGTCGCGTATTTATATGCATAATACACACAAACACACACATGGAATGATCCAGAGAGAAGGGAAAACAAATGCAGGAGAGGCAGTGGGGGCAGGGTATCTGCCTGAACAGTGTTGTGAAACAGATGAGAAGGTTTAGGGTCTCATGAGGCCTGGGGGGCTTGACCTCAGCTAGGAGCACAGCACGTCTAGCATCGTACCAGGAGAGAAGGCAGTGCAGACAGACACAGCTGGGTGAGTAGACACTGAGAGAGAACTCGTGGACAGTTCCTATAAGAAAAAAAGAAGCAATCAGAAGAGCTAGGGAACAAAATCATCGGCTGGGGAGAGAGAGACATTTGGAGGTATGAAAGGTGAAATGGTAAGAAATAAGATGTTTAGGAGAGCAGAGGAATAATTGGATGAGGGAGAGGTAAGAGGCTAGTGGGACATCATTTAAGGACACATCTGACGATAATGACCACAAATTTAAAACGAAACCAGTCAGCACAATTGTGTCTACAATACTAGAAGTAGCTAAGATAGCTTGCGGGTGGGAGTGTCCTGGAGGCCTTCCCTTGGAAGTGATGTTTGAGCTGAGCTCGGAAGAAGGCACATGCATTAACCAAGCGGGACGCGGGGTATACACACAAGCGTGCAAGTGCAGCCTATGTGAAGGCTCCCGGGAAGGGGGCACGGAGACAGGCTTGCGGAACTGACAGGAGAGCGCTAGGTAGCACAAGGAGCTCGAGAGGGAGAGGGAGGCCACGCCCAAGGGACTGGTTCTGTCCTGCAGGCAGCAAGAAGCCACTGAAAGATGGGGAAGGGGTGCTGAGAAGATCACTCTGCCAGCTGGGTGGAGCGAGCAGAGGTCTAGGTGGGGGCAAGGAGTAGAAGCAGGAAGACCAGTCTGATTAACTGTAGCCATCCAAGCAAGTGACGGTGCCAAGGACTGGGGAGCCATCGGCGCGGACGGAAAAACAGGAGGTTCAGGAGATTTTTAGGAGTTAAATCAGCCAGACTTGGATAATGGAGATGGGGATGAGAAAAAGGGACACGTCAGAGGTGGGTCTAGATTCCCCACTGGTTGGATGGCAGTTTGCTTCACTATGATGGGGAAGCCTGAGGGAGAAACAGGTTTGGTGGCAGAAGATCACAAGATCTACTTTGGGCATGCCAAACTTCTCCCTAGGGAAGCTTGAAGACACTCGTGAAAATCCACGGGAAAGTTGGCAGTGGCCTGAACTAGAGCCGGGGGGAAGAGAACAGACAGCTGTATTTAGGACATGTGACCCACAGGACTTGCTTACTGCCAGGATGCGAGGGGAGAGGGCAATGGATGAGAATGACACCCAGATTTCTGAGTGGGAAGCAGAACAGAAGACAAAAGAAGTCAGTCTGGAAGCAAGTGAAAGGTGTTTCCCTTGATATTACACATCTTTTCTGCCATTTTAGCATAGCTGCCCACTTATCCACTCATCCTTCATGGAAAGCTGCTGGTGACACTCCTTCGGTTCTTTCTGAGCCTGCTATGTTCATACTCCTCATCTGATAGACCTTCTTCTTGATGGATTCCCAGAGAGTCAAGGGAGACACAGCCAGAGCATGTCCACTGGCTCTGCACACACCTCTCCGTAACATCCTATAACATCTTCCCCCATCTTCAACACTAGACCATGAACTCCTTGGGGAGAGGAAATCTGTCTTACTCATTGCTGTATCCCAATACCTAGCACAATTCTTGGCACATATAGGACTCCAAATACATGTTGGCTGAATGAATAGAATAAAAGAATGAAAGCCTGCTACTGGGAAGATTTCCCTGAATGTGTTTTGTGTTATGTCCCTGTGAACGAGGACATGTTAATTTGCATTCCTAGGGAGATGTCATTGTAAGTGTTTTTAAAGGAATGTTTTCAGTGTGAAGTTTTGCCTGCCCATCAGATTATAAACCAAGGAACTTTTTCCTTTGTAGTTTCTGATTCTTGACAAAAATAAAGAATTTTTACCTTTTTCTTTCCCAAGTTGGCAGTGCCTAATTCCTACCCCATTTCCCACAAAACACAGCCTAACCCTCAAAAACTCATAAGCTTGTTCCTCCCAAGCAATCAAAACCTAAAGAATCAAGAATATATTCACAGTGAAGTTATAAACTACTCATGAGGTTTAACACCTGCAGATTACTCCCTCTAGAGAGTAATTCCATATAGGCATTTTAACAGAAGACCATTAGATTTTTTTCTGACAGCATTGTCCAGGAAATCGCAAAAAGGTAGGAAAAACTCCTATTAAGGCCTGCCCAAATTTTATTTCCTGCCCACCCGCCTCAACCAATCACCATGGGTGCTGGAACAGCGAATCAGCACTGTCTGGCACACAGGAGCAGGCGGGGGCAAAAAAAAAAAAAATGTTAAGTTTGTTTAAAAAAAAAACACTGTGTTGGTCCCAAACCACTCCTCTCCCTCTCTCAAGAACCCAGGAAGTGACAAGTTCTCTACATCCCCGTTCCCCTCACCCCCTCCCACCGCAAAGCTCACGCACCCTGCAGCGCTGCCAAGATTCCCACGATACCAGTCCCCGCGCCCAGTTCGATCACTTTCTTGCCTCGGAAATCCACATTTTGACTCTCGAAATAGTTGCACAGGCTTAGAGCCTATAGGAGAAAAAAGAGGAAATACAAGATTGCAGCGGGGATGACTCCGTATGGGAGAGCGGGAGTCCGGGGGTCCCCGCGGACCCTAGCCCCGGGCCGCCCACTCCTCACCGCATCCCACACGCGCGCTGCCACCCCGAGGCGGGACCCGAAGTTCTCCGTGATATTCAGCACGTGCCCACAGAAGCAGAACCTGCTCTTCTCCGAGTAGCAGTCGGCGAAGAGCCCGACCTCACGTGGGAACACCGAATCGGGCTCTGACTCAGGATCTGGGCGGGAATCTGCCATCTGGCCGAGAGAATGCCCAGACGCCAGCCAGCGCTCGGATCCCTGATCTGAAGCGGGGTGGGGGCTGGGGGACCGCCAGCCCCACGGCTGCCCCGTGGCACCGAGCCCCGCCTCCTCGAGTTTGCCCTCCTTCCTCCAGTCTGACTTCCTGGAGCTGGGATGAGGGGCTGCCTCCCTGGCTCCGGTCCCCAGCGCACAGCCGACGGGACTTACACCGGGCTACGGGGGTCAGACCCAGGGCACTGATCGGAGCCCGGGAGGAAGGCAGAGGAACGAGGATTAATTCAACGTAGGAAAGCGGGGTCCCTGGACCCCTCTCACCTGCGGGGCGCACAGGGGCCTGCAACAGGGCTAGTAACCCAGACCAAACAGAAGCGAGCTAAGGACAGAGGCGGGCTGCGAGCCTGGCCTTGCCAGCGGCGCGGAAGTACCCTCCCGCGCGGCCCCGCTGCGGGCCTCCCCGCCCAGCCCAGCCGAATTCACTCCTGCGGCTTTAAGGGGAGGCTCTGAGCTTACGTGCCTGGCCGCGTCATTCTCGTGCGCCCAGAGCCTAGTTCTCCACGTGGGTTCCGCAGAGAAACTCGCGCTGGAGATCATGGCGGGAACCGAGGCTGGGGACGCGGCAGGAGCCGAGGCCCCACAGCCTCAGAAGCGCTACTATCGGCAGCGGGCTCACTCCAACCCCATGGCGGATCATACGCTGCGCTAGTGAGTGAGCAGGGGGCGAGAGGAGGGCAGAATTCTCGGATTAGCCCCGAAAATCGATCGCGCTTGAACGGTTGGGAGGGTTTAGGGGACTCTAGGGAGGATCGCTGGGTGACGTCAGCTTTGTGTGGGGTGGCGCGGGGAGGGGGCGGGGTAAGATTCGGCAGAGGGCGGAGTTTGCGGGCTGGAGGGGGCGTGGCGTCCTGGCCGACGTCTGGGTAGGATTGCTAGGCTGGGAAGAGAGAAATTGTTACTGAGACTAGAGTGATGGAGGGAGAATGTCGTTTCCATCTTTCAGTTTAATCTGTGAAATTTAGCAAAAGGCAAACTTGGAGGGAGGGAGAAATTGGGAGCCTGGGATCCACATGTACACACTACTAAAGCAGATGACTAATAAGCACCTCCTGGATAGCACAGGGAACTGTACTCAACCATCTGTAATGACCTATATGGGAAAAGATTCTAAAAAGGGGTGGTTACATGTATATGTGTAACTGAGTCACTTTGCTCTATAGCATAAACTCACACAACATTGTAAATCAAGTATACTCCAATAAAATCAGTTTTAAGAAAAAAGAGGAACTTCCACACAACCCCACCCACACCTTACTCCATCCTCTTCCCGCAGAGAACTTCAGCAAAGACAAGTCCCAGTGCCTTAGGCAGCCAGTCTCTGGGACAAGGGGAACTTGAACCCCAGAAAGGAGAGATGCTCAGTCAGTCACATCAACCCTGGGAAGGGAGATAGGCGGATCACAGTCATGGGCCCCATGATAGGCCGATGATTCATACTGGGGGTTAAGGGTGGTTTCCATTGTGCTCCCTAGAGGCCAAAGGGCCCACTCTTACAGAATTTTTGAGAAACCCTCCTCTCATGCATCTCCCACCCTCACCCATCCACCCACACACATAGTACCACTTCCACAATGGCGTAACCACATTTCTCACGCCTTCTCTCCACTAGCCCTGTGAAACCAGAGGACATGGACTGGTCTGAGCTATACCCAGAGTTCTTTGCTCCACCGCCTCAAAATCAGAGCCACGACGACCCAAAGGATAAGAAAGAAAAGAGAGCTCAGGCCCAAGTGGAGTTTGCAGACATAGGCTGTGGCTATGGCGGCCTGTTAGGTAACACTCTGGCCCTCTCTCTGGGGCAAGGAGAGGCAGTGCCTAGGTTCTGCCACCTCAGCAGGTTTGCTGGGGGCCATAGTTGGCCTTTCCCCTTCGGACCAGACACTGCTTGCTGTGACATCGTTGTGAAGAGCCTCCACCTTCCCTCTACTCTGGGTCTGTGGCCTTCGCCCGGGAGAAGGGAGGGGGCTGCCTCAAAGCCTCTTAGAACTTGAGTTGTCTTGGTCTGGCCCCGCTCCTGGCTCTGGTCCCTACATGAGCCGTTTCACCTGCCAGGTGCCGGGTCAGTGAGCTGGTCAGCACTAGCGTCAGAGATTAGTTGCTGTGGCCAATGATCCTGAACTGTCTTTCTCGGGGATTCCACACCCCTCTCCCTTCCCCCTTCCTCACCAGAACTCATTCCTTCTCCAAGATCCTATTTTCAGATTTCTCTTATATCGCCTGTGTTGTCCCAGCCATGCATGCTAGACCCACTTCTCTATGTAGAGCTCTTCCATGGAAAGAGCAGCACGACAGAGAGGAAGAGCGTAGTACTTGGTGGCGGGAAACCATGGTTCCAAGTTCCAGCTCTGTGGCTTCAGCCATTTCCCACCCTCAGTTTTATCATCCGTGCAGTTTACCACATAATGTCATGAGAATTAAGTATGACAATGTGTGGGAACACTGTGCAGACTTTAAAGCATTGGCAAAGACACATGTGTTGCCAGGCCTTCCCACTTCCGGTTCTGGTGACAATTTTGGGGTGCCCCTCAGCCTCTCCAGCACAGAGCTATCCATATAGGTAGCTCTGTGGCCACACTTTCCATCCCTGATTTGGGTAATTGCTGATTGAGGCTTCCTTTCCCGTGTTGACCCCTCTGTACATCCTGTAAGGATGAGGTTGATTCTGTTTCTGTGTCCAGTGGAACTGTCACCGCTGTTCCCAGACACGCTGATTCTGGGTCTGGAGATCCGGGTGAAAGTCTCAGACTATGTACAAGACCGGATCCGGGCCCTGCGAGCCGCTCCTGGAGGTGGTTTCCAGAACATCGCCTGTCTCCGCAGCAATGCCATGAAGCACCTTCCTAACTTCTTCCGCAAGGGCCAGGTGGGGCGGGGCCCCCAGGGTTTAGGCTGGTAAGCAGGTGGGGTGTGGAGGCCCGTCTCTCACCACCCTGTCGGTGCTTGACTGTCTCACAGCTGGCAAAGATGTTCTTCCTCTTCCCTGACCCACATTTCAAGCGGACGAAGCACAAGTGGCGAATCATCAGCCCCACACTGCTGGCAGAATATGCCTACGTGCTGAGAGTTGGGGTGAGTCGAGAGCAGGAGGGAGGACAGGGTAAGGGGTCTAATAAGGGGCTTTCCAACCGAGAATTCAGTGGGGGGTTCGCTGGGGACTCACCACCATCCCCATCACCCTGCTGCTCGGCCGCTCGCAGCGCCCCCTGCAGAGTGACTTTGCCTGCGCAGGGACTCGTGTACACCATAACCGACGTGCCGGAGCTGCATGAGTGGATGTGCACCCACTTTGAAGGGCACCCCTTGTTCGAGCGTGTGCCTCTGGAGGAGCTGGTAAGTAGGGAGCCCAAGAGAAACTGCGGAGAGTTACGGAAAGATCCTTGCTAGAGTGGTTCTGTTTTCTTTGAATCCAGCTTAATGCCCAGAGGATGGGATGACTATAGGGACCAGGGCAATCTGAAAGATGGGCAAGGACTTACTGGACCCTTCCTTCTCCCAGAGTGAAGACCCCATTGTGGGACATCTGGGCACCTCAACGGAGGAGGGAAAGAAAGTTGTACGCAATGGAGGAAAGAACTTCCCAGCCATCTTCCGAAGAATACAGGATTCCACCCTCCAGGCAGTGGCTCCCACTCCTACCCCTCCTGGTCACTGACTTAGCCTTTGTCTTAGTGGAACCCCATATTTGGGGGACTGGAAAGGAGATCGGGCCCTTGGACCTTCCCAGCTGAGCCTGCTACACAGGGAGCAGGCAGCAGTCTCTCAAGTTGAAGATCTGCCCAGGGCAGGACCCTGGGGTTCAGGACAGCCCCAGACCCCTCTCACCATCGTGCACTTCCAGGGGCAGCAGAAAGCCAAAGCAGCTGACTGGGAAGGTCAGAAGACCTTGGGCCAGAAGGGATCCTTGGAAAGGAGTGGGGCTTGCTTTTCCTTAGCGCTCCCTTCTCCTAGGTGCTCTCCTCAGCTGGAGCGAGGAATGCGGTTCTCCACGGTCCATCCAAACTGCCTGCCAGACTCAAATCACCTGCCTGCTCATGTTTGCTTTACGGTTCTGAGGCTAACATGTATATGTGTGCGCATACACATGCTGCTGTTTTTGAAGAAAGGCTGGAGTGTGGATCACTCCCATCCTCTCCCAGCCTAAGACTTGACCCGGGGAATTCCTGTTCCCTTTGTTCTTGCTGTCTCTGGAGATCCTGGGAGGGTGTGGTGGTGGAGACCCCCTCCCTCCTCAGGTTGACCTTTGCTTTGATTTCAGAGCTGGCTGACAAGCCCTGAACCTGCTTGTGGAGGGCGGGAGTAAGGAGCAGAGAGCTGAACTGGGGAGGATTCTGAGGCTAAAAGTGGAAAGGGGCTGCTGACTAGAACCCCCCCCCCCAAACACACACAGCAGACTGAGTCAGCTGGAGAGTCAGAACTCTCGCTTAACCCTTGCTCTGTCCAGGAGCCCAGCAAAATCTCTCAACTTTTCTAGTTTGCAATAAGTTTCTTCATTTCTGCTCCTCAAATTCCATATTCCCATGGCTGGTAGGACACGGCTTGTTGACCCAAAAGACCAACCCCGTCTCCTCAAGGAATAAAAATGAAGGCTCCTGAAACCATTTTAACCCATGAACCCACCTGGGGATAGGGGCAGGGGGAGCCACGTGGCAGTGCAGAAAAACTCCCGGGTACAGAAAAGGAGCAGCCCAGCGGGGCAAGAATCTGAGGAGAGCTCCAGCTGTGCCTCTTCCCGCTCTTCCTCCTGGAGGAGCTGGAGGTCGGGAATTCCCGAGGAGGGCCCCCGGGGGTGGTGGGGGGGGGGGGGGCGAGCTCCCTGGGGAAGTGGTGGGAATACTGGGGACTGAGTCTGTATCGTGGTCAACTAAACCTCACCAAATAGACTTTCTGAGAAAGAGATCTTTAGGCTGATGGACTAGGGCACCAGCCCAGGAGAAACTGAGGCAAGGCTGTCCTGGTAACGTGAGACCCAAGGGCGCCGCCTCGGCCGCTCCGGCCCCGCCTACTGTTCCTGGGTGCTAATCCCCAGCACTCAGGAGAGGGGATTGGCTGAGGAGCTTGGAGGGGGCGTCGCCACTACCGCGCCCAAGAGTTAAATAGGAGCCGGGCAAGATGCTCTGGAGGAGCGAGCTTTGGTGGGATCCCGAGCCAGACCATGACCCAGACCCTCAAATTCGCATCCAGAGTGTTCCATCGCGTCCGCTGTCCTGAGCTGGGTGCCTCACTGGGCTCCAGAGGCTCCGACTCAGCGCCCCGGGTTTTGGAGGACCTCCCAGGCCCCTCCACGCCCGGTTTCCTTGCGGAGCTTTTCTGCAAAGGGGGGCTGTCACGGCTACACGAGCTGCAGGTAGAACGGGGCGCCGTTCCCACGACTGAAAGCTGGGGAAGTTGGCTTTCGCAAACCCTAGTGCAGAACGGAGCAAGGAGGGCGGGTGGGAACGGATGCCCATGAGTTACGGAAAAGACGAAGTTGGGACTGGGGGCGGTGGCTCGCGGGACACGGAGTCCTCTGGATACCCCGCGGAGGAGTGCGTTCAAAACGCGCCTTCTCGCGCTGCAGGCATCTGGAGGCTCGTAGATCCAGAACAAGTGCGCGGGAGGCGGGACTCTCTTAAAGCTAGTACGCTCCTATACCTTCTGTGGGGGCTCGTCCTAAGATGAACAGTCCACAGGAGGAGCCTTTAGGGATTTCTCCGCCCAGGTGGCCAAAAAGCGGTGCTGAGTGTCAGCTTTGCGCCCAGCTCCTCCGTTTTGCCCATCACACCCAGACTTCCTAGGATGGGGAGTGAGGAAGAGGGGTTTGCAGCATCAGAGCCATGCACCACTTGGGAGCAGAGGCTCCCCCTTTCAAGCCCGAAACAGCGCCCTTGGAGTTGGCGCAGGCCCAGCCGGGAGCCCCCGGCCCGGGTCTCCAGGTCCGCTGCTCGCGCTCTCCCAGGTGCGGGGCGCCGCGCGCTTCGGGCCGGTGTGGTCGGCCAGCTTCGGGACGGTGCGCACCGTGTACCTGGCGGCCCCTACGCTCGTCGAGCAGCTGCTACGACAGGAGGGACCCCGGCCCGAGCGCTGCAGCTTCTCACCCTGGGCGGAGCACCGCCGCCGCCGCCAGCGGGCTTGCGGACTGCTGACCGCGTGAGTCCTCCGGCCCCAAGGCCCCCGACGTCCAGCTGCCTTCCTCCCTTGCGGGCTGGAGACAGTCTGGGGAGGTGGAGGAAGTTGGTCGTTCTCCCCAACCTTCTGGCAAACCGAGGTTCCCACCCCAGTCCGTTTTGTTTAAGCTCAGGTGGAGCCCGGCTCTCGTGCTTTTTCACCTTATCTTTTGAAGCCGGAATCTTGGGGACTCGCGGAAGGGGCCGAGGCACCAGGATCTAGATGCAAAGGAAGATTCTGTGACTCAGCTTACCCAGGAACCCAGGCCCCTCCTGGGTTCAGGGGCAGGAAATGAGTAACGAGGAGTGGGGATGGAAAGCGGGTGCAGGCAGGGTCAGACTTCTGTACCCCCGAGGGAGAAGACGCTATCCCTCTCCTGGCCACCCCGGCCCGACACTCTCCATCTCCAGCGCCACCAGCCCTGTCGGGTCGCCTCTCCACACCACCGTTTGCCCTGATGCGCCCCCTCTCCGCACCCCCACACAGGGAAGGGGAAGAATGGCAGAGGCTTCGCAGCCTCCTGGCCCCGCTGCTCCTCCGGCCTCAAGCGGCCGCCCGCTATGCCGGGACCCTACACGGCGTGGTCCGTGACCTTGTGCGGCGACTGCGGCGCCAGCGAGGACTGGGCGCTGGGCCGCCCGCCCTGGTTCGAGACGTGGCGGGAGAGTTTTACAAGTTTGGACTGGAAGGTGAGTCCCGGGAAGGGAACAGGCGCAGGAGGCACCTGGGCCGGGTCTCGGGGTGCCCTGACAGCGCCCCCTCCCGGCCAGGCATTGCGGCTGTGCTGCTGGGCTCCCGCCTCGGCTGCCTGGAGGCGGAGGTGCCCCCAGACACAGAGACCTTCATCCGCGCGGTCGGCTCGGTGTTCGTGTCCACGCTGTTGACCATGGCGATGCCCAGCTGGCTGCGCCGCGTCGTGCCCGGACCCTGGGACCGCCTCTGCCGAGACTGGGACCAGATGTTTGCATTCGGTAAGGCACGGACAGGTTAGGCGTCCCGGGTGCGCTGGGCTTTCCAGGTGGCGCTGGTGGTAAAGAATTCGTCTGCCAGTGCAGGAGACATAAGAGATGAGGGTTCGATTCCTGGGTCGGGAAGATCCCCTGGAAGAGGGCATGGCAGCCCACTCCAGTATTCTTGGCTGGAGAATCCCTGTGGACAGAGGAGCTGGCAGGCTATAGTCCATGGGGTCGCAGAGAGTCAGGGACATAACTGAAGCGACTTAGCAGGCTCACACACAGCAAGGCACGGAAATGCGTGGGGCTGGGGGAACATGAAGCTGTTCCCAGGCGGTGAGGAACACCCTGTCCCCGTCCGTTCAGCCCAGCAGCACGTGGAGCAGCGAGAGGCCGAGGTGGCCATGAGGAGCCAGCTTGGGAACTCTGAGGAGGACGCGGGACCTGGGGCACACCTGACCTACTTCTTGCTCCGGAAAGAGCTGCCTGCCGCGTCCATCCTGGGCAATGTGACGGAGCTGCTCCTTGCTGGGGTGGACACGGTGAGGTTCCCCCTCTGTGTTGGGAGCCTCACTTCCGCAGCTTACCCTCCTCCATCTCGGGGCTATTTCCCTGCTGCTGGAAACCCACTGTGGTCCTCTAGGCCAGCTTGGCTTAGCACCTCCTGGGGTCCAGACTGCCTCATATCCTGCCCCCTATGCTGGGTCCCCACTCTCAACACCTCTAACGCTTCCCCCTGTCCCCGCAGGTGTCCAACACGCTCTCCTGGGCTCTGTATGAACTCTCCCGGCACCCCGAAATCCAGACAGCACTCCATGCTGAGATCTCAGCTGCCTTGGGCCCCGGCTCCAGTACCCAACCCTCGGCCACTGCTCTGTCCCAGCTGCCCCTGCTGAAGGCCGTGGTCAAGGAAGTGCTGAGGTGAGGGGGCAGGAGAGGAGAGCTAGAGAAGATGCTGGGGGAGGGCTGGGGAAGCATACAGGGGGTGGGAGCTGGGAGGGAGGGTGCAGGACAACGGTTCTCTCCCCCGGCCAAGAATGGGTCTGGAAGGCGGGCGGCAGGAGAGGAAGGCTGTGGCCCTTGCTTCACCCTGCTGTCTCCCTTTTGTGGTCTGCCACCCAGACTGTACCCTGTGGTACCTGGAAATTCCCGTGTCCCAGACAGAGACGTCTGTGTGGGTGAATATATCATCCCCAAAAATGTGAGTAGAGCCTTCGGGCCCCTCCTGCTAAGCCATCCCTGCCTTGGGACTGTTGCGGTTCTCAGATACTCCCTATAAGCCCTTCAAACCCTCTCCCTGGCCTCTCTTGGATGTAATGGGGCAGTAGGGAAAAGTAGCTCCAGAAAACGGCCGAATCACAGTCAACCAGAACCTGCCTTCCTCCCAGTCCACAGGTCCTGTTCTCTCCCTCCCTCCTGGCATTCTTGGGCCCAAATTGACAAGTTTGTTTTCCTCCCTCACCAGACGCTGGTCACTCTGTGTCACTATGCCACTTCAAGGGACCCGGTCCAGTTCCCAGAACCAAATTCTTTTCGTCCAGCTCGCTGGCTAGGGGAAGGTCCAGCTCCCCACCCATTTGCATCTCTCCCCTTTGGCTTTGGCAAGCGCAGCTGCATGGGGAGACGCCTGGCAGAGCTTGAGCTGCAAATGGCCTTGGTCCAGGTGAGTGATCTAGATCTTCTACCTGCCCCAGAGCAGAGGGCTCTAAAGCCACATCTCTCCTTCTGATAGTCATGTTTTGTTGTTGTTCAGTCACTCAGGCATCTCTGACTCTTTGCAACCCCATAGACTGTAGCCCACCAGGTTCCTCTGTCCATGGGATTCCTCAGGCAAGAATCCTGGAGTGGGTTGCCATTTCCTTCTCCAGGGGATCTTCCTGACCCAGGGATTGAACCCACATCTCCTACTTGGCAAGTGGATTCTTTACCACTGAGCCACCTGGGAAGCCCTCCTGATAGGCATATGGAAATATTTAAGACTTGGGAGACCTAATCCTCTGAAATATGTCAGTCCCATCATAGGCCCGGAGGGTGAGTGAGGGTCTTTGGACCATCTTTTTCCCCACCATAATCTCTTACCCTCAGTGACTAAGACATCCCCTAGTAGCCATAGGTGCCATTCCCACACTGACCATCCTAACACTAATAATACCCGTTACCAACCAAGCCCACCATTGTAGACCCCTCCATAGTGATAGCCTTCTTCCTCCCTTTTCAGATCTTGATCCACTTTGAGGTGCAACCTGAGCCAGGTTCTGCCCCCGTCAGACCAATGACCCGGACTGTCCTGGTACCTGAGAGAAGCATCAACCTACAGTTTTTGGACAGACAGTCTGGTGGAAACAGGCTGTTATCATCACCGTGTCTCTCATCATAGGGGTTTATTAGGCATGAGACCAAGAGATGTATATTTCTCTGCAGTCTGTCTGGTTAGAGAGACCATAGCGAAGTGCTTGAAGCAGCCCTGATCGAGGTAGGAAGCATGCACCTGGCCTGACCCAGCAAGCCTTTAGAAAACCATGACCCATTAGCCTGCTTAGTCCTTCTAGTCACATGCATCCTTCAAGGGCCAGCTTCAGTGTAAACTCATCATGCTGGGTGGCCTGAGGAAGAATTGGACCACTGGCCTTTGGGGCCTCGCAGTGTTTACTGATGCTGCCGGCTAAGCACTCACCACAGCCCGAGCTAAGTGTGCGTCTGGTCTGCCCCCGACTGATCCTCTCTCGTTGCCTGTGAGCTCTTTGAGAGGAAGAATGAGGCCTTATTCTGTCCTCATACACCTTGCAGGGGCCTGTCCCCGATTGGGTGACACCACGTGGACTCTCAGATTCTATCTGGATGAGGTGGCAGAAGGGACAAGCAGCTTCCCGGGCTGTGTCTACCCTGCTTCTTCCTCATCCTGCCCCTAGGAAGGTGAGTCTATACTCACCTGGGTTATGATTTTTAAAAAACTCTCCTTGGCTCTCTGGTCACTGTTACGTTTGCTTGCCCCACCACTTAGATCCCAGGCAGAGATGTCTTTGGACCTAAGTCTTCCTTTTACATGTTGAAGTTTTTTAAATACTGTTTTTAAATTAAAAAATTGTTTTGGATGTTCTATCCTTGACTTTTGACTGACTTATTTCCCTCACTTCCGACAAAGACCTGGAGGTAAGACCCTGACCCAGATTCCCTAGGTTGGTTCCTCAGGTCCCAGAAGTGACCACCCGCCCCCACCCTGCCCCCACCCCCATAACAATGGGAGGTCTAGACACCTGGGAGAACGGTTTGCATCACAAACCCAGACACATTTCTACCTGTGGTGGGAACAGCCAAGTCTGGCTGCCTGTAAGAGATTAAGGAAGGGTGGTGTTGAAAAGTAGCTTCAAGGGCTAGGCTGTTACAAGGGGTGGGGAGGGACTTGCAGAGATGGCCAGAGATGGTTGACTGTTTGGTAGAAGAGTGCTTTTGGAACCTGGACTGCCAGGACTAAAAGGACACCTTAGCATGGCCACTCTGCCCTCTTCAGAGACATTGCTCCAAGGTAATTGATTTCCTTCAGAGAAAGATAAGGATACAGAGAGGTGAGGTCAGAGAGGATGAACGCCAAGTGTGGGGGTGGCTGGAAGCCCGAGGGCACCAAAGCAGAAGAGGAGTGGGCAGCAAGCATCCCTGTTCCCCTGAGTCAGCACTCTGGCCCCAGAGGCTGGACTCGGTTCTCTCCTCGTGATGTATACAGATTAACTCATTTTCCATACAAATGGATCTCTCAGCACCTTCCCTGCAGCACCTCCTTCCCCATGTCAGGACTTGTCCCCCTTCTTCCTGCTCCCCTCCATTCCAATTAGCAGATGGAGACGGAGATTTCACTTCACACTTCCTCCTCCTCTTACCACCTCAGCCCCTGCCCTAGACATGGCTCCCTTCCACAGAAACTCCACCAGCCGCTAGCCTTCTGGGGGCTATCTATTTATGTAAGATCTACAGAGGGGTAGGGTATACCCCCAAACCTGTGCAAAGGCCAAGGTTTGGTGCTTTCACTGCTCCCCCTCAGCTGCGTTCTCAGCTTCTAACTCTATTCACTATCACTGGCTCAACTTGAACCTAAGTGACCTGATTTGGGGCAGTTCTGAGCTTAGAGGGAGAGTAACTCCCCACTTCCTCTCAGACCCTTTCCCCTGGAATCAGTGGTCAAGATTTCTCACATTCATGCTCCTCATGGGAAAGTAGGCCTGCTCACTTGAGAAGGGCAGCAGACCTCATGGCCCTTTCCTGGACAATAATCCTTTAAAGGGGGAAAAAGGAGAGAGGATGATATAGATTGCCGGTCCCAACCTCCATACCTATACCTCCAATGGTCCAGAAGGGGAGGGGAAAATGCTGTCTCACTTAGCCCTGTTTTAGGACCGTGTGCTTGTACGTTAAGTGCCTATGTTCTTGGTTACATCTAAGCCTTTATGTGGGCCATCAAGGGGCAAATCTCAGGCTGGGCACAGGAAACCCCACCTGTATCATACCTACCTAAACCCTCTTTACTTGGATAAGAACTTGGAGTCACTTAATTTTGCTGTTTCCCTTCTGGTTCTCACCAGCTAGTCTGTGAAAGGCACATCAGTGAAGTCTGGTCCTTCTGTGTCCCTAAGTGGAGAATGTGGAAGGTTCTCTCTCTGGGGAAACTATTTCCCACTGGAAAAGGGGAGGGGGGGGCAGTATAGGGCTCAGCCTCAGTTTTCTCTCCACTTTAATCCCCTGGGGTTGGAAGTGATACACTTCAACACTTCCAGGCTACTCACACCCAAGCACATCTTTGATTCCTATACTCCCAAGCGACTCCAGGCGCCAGCACCATGGACAGCGGCTGAGACCCCTTTTGGAGAGGGATTGGGGAGGACCATTTCCCAGGCAAGGATATGTGACCTTTAACAGAGAAGCATTCCCATAACACCCCCAGGGAGAAGGCAAAGCAGAACCTTCCCTGAGAGGAGGACCAATAATAGGAGAGGCCTCTGGATCTGACTTAAGCAATGTTATGAAGTAATCATTTTAATTGCTGATGAATAGTTCACGTAAAAGACACCATCCTTCATATAACACACAGCCCCAAGGCCGCAAGAGAAAGGGACCAGGCATCACGCTGGCATCTTATTCAGTCCTTCCCAAACCTTTTCTCAGCCCTGTACGAGCCTGCCTCCAAGCACAAGATCTTCCAGTTAATATCAACCAGCTGGGGCATACCAGGATCAGACCATGACCCTGAACAAAGGAGCTTAAACTGGGGCTGGAGACTCATAACCCTGGGAGAGTCTGTCGGTCTCACTCCCAACGAGTCCAAATTCACTTCACACCACTTCTCCTGGTGAGCACATTACCTAGTAGGGATTGATAGAACCTGCAAGATTCCCTGAACAAGGACTGCTCCAGCCCCCAATGTTTAAGGGACTGGAAGAGCTCTCATTCTTGCAAATAATCACCATCCTTCACATTTGCAATGTCTATTTCCCCTCAAATTGTCCCTATCTATTATGATACTTAAGACAAATTTCCAAGACTCTGTAACTCCAGTTGAAAAACATTTTGGAATTTGTAAGTCAGCTATTATTTGAAATAAATGCACCATCAACTAATCTAGAAATCTTTTTATGCCATCACTAATTTTCCCTACAATGGCATTCAACCTGTCCCTCATTTATCCTCAATTCAGTGCTATGAGGTAGACAGGAAAACCAGGGTGGAGATTTTTTCCTAAACCACACAGCACCCAGATGTCAGGCCCACCCGAGACGCTTCTGAGCACTGCCACCCAGCAGCCAATGAGAATGATTCACCACCAGGCGGGAGTTACACCCCCAAACCAGAGCCGCTGTGCAGTCGGGGTTTGCGACCTCTGCAGAGAAACTTCCCCACACCTCCCAACCCTCCAGAAAACCCCCGTGAGAAAGGAGTCTCCATGTGCATATAAATGATTCTTTATGCCCTTCCCCCCACGCAATGGGGGGTGGAGCACAGGGAGGTACCCCCGCCCTCATGCAGGAACGGGAGGTCAATGTTCACCAGTCTTATTGCCAGCTGCCCTGTGGCCATGGGGTGGGGAATGGGGGGGGGTCTATAGCCCCTTTCTTCTGGCATTGGCCCCCCTTCACCAAGTCACCATAGTGGAGCTGGGGGGCTGGAGGCCCTGGGAGCTGAGGTAAGGACGGTTCTCTAGGGAAGAAGTGATGCTCTCCCCACCTGCCCACTGGCTGCCCCAGGATGAGTGTGAGGGGCTGTCAGTGGGGACTGGCATGTATCCAGGTGTCTCTACCCAGCGGGCAGGAGAGGCCAGACAACGTCTCCAGCGTGAAGCTGCCCGCGGAGCCCCTCGCTGGCGGAGGCCGTGTGCCCAGACACCTGGTCCAGGTGGCGCCTCCAGGAGCCATGACAGCGTATCTCTGGCCGATGCACTGACTCGACATCCCCACTCCTGAGGTTCAGTTCAGACTGTGGTGACCCTCATGACAACCTCACGGCCAGAACTGGAACTGGAACGGGCATCTGGTGGCCGCAGCTGTCCAAGGAGATGCAGGATTGTGTAGCCACAGCGCTGAGGCAAGAGCGTCCGCATGCGCTGGGCAGCCGGGGGGCGGCTGGTGGCCCCAGTAGGGGGGCCCGTCCGTGAGGTCCTGGGGCCCGGCTTCCCTGCCGTCCCTCCCCCTGCATCTCCTCCTACGTCCTTGGTCTTGTCATAATTCAGGACCTTCCACTGCTGGTTTACTGCCTGCCAGCGCTTGAAGATACGGTAGACGGAGGAGCCTTCATGGACGATGAGGCCTGAGCAAGAGGATACGAAGTCCAAAGTCAATGCTGCCCAGACCTAGACCAGAGGCACTTAAGCCAACATTTCTCCAGAGGGAGGAGACAGGGTTGCAAAGGGCCCGGAGAAGCAGGTGAGGGAGGGACACCAGGATTCCCCTAAAGGTTCTCAGTGGTAGAAAACACGGCCATGAGACTGAGGGAACGGGCAGGGAAGGTGAAGTGCGTCAGCTGGAGGAAAACGCTGAGCAGGGGAGACAGAGGGGTGCCCTCACCTATGCAGACGACATCCATGAAGCCGTACATGCCATAGCAGATCTGAAAGAGCAGATCTTGCCGTTGCCACTTGGCTGAAGGGCTAAGTGAGGACCAGATGAGCCAGGAGATGCTGGCGACGAGGAAGAGTGAGCCCAGAACTATGGCTGCAATCTGGACCTTCTCGATGACCGTCAGGGAGATGGCCTGCCACTGTACAGGAGAAAAGGCTCCAAAAAGTCACAGAAAGTGATGGAAAGCCAGGTTAGGGTTGCCCTGAATAGGAGGAGGCACCAGGAGCCTTCCTGAAACCCTTCAGGTAGGACTAATAATCTGTCTTCTCTGTGCCTTGATCAAGTCTAGAATGTGGCACTTCTGATATTGTTTGAGACCATTTCCTGTCTTATTTTAGAAAGGCATGACAGACAACTCCTCGGAAATCAGATCATCTAGGATCTGAATTCCAAATCCTTACTCACTTTCTGGCTGAGTAACTTCGGGCAAGTTTTAAAATTTACTTGTGCATCAATGTCCTCACTGACTTAAAACGCAGACACTAATGGCACGCAATTACTAGGATTAAAAGCGTTAATACACACGAAGAACTTGACACAGAGCTCTACATGTCTGCTTCCAGCAGTAACAGCAGCGCGACTGCCTTTTCCTCTTTCGTTGTCCCAGGGCCTGGCACACAGGTGGCGCCCAATAAATGTCTTTTTGAGTAAATGAAGGAAGGGAGATATTTATAGACAGGAGATGATGATAACGGAGGGGAGGGTGACTTTGAAACAAGAGTAAATGGATGAAATGAGCTGCCTGGAGGGTCCCCGATTCTAACTGCTGAAGGGCCCTTGCCCCAGTCTCAGGGTGCTCCCCTTATACCTCACCTGCAAGGGATTCTTGGTGCTGATTGCCAGGACCTGGTACTTGAAGTAGCAGAGCTCACAGCTCCAGGAGCCCCTCTCGCTGATCCAGCGGATGAGGCAGGGCTGGTGAGTGCACCGCACGGAGCCGTCGCAGCGGCAGGGGCTCAGGAGCTCCCCCTGGAGGAAGAGTGAGGAGAGGCCCTGTCAGCTATCGCCACCCGAGCTCCCCACTCCAAGAGCGGGGTCAGCTATCGCCACCTCACTCCAGGAGAGGGAAACCTCTTCTCCAGGTGTCTCCTACCTTAAAAAAAAAAATCAGGCCTTTCAGCCAAAACAAAGCAAGACGCTAAGGCTACAAGCCCAAAAGAAAAAACTCAGAGTTCAAGGTAAACTTCCCGGACCCAATAAAAGAGACAAGAGAAGGGATGGGGAAGGGGGAGTTGGCTGGTAAATACTGGGTGGTCTCTGTTCCTCGAGTTTGAGGAGGGCTTCCCAACTGGAAGGCCACCCCTTAGGATCTGGAGAAACAGAAGTGCGAGCTTCTGAGCCTTGCCTTCTTAACCCATTCCATCACTGCAAAGTGTTTCACAGATGTGGTGCAGACTGGGATAGGTTACAGTCCTCAGTTTCCAAGAATCAGAAAGGGAGATATCCTAAGGGTGGGAGTGGAGGCTGTTCCCCTTTAATCAAAGTAATTTCTCAAGACAGGAAGAGACACCCCCTTGGTGCCATCCCGGGACAACTCTGTCCGTAACATTCAAACAAAGAATATTCTTTGGAACGAGAAGGAAAGTTGTGGAATGGGAAGTGAAGTGCTCCACGGAGAGAACTACTGAGGGAGGCGACGGCACCGCCTGGGCGTCTCCTTTCAAGGTGGGAACAGAAGCATTCTCCTGTCTACCCACCTCCCAGCCCTCAGCCTACAGAGATCCTGGGGTGAGAGAAAGTGGGGGAGAAAGGCTGCCTCGGTTAAGCCGAGAGAAGGATGTGGGGCCCTCCCAGGAGAAAGCCCCACCCCTTCCTGGAGACCCCCGATCCGCCGCCACCCCAAATCTGCCCTCCTGGAGTCTCCAGCCAAGCCCCCCAACCTCACTCCATTTCCACCCCAGGTCCCTGGGTCCCGCCCAGCCTCCCCAGGCCCCGCCCCCTGCTCCCGGTCTCCCCGGGCGCCCCAGGTGCGCGCCCCCACCCCGCCCCGCCCCGCCGGGTGCCCAGGCCTGACCTGCTCAGGGCCCTGGAAGCAGATTCGGCACTGAGGGGTTCGGAGCCCGCTGTCCAGGCTGCTGCTGAGCGACAGGGCGTCCAGAGCGCCCGGGGGAGGCGGCGGAGGCGCGGGCGGCGGCGGGGGTCCGGCCCGCGCCTCCTTGTCGCCGGCCAGGCCCCGGGCTCTCGGCTCGGACCCGTAGTACTCCTCTTCGTCGTCGTCGCCGTCCCGGGCCGAGCAGCCGGCGAAGGGCGCCCAGCCGCAGCCGCCTCCCCCGCCCCCCCGGGGCTGCGGCTCGGCCGGGGGCCGCCCCCCGCCCGTCAGCACCAGCAGCTTCAGCTCGTTGAGGAACATGCGGAGCCGAGACTTGAGCATCGTCCGGGCGCCGGGGGGCGGCGTGCAAGGGGGGCTCTCGGGCGGCGGGGGGAAGGGAGAGGACAAGGCCGGGAAGGGGGCGCGCGCTGGAGAGCCAAGCCCGGCTGGGGTCTACGGGGCCTGCGAGAGCCGTTCACTGCTGCCACCGCCGGGACTCCGGGGTTTGCGGGGCCGAGAGGGCTGGCGGCCCGGGGGCGGCGGGGCGGGCGGCCATGGCCGGGGCAGGGGGCGGAGTGGGAAGGGGGCTCAGGGTACCGCGCCCCGCGGGTCCGGGTCCGGAGCGGGCCGGGCCCCCGGGGTTACAAGCCCCGGTCCTCCTGCGCCGGGGCCGCCCCCCATCGCCGTCTTCCTGGCCCCAGTCCCGCTCCGGCTCCGGCTCCGGCTCGGCCCGTGCGCTCGGCGGTGGCAAATGGCGGCTCCTTCCGGCGGCGGCGGCGGCGGAGACCCCCCCGGAGCGGCGGGCGGGCGGGGCGGGAGCCGGGGAGCCGGTGAGGGATGGAGGGAGGGGCGGGGCGGGGAGGGGGAGAGGAGGAGAAGTGGCCGCGGCTGCGCATCCCCGCCCTGCCCCGCGCGAGCAGGTGTCCCCAGAGGCGGGGGCGAGTGTGCGAACCCGGGGGAGGGCGGGGGCAGGGGCGTGGCCAAGGGAGGGGGTGTGCACATGGGTAAGAGAGTAGGTGTGCGATGGGGGTGTGGGGGGAGCGGGTGAGGATGGAAGGTGTGTGCTCACAGGCGCAGGTGCACCAGGGAGGGAGAGGCTTGTGCAAAATGCGAGTGTGCAAAGAAAGCAATCAAAAAAAAAAGGCAAGCAAGCTAAGCAAGGGTCGGAGGTGAGTGAGCAAGACATGGGCTCAAGCAATAAACACTTCTACACAAAAGACTGAAAAGTGTGCACAGTGTGGGGCCGTGGAAAAGAGATGAATGTGTCAGGGGTGGAACTGGATTGTATGAAAAACAGAAGTATGTAATTGTAATGTGTGAGGGAGGTGAGTGAGCAAAGGAGAACCAGTTGTACCCTCTCATCCCTTATTTCTACCTTACAGTTACATCCTCCCCCTCCTCTTCTTATCAATGCTGTGGGGAAAGGAATTCCAGGGAAGTTCATTGGGTCAAACACACTGGGAAAAAAATTAATTAGTAAAAAAGTAATTAACAGGAAAATGGAGGGTATGTAATCAGGGACAGATTGCCAAACTAAGGATCCTCAATAGAAAGTGATTAAGGAGAGTAATGCTCTTACAAAGCATTCAAATATTTTGGATGGATGGATGAATGAATCAGAAAAAGGGTCTGGAACCCAAGCCAAGATGGAGAATGACTTCTATTTTAAAAACAGTGAGCTTATGTGGAGGGTGAGGCTAAAGTGGGACCTTGCTGGTGTAGGAGGGAAGTTTAACACACTCAGAGACGCTTAGCCTTCCAGAGGTTTACAAACCCACCAATCCTAGCAAAATAGTCAATGAAACATTCACCTCACAAGCCCCATAATCAGTTAGCACCTTGGGATTTTTCTTACCAGAATTCCAGTTGCCTTTGCCAGCAAAGGCCCAGGACTACAACTATCAGAATGCAAAGAGGGGAAATCTGTACTGACATGTCTTCCATTTCGCCCTGGAGCATGGTTTATATGAATCTCAAGCTTGAACTCATATCCTCAGCCAGATGATTAAGGAGAACAGAAGTTAGGGCACAAGGAGAGCAAATAGAGTAGAAGAATGGTTTGAGATTTTAGACAGTTTATCATAAATGAGAAACTGATCCCTTCTTTTCCTTATTCCCATTCTCTCAAAGGGTTGGGAGACAAAGAAGTTGGAATCGGTAAGACAAGGGAAGTCAGAGAAACTTGCCTGTTGTCTACCGAGATGTCTGTGAGCAGACGTTGTTTGGGAAAAGTCTCTTAGGGTAAGGTCTAGGAAAGCTTGCCATAGGGGAAAAAAGAGAAATGCAACGACACCATATAAGGAGTCACAAGGTTTGCAGAAGGGAACACTCATTTTCATGCAGTGTGGTGATAACTTCCTTGCTCATGCTCACTCCTATGTCTCTCTATATGTGATGTATATAATATCATACACACATGTCATACCATCTTACTGCAGAAAAGAACCTTAAAGGTCAAGTATTCCTCTTTCCAGCTCATCAATAATTTCTCTGCCAGAAGGTATCTGGTCTCTGCTTTAACACTCCCAGGAAAAGGTGGAAGTTGGGAAGAGGGGACGACATTACCTTGCCACACGTCCTGTTGGATTATTGTACTAACCTGCCTTCCATCAGTCTTTTAATACTACTTTCGTCCTCAGACGGGCAGCCCCTTGGACTGCAACGAGATCCAACCAATCTATCCTAAAGGAAATCAGTCCTGAATATTCACTGGAAGGACTGATGCTGAAGCTGAAACTCCAATACTTTGGTCACCTGATACAAAGAACTGACTCACTAGAAAAGACCCTGATGCTGGGAAAGATTGAAGGCGGGAGGAGAAGGAGACGACTGAGGACGAGATGGTTGGATGGCATCACTGACTCGATAGACATGAGTTTGAATAAGCTCCGGGAGTTGGTGATGGACAGGGAAATCTGGCGTGCTGTAGTCCATGGGGTCGCTAAGAGTCAGACACGACTGAGCAACTGAACTGAACTGGGTACTGTCTACTCCCTATATTACATGACCACATGTAAAATATGGTACTATATCTTTATAGATAACTTTATCACTAGTTGAAAAAAAGGTCAAGTGAGACACGAAAAAAAATTAAAAAAAGAAACCCCACATACACACAGGAAGCAAGGACTCAGTAAACATTTGCTGAATGAATGAATGAAACAAAGACACAAATGAGAACATGTTTTCCGCTGGCGATGGAGCAGAAAGACGACAGCACCACCTCCCGTCCCTCGACCCACCTCCCCGCTTAAAGAGAGTGAGAGACGGGTAGTGAGACTCAGGCTCGGCCTGCAGCCCAGAGTTGGGAATCCTGGGTGGCCCAGGTTGCCATGGCACCGCATTGTACTCCACCCTCTCTCTTCTCCCGCCCCTCCGGCCCACCGCCCCAGCCAGAGTTAAGGCAGCCAGTCACGTGCCCTTCAGCGTAACCACACCTCTGCTCCTCCAAGCAATGTCAAGCGGTCACGTGTGATAGCAACAGATCACGTGGTATCATCGCTCCTCCGCCTCTTTCCCCTCCTCGCCCCTTTCGCGTTCAAAGCCGCTTCCCGGCTGCCCCTCTGCGCATGAGCAGCCTGGTCACGTGGCCCGAACGTCCGGCGTTCGCCCCGCCCCTCCGATTTCCGCGCGCCTCTTTGGCAGCTGGTCACATGGTGAGGGTGGGGGTAAAGGGGGCCGCTCTAGCCTGCGGCCTGTGTCTATGGTCGGGCCCGTAGCGTCCAGCTGCCCAGGACAGACCTCGAGTGTATGGCGCTGCAGGAACCGGCTCCGGGGTCCGGATAACGGGCCGACCCCGCAGCTCCTGACACGGGGCGAGGTGAGCGTAGCCCTTTTCAGGAATGGGGACCATTCTCGCCCCCCCACTGCTTTCTACGCGGGCTGGTTATAGAAGGATTGCTCGAGGGCGGGAAGTGGGGCAGGATGTGATAAAGTTCTTTTGTGGCCGATGGGAGGTGTAATTTCAGGAACTGGGTGTCGGATCTTTGATGTAGGGGGTGTGTCGTATGGGATTTCCCTTGTGTGGGGCTCGGTGGTCCCAAAGGAAAACGCATTTCTGAGAAAGTAATAGGGCCTCTCGTGGCTGGAGGGTTTGGGGCTATTGTGTTACCTAGGGGGCTGCCCTCGGGGAAGTGTGGGGATGCTGTCGGTGGTGTCTGTGCGATGCCTTTCGTGGGAGTCGCTTTGTTGCCGCAGGCTCATTGAGTCTCTGTGATTGTAGGCTCTCCTCTGGCCTAAGAATGGCTACCTCCCGATACGAGCCAGTGGCTGAAATTGGTGTCGGTGCCTATGGGACAGTGTACAAGGCCCGTGACCCCCACAGTGGCCACTTTGTGGCCCTCAAGAGTGTAAGAGTCCCCAATGGAGGAGGTGCTGGAGGGGGCCTGCCCATCAGCACCGTTCGGGAGGTGGCCTTACTGCGGCGTCTGGAGGCTTTTGAGCATCCCAATGTTGTCAGGTGAGAAGCAGATGGAAGGGTGGGAGTGGGTCGTGAAAGGAAAAAGACTCCACATCTAACCTGTAGATGTGGAGTGGTGGCCGGAAGAGGCGTGGGAACCCCGAGGAGATAGCGGAGGCCCTGTCAGTCGGTCCGAGACCATTGCTCAGTGAGTGACCACTTGTTCTGGCCAGGCTCATGGATGTCTGTGCAACAGCCCGGACTGACCGGGAGACCAAAGTGACCCTGGTGTTTGAGCATGTGGACCAAGACCTCAGGACGTATCTGGACAAGGCACCCCCACCAGGCTTGCCAGTGGAGACCATAAAGGTAAGTAAGGTGGGCAGACCCTGAGAGGTAGCTTGAGACCTTCGTGGTAGTTTCTGTTGTAACTTCAGGCGTGGCACCTGGTTCCCAGTTTCTCTGTACTTCCCCCTTCCAAACCAGGATCTGATGCGCCAGTTTCTAAGAGGCCTGGATTTCCTTCATGCCAACTGCATTGTTCACCGAGACCTGAAGCCAGAGAACATTCTGGTGACAAGTGGTGGGACAGTCAAGCTGGCTGACTTTGGCCTGGCCAGAATCTACAGCTACCAGATGGCACTTACCCCTGTGGTCAGTAGAATGATGGTGGCCAGGATGGGATCTGGCTGGGGGAGAAGAGTGGTTGCCCATAGCAGTTGAGAAGGAACGTGTTTTTTCACGTGCTTTGCAATAACTTGCAGGACTCTCATCCGCACTACTTATTCCTACCAGGTTGTTACACTCTGGTATCGCGCTCCAGAAGTCCTGTTGCAGTCTACATATGCAACACCCGTGGACATGTGGAGCGTTGGCTGTATCTTCGCAGAGATGTTTCGTCGAAAGTATGGGGCCCAAGTATCCCAAACATTTTGAATTTCCCGTGTTTTATTCATAAACCACACCCATACCCTGCCCACTCTTCCACTTACTACTGGCCACCTTGTTCATAGCCGGAAACTCTGAATTAGGAATTTCAGAATTAGGAATTTCATAGCCCTTTATTCTCCACGCCCTGTTTTGAGCCACTAAGCAGATATCTACCACCCTGTCTTTGAAAGACTGCTACCGGAATGAATGTCTCTTTTCACCTTAGGCCTCTCTTCTGTGGAAACTCTGAAGCTGACCAGTTAGGCAAAATCTTTGAGTAAGTGACCTGCAAGGGGGAAGAACTTTGCATTTCGAGTCCTCTTTCTGCTGCTGGCTTGATAGCAGCTGGCTTTGCCCTGGAGATGGGGGCTGGAAAAGGGCCTTCCTGACCAGAATTCTCCTGTTCCCTATAGCCTGATCGGACTGCCCCCAGAGGATGACTGGCCCCGAGATGTGTCTCTACCCCGAGGAGCCTTTTCCCCCAGAGGGCCCCGGCCAGTGCAGTCGGTGGTCCCTGAGCTGGAGGAATCTGGAGCACAGCTGCTGCTGGTAATAGACTCAGGCACGGGCACAGGGCGAGATCGCTGGGGCAAATCACGTGTTTGGCGCTCAGTTGTGTCAGACGCTTGACAACCCCATGGACTGGAGCCCACTGGAGTGGGTTGCCATTTCCTTCTCCAGGGGATCTTACGAACCCAGGGATTGAACCCAGGTCTCCTGCATTGCAGGCAGTTTATTTTACCACTTGAGCCACCAACAGGGGGAAATGGAGCAGGATAAAAGGAACCCAAGTGCATTGTTGTTACGGAGACTTGTCAGTGAAAGGGCTGGTTTCTTTTTTTTTTTTTTACTGTTTTGAACGGCTGTCCACAGGAGGGATAGAGAAAATCACCCATTCTAGGTATCGTTGGAGGTAAGCAGGAGTCTTTTTTGTTTCTTGCATGTTTTCTGATTTTTGTGTCCCTTCTCAGGAGATGCTGAGTTTTAACCCACACAAGCGAATCTCTGCCTTCCGAGCGCTGCAGCACCCTTATCTACACAAGGCAGAAGGTGACGCAGAGTAAGCAACGGAATGGCTGGAACAGAACCAAGGCGAGAGACCACCAAATTTCCCTTCCTTTGAACACTTGAGTGGAGAGCACCCCCACTGAGAAGGCAACCTCTGCCTTCACCTCTGAAGCTGTGGCGGTGACTCCAACTTTTTACAGACGATATTTTACTGCCTTAACGACATTCCCCTCCCACCCTTCTGAGGCTTATCCTTATCCTGTGTCCTTACACCAAGGGGTATGTCCCTTGTGCTCCCCTTCTTTATACCTTTATATTGGGATCCTTTTTTATACAGGACAAACAAAACAAAGAAATAATGGTCTTTTTTTTTTTTTTAATGTTTCTTCCTCTGATTGACTTTACTCTTTGGGGATTTGAAAAAAACCATTTGGAAGATGGAACTTCCTTGCAGATTATCTTTAGATCACAGGGTCTACATAGTCAGTGGAGCCCCTCAACTAACGAGAAGAAAAGGCACTTACATGGCTTCTTTGATTATAGAGTTTAAATGGTTTTTATTTTTATATTCACTGAACTTCCCCAACCAGGTCCTCCTTATTACAAGAGTTCTTGGTAGTTTTCTCTCTGGATCTGTCCCCGATTTACCCTTGGAGCAAAGATGTGTTGAGGTGGTCAAGCATGTGGCAGGGAGAAGAGGGGAAACAGCCAGGAATGACTCCAACCCCCATCCTGTCTCCCGTAATCCTGGAAACTTCCCATATCCACTTAGGGAGAGAAGAAGGAAGAAGGGTTTTTCTTTATTCGTCATAATCTTTCTCCCAGCAAAACATCAAGGCATAAAGCCTAACTGTTCAGTCATCTTTAGGGAACATGGCAAAGGGCCTTTCCTTTTTCTCAAACAAAAAGGGCTAGAGACCCCGAGTTTTCCCTAAGGGAAAAAAAGCCTAGGGAGAGCAGACAGCAGAAGAGATGTCAGAAGGACCCAGTCTCATAGAAAGGCACTGGGGTTGGCTCGAGGATCCTTCTGATTCCGAAATCTCATCGCTAGCCAAACACCAAGGATCTGTAGACACAAAGAGAAAAGAGATACGCCCAAACTGTGAATCTGGGGCTAAGACTTGGAGTGTACAAAGGGATAAGGGATATGAGGGAACTAGAGAATGTTACCTCTGTGAAGCTAAAGAAGAGGCCAACACCCCCCAGGATTTTTAGGGCTTCATCTGAATGCTTAAGAAATTTTTCTCCACACATCTGACATGTGGGGCTCCGGCTCTTGCAGACCTGAGGGAAAAACACACACATGCATGTTTGATGCTGCGGTGCTCTATCGTAACTATGGTGAATGACCCTAGGAATTATTTTCCAGTTCCTGATTAGTATCCTATAGACTGGACTCTCACTTGGCTAATTCTCTAGAATCTGTATCCATCCCCCAACTCCTACCAGCACACAGCCCCAGTACAAGTGAGCTGCTAAAGACAGGCAATCACAAGCTCAAATCTGCCAATTTGAGCATCGGCCTTAGCCAGTTTTCTATCACACAAACCACCGCCACCCCCCCACCCACTCCCATGCCAGCTCACTGCAGTGCAGAAAGCATAATCTTGTTGATCCAGGGTTGTAAGGTTGAACAAGCCACAGCAATCAAAGCTTCTTTCCAGTTCATCCCGGGTCTTGTTGCTCATGACCCACCAAGAAGCATTGATGACATCTGTCTGGAGGATACAGGCAGAAGGAAATCATTTGATGCTGCTAACCTTAAGAATCCCCTACATTTTGATCCCAGTTCCAGTGCTTCAGTTTCCCTTTTTAAGCAAAGGGAGTTAACGTCCTTCAAAAGCAAAGGTGCAGACACAGTAACTATCCACTTCCTTCTGGATGGTCCTCACGGTCAGTCAGCCGGACATCCCAAAGGAAGCAAACAGCTCTGGAAGTAGTGGCTCTAAGTATGATCTTTGGAGCCAGACTGAGTAAGGAGTCAAGAGGTTAGAGGGTTGGGGGAAAGTGAGTACTTGAAAGGGCACCTTCTTACCTGTTTGCTTAGGTTAATAGCCAGACATGAGCAAGAGATTCCAAACTGGAAGATGAAGACCAAACCAAGGATGATCATGTACTGAGAGGAAAAGTTACGGAAAAAAAAATTACCAGATTCCTTTATGGTCCACCTATAGTAACAATCTGATCTAGTCAAAGAACTTACACAGTTATGTCAGTTGAAAACAAAATCACTGGCTTTTGTTTATGGGCAAGGAGACATACCCCCCCAAACACCGGAGGTCTCCAGCCCCCTCCTGACTGGCTAACACAGTCCTCGCGAGAGCCCCGGTGCCCCAGTCACTTCAGGTCAGGATACAAAGAAAAGCAGCACTTGGTGGTGGTTGACAGCACCCACCAGTCCAGCAACCGCGATGAGAAGAAGGAAGACCCCCACTGCCATGACGCCTCCGATGATATGGATGCTGGACACCAGACCCAGGCCCTTAGCCCAGGCAGCCACTCCAATGAGCAATAAGCCTACCAGCTACGAGAGACAGCAGGATGTATCTCAAAAGAAGGCCAGTGTGCATCACCGCCAAAGGCCGAGGTGAGAGCCGTGCTGGACAATAAAGGAGAGCTGAGTTTTGCGTGAGTGAGCGCGAGGAGGTACGACCAGGACCGGGACCGTCCCCGGACACCCCTCCCATCAGAGGTGAGAACGGCTGGAGCAGGGCTGAGACGCCGCAGGGAGCGTAAAGTGTATGAATATAAAATGGAACACTTAGCTTCATCCATCACTTCCATTTGGGAGAAGCCTAAATTCAGAAGAGGGGGGGCTGGGCCTTGAGCCCCACGATGAGCCTTCACTTCATCACCCCCCACCCCTAGATAAACGCTCTGATCACCGGAAGTCTCCGCTCTTCCCACGGAAGTCTCCAGGAATCCCCTCGTCGCCGGAAGTTCCCGGGAATCTTCCCGGAACCCCAGTACATCCCTCTCCCCATCCGAAGTCCCCTAGACATTCTCTCCACTGGCCTTTCCGCCCTGGAGCTCCCCCCCGCCTCCAAAACCTCACCATGTAGACCACGTTGAGCGCGCAGAGCGCATTCTTGGAGCAGGCAAAGCCTCCGCAAACCATCTCCCCAGCTTTGGGGACCCAAGTGGTCCCAAGGACTTGGGGGGAGGGTCTCGTGGACCGTCTTCTTGGACCCCGACAGCTTCTGTCTCTTTAAATCGAGTCCAGCCAAACCCAATCCTCTGCGCCTGCCCCGTCCCACCCCCGCCTTTGGATTGGCGAAACTCGGCACTAATCTAGGACGTCGGTGGCCTGAATGCCAATCAATCTGCATCGCGTCACTGACCCGCCTGCCGGCCCCTCCTTTAGGTTCTTTATTGGATGAAACTTAAAACTGGGGGCAGGGCTTCCAGAGAGTCTCATAGGGACTGAAGCCTAAATTTCAAAACCCCGGATTGAAAACGGAGTTTTCTGTGGTGGCGGCTGCAAGAGGACTTATCCGACGGAGGAGGCTCCCGGAAACTCCGGTGAAGAGAAGGTGCTTCAAGGGGCCAGGTGAAAGGGCTCCTCCCCTCAAGGGACGGCCCTCCCGCCCCTTTCCCCTTGTCCAGCAATGACCTCATGATGACGCTCTCGTTTGCTACTATTGCATCACATTCGGGAACACCCAGAGAAGCAAGACTAAGCTATTTAGGCTGGCCGTAGAGGCCCCAGGTTGGGCATACCACCACCTAGCAAACATGCTCATCTTTGCAAGTGCGTCCGCTAGTGCACATCCCCTCCTGATGGGGTGTGAACATGCTAGAGATTCAGTATGAAAATTAGCAGCCTCGGATTGGCGCGTCCCTGTATGTGACAAAACCACAAGACGCACATGAGTGTGCTGGAGTCTTCAGAGCACATGTCTGATCCTGCGCGGTAAAAAAAAAAAAAAGACAAAGGGAGGGGCCTGGATTATGAATACATATCAGGGGAAGGCGGAGTCTTCACATTTTCACTCCAGGGTCGGGGGGTGGTGGTTGATCAATATCTGTTTATTAAGGAATAAATGCTTTGACGTGCCGCCTTTTGCGTGGGGATAGGAAAAGACATAGTTCCTCTTCACCAAAAGAAAGAGGCAGTCGTAGTACGAACACAAGTGAAAAACCTCCCTTCAGCCCTACAGAATGATTTACATTCGTGTGTAACTAGAGTCTATGACCGCATAAGTGGCACCATCTTACCGCTCAAGTCAGACCGCAGGGCTTCCACCTTTGCGGCTTACTAGCTGTGTAACCTTTGGCCAGTTACGTAAGCTCCCTCTGCCTGTTTCCTCATCTGTAAAATGGGGATAAATAACCACACACCTACCTCTTGTGTTGTGAAAATTGAATGAGTTAATATACATATAGAATGCTTAGAATATATGTAGAATGGTTACCTTGTGCATAGTAAACACTCACTGCTAGTTATCTTTTGGGCTATTTTACAGTTTCCAGTGGGTAATCCCAACTCTAGTTCTCTTATCTCCAACTACACATTCATATATTAAAATCCCCCGTCCGTCACAAATTAGTATCAGTAAGATAAACAGGAGAAGAGGCAATAGGCAGGGCCAGAAAGGTTTAAGTCCTGAAACAAAATGATTCCATCAAACTACCCAGTGTTTTCCTCTTCACTCCCTCCTCCCACCGCATCTTCTTTCTGTCCTTCAATTCCTCACCCACCCTCTTTCAGGGACTAAATCAAGGACAGGACAGCGGTATCAGGCATAAGGGGAGCTGGTTGGCAAGCGTCTTAGTTGGGCAGTGTAGTGAAAAGTGTATCAGAATTATAATCAGAATACCTAAATCCGTATCTTTGTGTCACTTCTTACTGGCCTCTCTGAGCTTGTTTCCTTTTCTGCCAAATAGGGATAAAAATCCTACCCCTTGGGCCTGTTGTGAAGTCAGTATATATGAAAGTGTGTTGTAAACTATTAAGTGTTACAGACAAGTCCGTTATTATGACAGTGAACATGGAGCCTGCTGGTTTTGTCTGGTGACGGCTTACTGTCTTCCATAACTTGTTCTCCCTACTTGGCCCTTTCAAGCAGGAGGTGGTTGCGGTGGGGTAGCTGACTAAGGAAGGGTTACATTGCAAGATGCTAAGTGTGTGAACCCTTTGGATGTGCAGAGTAGGTGGGGAGTACAGCTGTAAGCTGGAATGCAGGGCATTAAAGGTGTCAGGCCGAGTGTGTGTGGATTCCTGTGAGGGTTTGAGACTGCACACAACCCTATAGGTCACCAAGAGTTTGGGATTGCACCTGGGACCTGGCAGGCCACACTCTCCCCTCACCAACACCCGTCTTAATTAGCCACCTCCCACAGGAGGCCCTGGATGCTCATTAAGGCCTCACCATCCACCTGGCTGGGGAGCTGTGGCAGGGGCTGGCGGGCAGAGCTGACAGGCCAACGCTAGAGGGGGTGGGTGATGCAGGAGGTAGTGCTGACCCAGGCTGTGGGTTTGAAACTCACCAGTCAGGAAGTGAAGTCGACAGACAGACGGAAGGGCGGGCAGGGGAGGGGTGTTCTGAGGCTGAGCAGAGGGGCCTTCTGGGGTTTGGGGGCTGTGGGACCATGGGCTTCGGGGCCAGTGGTTGCTCTTAGCCCAGCAAGACAGGTCTGGGCAACATGCATGCCCAGAGGCAGCTGGCCGTGGCTGCAGTCCGCGCAGAAGTCAGACGACATGAGGTGGCCAGGCAGGCCCTAAACCGCCTCAGGAAGCTGGCAGAGAGGGTGAGCGACCCTGAACTTCGGGACCGCATTCAAGCCTCGCTGGACAGCGTACGAGGTAAGAGAAGGATTTGCTCCCAACTTGGGTGTCTTGAGGACCAGCAGGGGCATATAAGGGCTTGCCGGGTCATCATTTCCCAATCAGCCACTTTCTGGTTCCCAAGATGGAGCTTGGACTTGGGGGAAGAATACATGTGGAAAGGATGGAAAAAGACAGAGGAGGTATCATTCTTCCTCTTTCCCCAACTCTGCTCCTCCTCCCAGGGGATCAAAATAAAGGTCACTGCTGAGCTGACCTTGGCAATGGAGAAATGGGTGAGCATGAGGAAGACAGGCCGTGACAGACCCATGGCAGACGTAGACCCTGCTGGGGGAGTCTGAGGCAGGAAGCAGTTTGGGACAAGAGGTTCCAGAACCGGATAATGTGGTCATTCCCAGGACCCACGAAGGATCAGTGACCTCTTGTTTTCCAGCTGTAGAGCGAACACACACACACACACACACACATGCATACCAGAAGTACACCACGCAGAGTATCTGAGGCTCCCAGACACCCGCTAACACTCACACAGCCTGCTCTGCGCAGCTGAAAGTGCAGAGAAGTCCCCAGGCCTCTCCTCGGTCCCCTTTCCTCCCCGTGCTCCTGTTCCTGTCTTCCCCCCACACACACCTTCCGCTCTACCTCCTTAGTGCCATTAGAGCAAGTGATGACAGCACAGGGAGGAAGTGCTGCCATGGCAACACCATCCGCCACATCCTCCTGCCCACCCCAGCCTTCAGTCCTGTGGTGGGGCCCTGGCGGGAGTAGCTTCTCTCTATCCACAAGGCCCCACCACTAGGGAACTAGTGGAGCTGGAGGTCATCTCTGGTCCGGTGTCATTTAATTTGCCTCTGAAGCCGCAGAGAGCCAATAAAAGCTAGCTACTTTGCTCACTAAAGGTGTCTGGGTGAAGCATATCCTCCATTGTACCCTAGTTTCTTCCAGGCTCTCCACGCTTAGCTGCCTATCTGGGGGTTGCGGTGGGGGATGAGTGGGCAAGAGACTGTTCTTTCCATCAAGGATGATTCCTGCCAGACCCCTCTGATAGTAGAGGCCAGCAGAAAGGAACTTTCGGTTCACTTGGGGAAGGAACAGTTTGGTTCAGGTTCCTAAGGGAACAGTTTCATTCCTTTTTCATTGCCTTTCTTCCACTGGTACCCCCTCACCATCTCTCCCCCACCTTTTGCCAAGACTTACAGCTGATACCTTCCCTACAGCGGTCAGAAAAGGAGACCTAGGGGGAGTGGCCCCATGAGGCCTCCTAGGGAGGAACTGCAAGCTCCACCAGCTGCTTAAGGGAAAAAAAAGAGTGGGGGAGGAAAGAGTTTTAGTCCAGGTAGAGGAACACAGCTTATCTATGGAGAGGAGGGAGAGAGAAAGGATGGAGGCTAAACTCTCTGAGAAAACCACTCTTCCTAAGTGATTTGTTCCGCTCCACTCTAACTAAGAGACAGGATTCTGTTCCCATTGAACATAAAGGAAAACTGAGACAACCAAAGGAAGGAATATTAAGCCAGAAGCAACACATTTTCACCCTCTCTTTCAGAAAAGGCTGTTGAAGGGTCTTCTGTTCTGGGGACGGTGTCATCCTTTTGCTGGGGTTGGGAGGGGGGCGCTGGTGGGTGCTGACTGAGGACCGCGGAGGGACTGGGCACAAGTTTCAGGGAGAACAAAGGGCACCCAGCATCCTGGTACCGTCCCCCCCTCATCCCCTACCAGGCCCAGCATGCCGCTGGCTTCTGCCTCCAAGAGCCGCCCACGGCAGCACTTATTATAGTCTCCACTGCGTCAGGAGGGTGGGACGCCAAATTAGGGGAACGCTGAGACTCCCCAAGTCCCAGGGAGGGGACTTCAAGGCTGAAAGGGAGGCCTCCCTCGACTGGTGCCTCACACCTGCCCGTCTCATCGTCTGTCTTCCATCTGCCTAGCCCTTTCAACCTTCTCCCTGGGCTGGAGGACAGTCAGCCTTTAACTCCAGGGTCCCTAAAGGGCTGGAGGACACCGAGCATTTTCCTTCTATCTCCTCTTTAACCTTCGGGGAAAAAGCCCCACCCCGGAAAACCTCAGGAGACTGAATAGGACTCAGAGGAGGCCTGGACCCTCTGCCGCAGCTGAGGGGGTCTGTATGTTGGGCCGCTAAACGCTCGGCCTGTGTGTAACCAGGTGTGAAGGTGGCGCCTCCATTGCCCGGCCGGTCCCCCCACCCACCATACGCACCGAGCCTCCTCTCTGCTTATCCCCGCTCTTTCTGAGGCGCTCTTGGAGCTACGGTTGCTATGGAGACCGGATGCATTTTGGTATGGGGGGTGGTGTCGATCTGCAGACGTCTTCTTTCTCCTTCCACCCCAAGCTGGAGCCTTGGGACTCACTTTTCCGTCGGGCTCTTCCACTCCGTAGATCTCTCTCCACTTGAGGCAGCCCCTCCTTCCACCCACCCTGCTAAGTTCCATGTTTGTCCCCATCCCCGGGGAACACTTTCCAAGTTCACTTTGGGACAGTTAGGCTCAAGTCATGGCCCAGTCAATGCACTGCGTGTGGAAGGTGGGGGTGGGCGACGGGGCTGGGTCGTGGGAAGAGGAACCCGTGCAAGTACCTGGGGAAAACAAGGGGTCCTGGGAAAGGGATTTCAAGGCTCCCCATTTTCCCACGTCAGCTTCCCCGCGATTGACAGTGAACCTGAATTTGCTCCGTTTTCGCCGGGGATTGCCCACCCATACAACGATTTTTACTCCCTAGCCTAAAGGCCACACCCAACGGTAGCCTCCCTAACCGAGGTGCGCTGGGGAGGGGGCTCGATGTTGGAGTAGGTGAGTCCAAGTTCCACGAAATCCAGCCCAGGATTTGGGAGGGAAATCCAGTCCTGGATTTTGCACCGCCTTCGCAGACAGCCGTGCCGGTGGAGAGAAGGTGGGGGGGAGACTGGGTGGGGGGGCGGGGGGCCGCCTCCTCCTCACTGTGAGGGGAGCGCCCGGACACAGCGCGCATCCGGACCGAGCCGAGCCCCGCCGAGCCCCCCGGACCCTGCGCCCGGATCTCACTCCCCTCCTCTCCAGGACCCCAGACCTGTGGGTTCCCACCCCCTCCGGCTTCCCTCCTTCCTCCCCCGCCGGCGCCTGTATCTCCATGCCCAGCATCCTCCCCGCGCCCCTGCGAATCCCCCGCACGACCAGCCCCATTAGCTTCCCACCCTCCTAAAGACCCCCTCCCCGACCCCCGTCCGCGGCCCCTGTCCCTCGAGTCCCCACTCCCCGCCCCTGCCTCCCCCGCACCGGGTCTTCTCCCTCAGCCCCGGGTTCCTCTTTTCTGCCCCGTTTTCCTCCCTCTCCCCGTTTGCCCCCACTACAGTCCTCCCCGCCCTCCCCCGCCCATCTCAGCGCCCCCACCCAGGCCGGGGTGCAGGGTCCGGCGCGCCTCCTTGGAGCAGCACCAAGGTCCCGGGGTTCCAACGGGGTGGGGGCGCAGGGCGGGGAGCATGGGGAGGGGGCGCCCCGTGTGATGGGAGGGGGGCGCAAGCGAAGGCGGCGGCGGCGGCGGCGACAGCGGAGCCGGGCCGGGGGCTCAGCGGGGTCCGGGGGCTGGGGGCAGCGAGCAGGGCGGCCCCATGGCCGGGCCCCCCTGAGGCAGTCCGGGGGAGTCCCCTCCCCTCCCCAGCTCGGGGGTCTCGGGGCCCCATGAGCCGGGGCGCGGGCGCGCTTCAGCGCCGGACAACGACCTACCTCATCTCGCTGACCCTGGTCAAGCTCGAGTCGGTGCCTCCGCCGCCGCCTTCTCCGTCTGCGGCCGCAGCCGGCGCCCCTGGGACCAGAGGTACCGAGACCGCGGATCCCGGCAGCCCCCGAGGCGCTGACGAGCCGGGCAAGAAGCGGCACGAGCGGCTCTTCCACCGGCAGGATGCGCTGTGGATCAGCACGAGCAGCGCGGGCGCCGGGGGCGCCGAGCCCCTCGCCCTGTCCCCGGCTCCGGCCAGCCCGGCCCGCCCCGTCTCTCCCGCTCCCGGCCGCCGCCTCTCCCTCTGGGCCGCCCCTCCCGGACCCCCGCTCTCCGGGGGGCTGAGTCCAGACCCCAAGCCCGGGGGCGCCCCCACCTCCTCCCGGCGCCCCCTGCTCAGCAGCCCGAGCTGGGGGGGCCCGGAACCCGAAGGCCGGGCGGGCGTCGGCGTCCCCGGCTCGTCCTCCCCGCACCCCGGCACCGGCAGCCGGAGGCTCAAGGTGGCGCCTCCTCCGCCGGCTCCCAAGCCTTGCAAGACCGTGACCACGAGTGGCGCCAAAGCCGGCGGGGGCAAGGGCGCCGGTAGCCGCCTGTCATGGCCCGAAAGCGAGGGCAAGCCCAGGGTCAAGGGGTCAAAGAGCAGCGCCGGGACTGGAGTTTCTGCCGCCGCCGGCGCCCCCGGGGGAGGGGGAGCGGCCGCCACGACCTCTGGTGGGGTCGGGGCTGGGCCCGGAGTCCGAGGGAAGCTGTCCCCTCGGAAAGGCAAGAGTAAGACCTTGGACAACAGTGACTTGCACCCGGGACCGCCCGCCGGCTCTCCTCCGCTAACCGTCCCAGCCACCCTGGCTCCCGCCTCTGCCGTCTCCGCCGCCTCCGCGCTGCCCACCGGGCCTGCAACTCCAGTCACTCTGGAGGCTCCGGCTCCCGGGCTGAAACGGGGCCGGGAGGGGGGCCGAGCATCCACTCGGGACCGCAAGATGCTCAAGTTTATCAGCGGCATCTTTACCAAGAGCACAGGAGGGCCTCCCGGCCCCGGGCCCCCTCCCGGCCCCCCGGGCCTATCTTCCGGCTGCGGGTCTAGGGAGCTGCTGGGTGCGGAGCTCCGCGCCTCCCCCAGTGAGTAGGCCCAGGGCCTGAGGACAGGGAGGGGAGGGCACCTGGAATGCTCAGCTCGGGGTGGAGGAGTGGTGTGCAGGGCTGACGGAGAGCAGCTTCTTGGGTGGACGGATGAACCGGGTTCATTTCTCTGCCAAGAACTGGGGCAAAAAGGATAAGAGGTCCTAGAAGCGGAGTGAGTAGGCATTGTGGAGACGAGGATGTCAGAGGGACTCAGAAAGCCTCAGAGCTTTCTGGGATAAATAATGCCCTTGGTCAGCGTGGTTGTAGGAAATTGCTCCTAGAGAGGCCCCAGACTCCACTCCCAGCTTCAGCTGGCCTCTGGGAGCATGGAAACGGCTTTGCTTTGCCCAGAGGTTTACTGAGGGAGAAAGGGATGGGGAAGCCTCAGTTTCTCCTGAGCACTTGGGGTGGGTGGCAGCAGAGTGACCTTGCAGACAGTCCTCGCCCGGGACAGGTCTTTTGCTGGGCTGAGAGCAGGCTGGTGAGGCCTGTAGCAGGAAGGGACAGGGTTCTTTCCATGCAGGGAAGGCGAATTGGGCAGTAAGGGAGTGCGCGGGGGCCAGAACGTGCTGAACACTTGCGTGTGAAGTGAGGGGTTGGATAGGTAGCCTCACTCCCCGCCACCGCCCACCCCAGCCCCAGAGTGCATTGAAATTCCTAGGGGGCCTGACCGGGAGTGACTCAGTGGGGTGGAACTGCTGCAAAGGCAATTCTTACCCCTGGAGACTTGGGAGGGGGTACGGAGAAAGTACTGTTTGTTTGTTTTTTTTTCCGGTGGCGGGGGCGGGGGGGCGGCTGTCTTTATTTATTTATTTTCTGGAAGAGAGAGGCGAGGGCGTCTCGGTTCAGCTCACACTCCCGGGAGAGGTGGCCAGTCCGGGAGCGCAGGCGGCCCCCGGGGTTTGGCTCTGGAGCGGGTGGGAGCAGATGGCTCCGGATCCCAGAGTTCCCGCCGCAGCTGCGGCGCCCCGGGAACGTCCGGCTAGTGTCAGGCGCGGGGGCTGGACCCGGCGGGCGGAAGGAGCATCTTTTCCTCTCCCGCCCCCCGCCCTACCCCTCCCCAGGCCGGTGGCTTCTCTCGGCCTGGGAGTGGAGCCCGGTTCCCCATCGTTCTTCTGAAGGGTGCCGGTGAGGAGGGTATGAGCGGGGGGGTATAGAAAAATCCAAGCTCCATTCCTTGGGCTGTGGGGAGGGGTCAGGGCCACAGTGCGGTTGACCTTGAAAAGGGGGAATGATATCTTCACTTCAGGTTCTGTCCTATGAAAGGGAGATTGAGGCGGACCCACTCCCTCCTATGTCCCAGTCCCTTTTTCTGGGGATTTACCCTGGGTATCAGTCAGTTTGGTAAGCAGGACACCGTTTCGCCTTCTAGAGGGAAGACCCCGTCACTGTCAGAGCCTTGGTCCCCCAGTCCGGGGCAGGGACTCACGTTTGGGGATGTGTTTTAAGGGAGATGCCCGCTGAAGTATTTTTGTCTTGCTGGCTCTGTTGCTAAGCAACCACTGAGCGGCAGCAACAGCTGTGGGGAGAGAGACTAGGATGGGAGGACTGGGGACCACTCTCAACTCAGCTTTTCCACACAGCGCTCCAGCCCAGGCAGGGCAACTACAAAAGGAGGAGGGGTAACAGGGTTGGGAGCCCTCCTTGGCCTGGAGCATCCCTCCTAAGACTCCTCTTCTGTTACAGAAGCTGTGGTCAACAGCCAGGAGTGGACTTTGAGCCGCTCCATTCCTGAACTGCGCCTGGTAGGTGACCCAGTCTCCTTGTCTGTATGAAGGTTGATCTCCCTGCCACTGGCACTCTCAGCTCTCACCTTCACTTCTCCCCTCCCCTCCCTCTATGACAATGGGGAATAGTTTTCCAGTTCTCCTGAGATTCTAGCTTCATAGCACCTTCCCGGGGCTTGACACATCCTCATAACTACTTCTATAGTTTCCCTTCTTCCTGCTGGTCCACCGTCCTCTTCCAGGTTTCTCCTCATTTCTGACTTCTCCTCTTCAGCCCTTCAGGTTCTGTTGCCTAGAATTGGGTAAAAATTTCCAACTAGTGCCTAGAGCTGTGACATGTCCCTCACCAGACATGCATCTGATATGTTTCCTAAACAGAACACCAAAAAAAAAAAAAGGCACTGAATTGACATTATTCAGCTTGTGGTCATTTCTTACAACACTCGTGGCCTGATCCTCGCAAATGCCCTCCTGATTGATGTCACCCAGGCCCTGTAGAACCCTGCTTGGAAGACTTAACACTGCCAGTTCCTTTGAGTTCTCTGGAATGTTCAGACTCAGTCATCCTGCCTCTTCTTAATTCCTTCCATCTCTGCTCTACAACCTTTCCTCAGGGTGTGCTGGGCGATGCCCGGAGTGGGAAGTCATCGCTTATTCACCGATTCCTGACCGGTTCATACCAGGTGCTGGAGAAGACAGAGAGTGAGTTTTCAGGAGCCGCAGGAAGCCAAGGGTGGGGTCAGGGCTCTGGGCGGTGTGATTAATGACTCTGCAGGTATGGTGACCAGGGGGAACGATGCAGCCACAACAGCTAAAATACAAGGAGCGTGGGGAGGTTTGGTGACCTGTGACCTCTGACCTCCTATCACTCCCAACTCTTCTGGACAGGTGAGCAGCACAAGAAAGAAATGTTGGTGGATGGACAGACTCATCTGGTATTGATCCGAGAGGAAGCTGGAGCGCCTGATGCCAAGGTGAGGGATGAGATGATGGGGTAGGCAGGTGGGCTGGGGTCAGCACTAGCCAAAGGAGAGGCCTCTGGTTTCCCAGGTCTCCTTGGGAATAACATCCAGAGGAGTGGACCTGTCTGACCATCCATTTGCTCCCTCACCCTCCGCAAGTTCTCAGGCTGGGCAGATGCTGTGATTTTCGTCTTCAGCCTGGAGGATGAGAACAGTTTCCAGGCCGTGAGCCGTCTTCATGGGCAGCTGAGCTCCCTTCGGGGTGAGGGACGAGGAGGCCTTGCCCTGGCATTGGTGGGGACACAAGGTAAGGGGGTGCTGGGGAAGCACTGCTTTCAGGGGAGTTGTGACTGGGTATCACCCAACGCAATGAGAGCTCGGCAAGGTGTGTGGACAGGGCCACTTCCCAGTGGCCTCCTCAGTAACCCTCTGGAAGGAGCCTGGTCTCTAAGTAAGAGTCGTTAAACCGAACATAAACTCCCCAGGGTCCGAGAGAGAAAAGAGGACCCCCCAGGAAGGGCAGCTGCAGTGGCCACCACCTTCCTCTTGAGGAGTCACCTGCTGGGTGTTCCCACACTGTTGTTTCCTGATGCCACCACCAGGCCCTCTTCCCCAGCAGAGCCAGGAAAAGCTTCTCCAGGACCCACCTGTACGAAGCTGGCAGGCCTTTCCTTCTGGACACCTGTCCCGCAGGTGGCTGCTTCCACCTGTGGCTTGCCTCCTGGCTTCCTGCTGCAGATGAGCAGCCCACCTGTTATCACGGACGTTCAGCCTCATCCCGGTTAGCATGCTGCCAGGTGTCCCCCCATTCAGCTCAGGACTCATTGAATTCGCAGGGCAGGGGGAGTGCTCTCAGGAGTCTCAGCCACGTCAGACCCCATCAGGACGTTCCAGTCAGCTCTGGAGTATTCTCTGAAGACTCGCACACCGAGCTCACCCAGCCTACTCGTGATGCAGCTGGGCCCAACATTCAGAAAAGGCCACACGCTCCCACCGCACCCGGTCATAGGAGGGATATCATCTCATACCCTGTCCCTAGTGGTCGCAGACTAGGGCGAGAGCCCAGAAGAAAGGAAAGCAGCAGAGTGGGCATGCAACCCCTCATCCACCACTCCTCTCTCGTCCCCTCAGACAGGATCAGCGCTTCCTCCCCCCGCGTGGTGGGCGACGCTCGAGCCAGGGCTCTGTGTGCTGATATGAAGCGCTGCAGCTACTATGAGACTTGTGCAACCTATGGGCTCAATGTGGATCGGGTCTTCCAGGAGGGTGAGCCTGGCCATCCCCTGTATGTGTTGGGGAGCGGGGGACTTGCAGCTTCCTCAAGGTCCCACCTCCAGGCCTGTATGTGAGTGACAGGAAATTAGCCTGCGTGGGAGGGAGGCGGGACCAGGGGGGTCAGTGAAGGTTTGCTTAATAACCACAGGTCCTTCTGGGCAGGAGGAGCTGGCAAGGCCACAGGTGGCATGAAGGCCACAGTGACAAGGAAGTCGGAGCCTGTTATCTCCTGGGCATTTCTCAAAGTTGGGCACGAAAGGGTGGTCTTGGATATCTGCCCTGCTGATGCCTTCTTCCCCTCCCCTCCCCCAGTGGCCCAGAAAGTGGTGACCTTGCGAAAGCAGCAGCAGCTTCTGGCTGCCTGCAAGTCCCTCCCCAGCTCCCCAAGCCACTCAGCAGCTTCCACTCCTGTAGCTGGGCAGGTGAGTCAGGGTTTCAGGGTCCAAAGAAGGGCTGGTGGGAATTAGAGGAGGGGCTGGCGACCCAAGGAAAGGAACAGAGAACCCAAGGGAGTTGTGGGGGTGAGGGCAGATGGAAATGGCGGCGACAGTTTGTAGAAAATGCATTGGACTAGAAATCAACCAGGTTTGAAACACCATTTGCAGTGTCCTTGAGCAACTCACCTAAACATCCCAAGGTTGTCAGGAAAAGTATGGCATAATACTTGTGAAGTCAACCTTTGCAAAATCTAAAGCACTGTGACAACACTAGTGAGGAGTTTTCTTATTAATGGTAATACAAATGGTGATGAGATGAGGGAATATCTCAAATTCCTCATCACTCCATGTAACTGTAACCCGGTGGGCTGGGGGCCCCTCGGCGGTTCTGAGCCCTCCATTTGCCTGCAGGCTGGTAATGGGGGCCACACTAGCGACTACTCTTCCTCTCTCCCGTCCTCACCCAATGTCGGTCACCGGGAGCTCCGGGCTGAGGCAGCTGCAGTGGCCGGATTGAGCACCCCAGGGTCCCTGCACCGGGCAGCCAAGCGTAGGACCAGCCTTTTTGCGGTATTGGACATTGTAACCCCCATCCGCCTGTCCCCTGTTACCTGCCTATCTTTCCTGGTCCCTAAATCTGTCGGCCCTTCATCTGTCTCCCATGTCCTCCCATAAGCATATCCATCCTTAATTGATGCCAACAACCGTTCCAGAATCGCCGGGGCAGTGACTCTGAGAGACGGAGCTTGGACAGTCGGGGAGAGACAACGGGAAGTGGGCGAGCCATCCCCATCAAACAGGTGGGTGGTCCAGGGACTGGGGTCAGGCTGGGGGGAGCTGGGCTTCACTGGGTTTTCTCCCACATGTCTCTTTCCATTCTTCAGAGCTTCCTCCTAAAGCGAAGTGGCAACTCCTTGAACAAAGAATGGAAGAAAAAATATGTGACCCTGTCCAGTAATGGTTTCCTACTCTACCACCCCAGCATTAATGTGAGTGCCGGAGGCTGGCTGGGACCCAGTGGCTGGCCTTGGGTGCACGTTTAGCTCTTCCAGTCTGTGCCTCTAGCAGATATCAACGCTGGTTCTGGGGAGTGCTAGTCCTCTTCTTTTTACTTGAGCAAAACATCTGTTAGGCAGCGACCATGTGCCCGTGCTGCAGACGGAAATGTAAACCCATCTCCCGAGGACTTGCAGTCTAGTGCGAGCAGATGGAGAAGGGACCTCTGTCTGGCCTGCCACTCAGGGATGCTTTCTGGGGGAGAAACTGCTGGGCCCAGTCTGTTGGGCTCATCCCAACCCAGTCATCTCCCAGTCCCTCTCTGCCCATAATATTGGCTGCCTCCCAGCACCGCTGAGGACCCCAACATTCCCTTCACTCTCGACCCCCTATACTCCCGTAGGATTACATCCACAGTACCCACGGCAAGGAGATGGACTTACTACGAACAACAGTCAAAGTCCCTGGCAAGCGGCCCCCACGGGCCATCTCTGCTTTTGGCCCCTCAGCCAGCATCAACGGGCTGGTCAAGGACATGAGCACGGTCCAGATGGGGGAAGGTCCTGGTGAGTGGGGCTGCTGACACGGGCAGGAGAGGGGCCAGGGCTCGCAAACAGAGGAGGAGGAAGGAAGGGGGGACTGGGGCTGGTTAAACGGGAAGGGGGGCAATGGCCAGGCATCACGGAAGGAATCACTCAGAGACTGGGTGACTCACTGAGGATTTATTTTCTTCCCCATCTGACATCTGACAGAAGCCACCACTCCCGCCCCGAGCCCCAGCCCCAGCCCCAGCTCCCTGCAGCCACCTCCAGACCAGACATCCAAGCACCTGCTGAAGCCAGACCGGAACCTGGCCCGAGCCCTCAGCACCGGTCAGTAAGGAATCACCCTCCACTTACTGTGTTCCAGGTCCAGAAGGGATGCAGTGGCAAGTAAAACTGGGGTGGGAGCTTGGAGGCTGGACTCAGTGAATAAGTGGACACCCCAAGCAGTGAGTGGGCGCCCAACAGCAAGCTCAGTCATACCGTGTTTAGCATAATGGCGAAGACAAGTGGGTTCTAGAGCTAAGCTGCCTGAACTTGGACTTGAGTCCTGGCTTGCCACTGGGGCAGGTCACTTGGCCTCTCCACATCTCAGTCTCCTCATCTGTAAAATGGGGATAATAGTCTCTACCTCAGAGGGTCGCTCTGAGGCCTAAACTGAGAACACTGTCCAGCACATAGCCAGCCATCAACGCTTGGAATGTTTGGAAATATGTATTTTTTAAACAATAGCAAGTAACATTGTAACAAGTGGTCCTCACAACAACCTTGTTGGGTCAAGATTATTATCCCCATTTTAGGGATGAAGAAACTGAGACTCAGAAGATTAAGTGACTTGCTCAAGGTCTCAAGGCCAGTAAGTGGCAGAGCCAGGATCTGAGTACAGGTCTGACTCTAAACCACTCATCTGCCCTCCTCCCCAGGATTGATCAAGGGGGACCTCCTAGAGAGGGATGGCTGAGGAGGGGGACCCTAAAATGCCAAATGTAGTTCAGGGGAGACAGGCTATGGAGAAATCAGGGAATCTGTGGAGGCGGCAGCTGAGGCAGCTGTTTCCCCTCCCCAAGACTGTACCCCATCTGGAGACCTGAGCCCCCTGAGTCGGGAACCCCCTCCTTCTCCCATGGTGAAGAAGCAGAGGAGGAAAAAGTTGACGACACCATCTAAAACTGAAGGCTCGGCTGGGCAGGCTGAAGGTGAGGCCCTGGGGGGCAGTTTCACTCTCACCCTGGACCTCACCCCCAAACTCCAGGTCACCCCTGCAGGAGGGGGAAAGGTGCCTGAGCGGAGTGCTTGACCATCATCACCACTCTGTACATTATTTAGTGAAAAATGGATGGATGCCCCTCGACCCCTGGCTTCCTTCCGTTCCCCAGCCAATGCCTTTTATGGCAACAGGCCCCAGCCCCTGTTCTCAGCGACCCCTGAAAGTCTGTGGCTTCTGCTCCCTCTCCTAATGACCCTCTAGTTCCTGTTCCAGGCCCAGCTCTGCTTAACACTGCAGCCCCTGTGCCCAGAGGCCCCCTTCTCCCCCAGGACTCAGCCCCTGACTTCAGTGTCCTCCAGTGAGTCCTGAGCTCCTGGGGTCTGCCCACCCAGATCCTGTTCCCAATAACTTTCTGTGATTGCCAAGCCCCCACAACAGCCTTTGACTACAGTGATTTCCATTCCTGCCTCCCTGTGACTTCCCACAGACCCGTGAGACTCCTCCTGAACCCCAGGGGCCCCTCACCCCTGGCCTCTGAACTCCTGTCCCCCTTCCCCGTGTCCCCTCAGATCCTGGCTCATCCCTTCCCCTCCCAGAGACCCGGCTCCCCGTTGGTCATGATCCCCGGTCCCTACCGCCCCTGCTCTCTGCCGGGTGCTCAGACCCAGGTTCCAGATCTGCCTCCTCTCACGGCTCTTGGCTTCCGCTCTTCTCTGCTCGGGGGCCACTGACTTTGGTTCTGCTTTCTCTCCCCATCTCTGTCCTGCTTTCTCTCTGTCACTCTCTCTCTCCATCTCTCCATCTGCCTCTCTCTTTCTCCTTTCTTGGTCTCTTTCTCTGTTCTGCTCTCCATTCTGTCTCTATCTCCTTTGCTTCGGGAAACCAGCCAAGCGCAAAATGTGGAAACTAAAATCCTTTGGTAGTTTAAGAAATATTTATAAAGCAGGTAACAAGTGGGGAGCTGGGTGGGGCGCTGAGCTGGGGTGCAGAGGGGTGGGGGTGCCCCTGCCTTCCCCTGCATGCGCTCGGGCTTCCTGCTCTCCCGCCCCCTCTGCTTCCCCAACCACTCTGCTCCACTCCCAGGGGCTTGGGATGGATCTCTGGGAGGAGTGGTTTGGGCCAGGCAGCTCCTGTTTGAATTCTGTCCCTAATGACCCCATCCCATCCCCCCACCTAGAGGAAAACTTCGAGTTCCTGATCGTGTCCAGCACTGGTCAGACGTGGCACTTCGAGGCAGCCAGTTTTGAGGAGCGGGACGCCTGGGTTCAAGCCATCGAAAGTCAGATCCTCGCCAGTCTCCAATGCTGTGAGAGCAGCAAGGTCAAGGTAAAGGGTCGGGTGTTGGGCGGAGAGCAGAGGTGAGTGTCTGAGGCGTCCGGAGAAGGGCTCAGAGGGAGAGTCTGACTAATTCCAACCCTTTCTGCAGCTGCGCACAGACAGCCAAAGCGAAGCCGTGGCCATCCAGGCGATCCGGAATGCCAAGGGGAACTCAATCTGCGTGGACTGCGGGGCCCCCAGTGAGCACAAGGGGGCAGTGGAGAGACCCGGGAGGGAGTGCGGTTCACTGGGACTGATGAATGCTGCTGGGTGGCCCGTCTCCAGCTGCTCGGCCAGGGAGCTGACCCCTGCATTCCGTCCCCAGACCCCACGTGGGCCAGCCTGAACCTGGGCGCACTCATCTGCATCGAGTGTTCTGGCATTCACCGGAACCTGGGCACACACCTGTCCCGCGTTCGTTCGCTCGATTTGGACGACTGGCCGCGGGAGCTGACCCTGGTGCTGACAGCCATTGGCAACGACATGGCCAACCGCGTGTGGGAGAGTGACACGCGGGGCCGCGTCAAACCCACGCGGGACTCTTCGCGGTGCGCGTGCAGGAGAGGGGTGGGGGCGGCTCAGTGTGTGCAGCTCCCAAGAGGGTCCCCTGGGTAGGGGGCAGAGGTCTTGGGGTGGGAGGTCCCTAGAGCCTTTCCTGTTGATCTCTGGTCCTGCAGGGAGGAGCGTGAGTCATGGATTCGCGCCAAGTACGAACAGCTGCTGTTCCTGGCGCCGCTGGGCACTTCCGAGGAACCGCTGGGCCGCCAGCTGTGGGCCGCGGTGCAGGCCCAGGACGTGGCCGCCGTTCTCCTGCTTCTGGCCCACGCGCGACACGGGCCACTCGACACCAGCGTAGAGGACCCGCAGCTTCGCTCCCCACTTCACCTGGCGGCCGAGCTCTCCCACGTCGTCATCACGCAGCTGCTGCTGTGGGTAGGTAAACCGGGGCTGGTAGAGGGGCCTTCGAGGGCTCCGTCTGGGAAACAGGCAGGCGCGCAGTGGGCGCGGCGAGATCCCCAAACGCACCCCGTGCGAGTGGGCCTGGCGACCCGGGGGAGCCGGCGGGAGGGGATTGGCCCCGGAGACGCACCGTAACGCGGCCGTCTCCGCCCTCTCTAGTACGGCGCCGACGTGTCCGCCCGCGACGCGCAGGGCCGCACCGCGCTCTTCTACGCCCGCCAGGCCGGGAGCCAGCTGTGCGCCGACATCCTTCTCCAGCACGGTTGCCCGTGCGAGGGCGGCAGCGCGGCCACCACCCCCAGCGCGGCCACCACCCCCAGCATCACCGCCACGCCCAGCCCCCGCCGCAGGAGCAGCGCCGCCAGCGTGGGCCGAGCCGACGCCCCAGTCGCGCTGGTATAGTTGCGCCGCCGAAGAGACACCCCCACCACCCCACGGGCCGGGCACCTCCACCCCGGGTGACCGCTGGACAGATGCACCCACTCACCTCTCCGATCCGCACCTCGTTCCCGCGGGAGCACTTCTTCCCCCACCCCATCCCCGCCAGAGGGCACAGCCCCCGCGCCTCCCGGAAGACACAGACTCACTTCCCTCTCCCCAGCGAGGCATGGAGACCCCAGCTTGACACGCGCCCTCTCCACCGTTTCCGCACTCGGATTGCTCTGGGTCTACCCGCTGGGTGTTTGCTGGCGGGACTCCCCGCCGAGGCCCCCGCTCCCGGCCGTTTGGATGTGCCCGCTCGCGCCCCCTGGGGGTGGGGGAAAGGACTAAGCCCTGCCTGTGTTGGGACTGACCCAGGGCGGGAGCATTTACCCAGGCTGGCTCCTGGGGCGACGCCACGCCACAGGGCGGGGTTAGTGCGTGGGAAGGCTAGCCCTGGGGCTTGGGGCCAATAAGGGGGACCCTACCCCTTCCATGCTAATCTCACTGCCCAGGGAAGGGGGGAGGGCAGCGAGGGGCAGGACCCCTGCTGCCCAGGGGGGTAGGGGGTCCCCAACCCTTTCCGTGAAAGGGACCAAGAGGAGTGGAAATCAGGACGTTCCCCCCACATCCACCCATGGATGGAAGCTAAAGGGTCGGGGGAGCCAAAAACCTGGGTCCCTCCTCACTACTATCTTGGGAGGGAGAAGGGACGGAGCAAGAGGCTAAGGGGGACGGGAGGGGCCTTGTAATTTATTGCTTTGTTCCCCAACCAAGGGGCGGGGCGGGCAGGGTTTGGGGAGGGCGTTTCAGGGTAGGGGAAGCCAAGGGTGGGCAGAGGGTGGGGCGGGGTGGGGGTGCTCTCGGGTTGTGAGTGTCTGTGACCGTGACTGCGTCCCTGTGACTGTGCAGCGCCCGTGGTGATCTGGGGTAGGGGGCACCCCTACAATGGGACCCCTCCCCCACTATTCTTCCTGTCCAGCCCCTCCCTCCCACTGGAGCAGCTCCAGACCCATCCCTCAACCCCATGATCCCTCCCAGCCAGGGTCAAGATGGTGTGAGGTGGCTGGGAGGGTTTCCAGACACCCCCCCCCCGCCCCACCCCGTCCCATCCCCAGAAAGGGGGTGGTGGGGTGAATTTACCTGGCCCAGCCCCGCCTCCCTCAATCAACCCAGCCCTTGGGCCGTCTGTGTCAGTGGTTTCCGGTCTTTTTTTTTTTTCTCCTGGCTAAAATATTTTGCAGAGGACCAGGTAATTGGGGAGAGAAGAGGGGCGGGGGCAGCAGGGGATACTACCCCCTCATCTCCTCCAAGGCAAGTGGTGTGAATCTTCATCAACAGCAATTAAAGAGGAAGTGATTTTGTCTAGGGGGTGAGCTGCTGGTCTGTTCTTGAAGAGCTGGGTCAGAGAATGGCCTTGGTCAGGCTGGGGAACTGGAGGTGGGAGAGGGCTAGGGAGGGTGCTTCCTGCTGGGGCTGGTGGCAGAGTATCCAGGGGCAGGAGGTGGTAGGTCAGGTACTCCATCATGAGCAACAGCTCCTGGGGTGGAAGGAGACAGGCAAGTCAGAGCAACACTGGGGACCCAGGGAGTAGATGGGTCCCAAGATGACTCCTGTTCCGGGCGGGAGTTGGGGTGTGACGTTTAGAGAAGGGGACGGGAGGGGGCTGCCTGGAGGAATGAGAAGGTAGGGTCGCTTTGGTTAAGAGCAGGAACTTTGGAGTCAAATCTGGTTTTGACACCAGTACCTCCGCGTCATAGTTAAGTGATCTTGGATAGGTTCTCTTGGTGGCATCTGTTTATTTGTAATCTGAACAATATCTGCTCAGAGGGCACCTGGTCAGGGCTCCAGCCTCAGCCCTGGAGGACCACCCCAGGCCAGACTACTCCCTTTGAGGTACCAGAAATAGAGCTTTATAGAGTCCCTCTCCTTGCAGGGAGGGAACAGCTGGGAGATCTCCCAGCCACAGATGTCACTGGTGTCGCAAACTCCAGTTCCGCTGAGGCAGACATCTGCCCACACCCATGACATGCACAGGACTGCAAGGACATGGCAGCACCGCACCAGGAGCTGCAGCATCTTGTGGTTCAGCATGTAGCCAGTCCTGCTGTTCCTCATCTGCAGCTGAAAGCATTTGGTCTGATAGAGGGGCCAGATGGGGGTGCTGTTGGGCCAGCAGCCTGGGCACAGCTACACACGTGTTGTCAGCCACCTTGATAAACCGGTCTATGGCCCATTGTCTTCCGGTAGAGTTGGTTCTGGCCCCCCAGGCACACTCAGCCCCACGAGGGACATTCGGCTTCAGGTGCGCCACTGAGCCAATTGCATGAAGGAGCCCAGGTCCCACTCACGTGGGAGGCCCCACTTCTGCAGGATCCTAGGCTGGGTGACCTCCAGAAGGTGGAGTCAGGGTTGCAGATGTAGTCGCAGGTGTGTGGTCTGGGAAGGCAGAGCAAGAGGAAGAGAGGCAAGTAGCAAAGAAGACGCCTGGGAGACCCAGCCACCATGCCCCCTTCATCAGAGCCCCTGGATGCCCCTGCTCCGTCCTCACTTCCTTTTCTGGTAGCAAACGCTCACTCCCTTCCTCAGAAGCTTGAATGAGAGAGACTGGGGGAAGGAAACAAGGACCCTGGAGAGAATGAATGACCACAGGGAACCAGAGGCAGGGGGGATGTTCCCTTCGGTTCCTAGCAGTGAAAGGTGGTCAAGGTGTCAGCAGCCCCACATCAGATCCCCTCACTAAGGACTCCACCGGCTTCTTTCTGTCGTGGGCTGCATCTTGGCCTGTGGGAAATATAAAAGGTGGTCCTCCTGACTGTGGCAGAATAGGACTCTGGAAGTGGGTTCCCCGTGGGCTGGAGGGGAGCTGCTGCCCATAACGTCCACGCCAACCTCCCCGTTCCCCTTGGTGTCCTTACCTGGATTCCTGCTTCCATCTGCTGTCCCTCTTCCAGTTACCATCTGCCGCTCGTCCGGCTCCCCTCCTCTTGTTTGCCTTAGCACAGCTGGGAGTTTCACCAGAAGCCAAAGGAAAGTAAAAGGGAATTTATTACTGAAAGTACAAAATAATTAAATCTAGCAAAGTCTCTCGAGCTCTATTTTATTTTTTATTTATTTTTATTTTCTATTGAATTATGTAGTTGATTTACAATGTTGTATTAGTTTCTGGTGAACAGCAAAGTGATTCAGTTACATATACACATATATGTGTATATATACACCCACATGTATATACATATTTTTTGGTATTCTTTTCCACTATGATTTATTACAGGGTATTTAATATGGTTTGTTCCCTGTGCTATACAGTAGGACATTGTTGTTTATATATAACAGTTTGTGTCTGCTAATCCCACACTCCTAATTTATCCCTCCCCCACCCACTTTCCCTTTTGGTTAACTAGAAGTTTGCTTTCAATATCTATGAGTCTGTTTTTATTTTATAAATAAGTTCATTTGTGTCATATATTTATACTCCACATATAGGTGATATCATATGATATTTATCTTTCTGACTTACATAGTATAATTTCCAGGTCTATCCATGTTGCTACAAATGGCACTATTTCATTCTTTTTTTATGGCTAAGTAGTATTCCTGTGTGTGTGTGTGTGTGTGTGTGTGTGTGTGTGTGTGTGTGCGTGCCACACCTTCTTTATCTGTTTATCTGTCAATGGACATTTAGGTTACCTCCATGTCTTGGCTATTATAAATAGTGCTGCAATGAACATTGAAATACATGTATCTCTTGGAATTAGTTTTCTCTGGATATAAACCCAGGAATGGGATTTCTGGATCACATGGCAACTCTATTGTTTTTTAAGGAACCCCCATACTGTATTCCACACTTGTTACACCAATATATATCCCCACCAACACTGTAGGAGAGCTCCCTTTCTCCACACCCCCTCCAGCATTTATTATTTGTACACATTTTTAATGAAGGCCATTCTGCCCAGTATGAGGGGATGTCTCATCATAGTTTTGATTTGCATTTCTCTAATAATTAGCAATGTTGAGCATCTTTGCATGTGCCTATTGATCATTTGTGTCTCCTTTGGAGAAGTGTTTACGTCTTCTACCCATTTTTTGACTCAGTTGGTTTCTATTGTTGTTACTGAGTAGTATGAGCTGTTTGTATATTTTGGAAATTAAGCCCTTGTCAGTTGCATCATTTGCAAATATGTTCTCCCAGTCCATAGGTTGTCCTTTCATTTCATTTATGGTTTCCTTTGCTGTGCAAAAGCTTATGTTTGATTAGGTCCCATTTGCATATTTTTGCTTTTATTTCTATTGCCTTGGGAGACTAACCTATGAAAACAATATGATTTATGTCAGAAAATGTTTTGCATATGTTCTCTTCTAGGAATTTTATGGTGTCATATCTTATGTTTAAGTCTTTAAGCCATTTTGACTTTATTTTTGTGATTGGTGTAAGGGAATGTTCTAACTGCATTGGTATACATTCAGCTGTCCAACTTTCCCAACACCACTTGCTAAAGAGACTGCCTTTTTTTCCATTGAATATTCTTGCCTCCTTTGTCAAAGATTAACTGACCATAGGTGTATGGCCTTGTTTCTGGGCTCTCTATTCTGTTGCATTAACCCATATGTCTGTTTTTTTGTTTGTTCATTTTTCTGGTTTTGCCAGTATCATGCTGTTTTGATTACTGTAGGTTTGTAGTATGGTCTGGGGTCTGGTAGGGTTATGTCTCTAACTTTGTTCTTTTTTCTCAGTATTGTTTTGGGAATTCTGGATCTTTTATTATGATTCTATATACATTTTAGGATTATTTGTCCCAGGTCTGTGAAAACTGTCATGGGTGTTTTGATAGGAATTGCATTAAATCTATAGATTGCTTTGGTAGTATGGCCATTTTAATAATATTAATTCTTCCAATCCAAGAGCTCAGGCTATATTTCCATTTTTTTGAATCATCTTCAATTTCCTTTATCAATGTTTTATAGTTCTCAGCATGTAAGTCTTTCACCTTCTTGGTCAGGTTTATTCCTAAGTTTGTTTGTGTTTTTTTTTGATAATGTTATTTTAACAGGGATTTTTTTTTTTTTTTTACTTTCCCTTTCAGACATTTCATTGTTAGTGTAAAGAAATGCGACAGATTTCTGTATGTTAATCTTGTATCCTGTATCTTGCTGAATTCGTTTATCAGTTGTTGTGTTGTGTAGTGTCTTTAGAATTTTTTGACCTAGTATAATGTCATCTGCATAAATGACAGTTTTACCTCTTTCCTTTCAATCTGGATATATTGTGTTTCTTTTCCTTGTCTGATTGCTATGGCTAGGACTTTCAATACTTTGGTGAGAGTAGGCATCCTTGTCTTCTTCCAGATTTTAGCAAGGAGGCTTTCTACTTTTCACCATTGAGTATTATATAATCTGTGGGTTTGTCATAAATAAATGGCTTTTATTATGTTGAGATATGTTCCTTCTGTACCCACTGTGGTCAGAGTTTTCTTTAAAATATGGATAGATGTTGAATTTTATTAGATGCCTTTTTTCATCTATTGAGATGATCATGTGCTTTTGTCTTTTTTTTGTTGATGTGGTGTATCACATTGATGTTTGTATCCTTGTCCCAAGGACTATCCTTTGTCTCAAGGATGAATCCAACTTGATTGTGGTACATGATCTTTGTTGGATTCAGCTTGTTAATATTTTGTCGAGAATTTCTGTGTCTATATTCTTCAAAGATATTGGCCTGTACTTGATTGTGGTACATGATCTTTGTTGGATTCAGCTTGTTAATATTTTGTCGAGAATTTCTGTGTCTGGATTCTTCAAAGATATTGGCCTGTAATTTTCTTTTTTTGTAGTGTTTTTGTCTGGTTTTGGTATCAGAATGATGGAGGCTTCATAGAATGACTTGGGACTGTTCCCTCCTCTTCAGTCTTTTGGAAGAGTTTGAGAACAATCAGTAGAATTTCTTCTTTTATAAGTTTGGTAGAATTCCCCAGTGAAGCCACCTGGTCATGGGCTTTTGTTTGCAGGGAGTTGTATTTTATTGTTTTTAAGTTACAAATTTTATTTCACTTCTAATTATTAGGTTATTCAGATTCTTTTTGATTCAGTTTTGGTGGAATATATTTCTAGAAACTTGTCCATCTCATCTAGGTTGTCCAATTTTTGGCACTTAATTGTTTATAGTATTTTTTACATTTTGAAAATTTCTACAGTATTGGTCATTTCTCCTCTTTCATTTCTTATTTGATCTGGGTCCTTCCTCTTTTCTTTTTCGTGTGCCTGGCCAGAGGTTTGCTGATTTTGTTTACCCTTTCAAAGACTCAGCTCTTGGCTTCATCGACTTTTTCTATTGTTGTTGTTTTTTTAAATCCCTATTTTATTTACTCTTTGATCTTTGTTTTCTTCCTTCTGCTTGTTGTGGGTGGTTTGTTCTTCTTTTTCTTTCTCCAGGTTGATTATTTGAGATTTTCCTTGTTTTCTGAGGAAGGTCTGTATGGTCATGAACTTCCTTCTAAAGACTGCTTTTAATGCATCTCATAGATTTTGTATGGTTATCTTTTCATTGTCATTTGTCTCAAGGTATTTTTAAATTTTCTCTTTGATCTCACCATTGACCCATTGTTTTTTTTAGTACCACATGGTTTAATCTGTGTAATTGGTTTTTTTTTGTTTGTTTCTCTTTTTTGTGGTTGATTTCTAGTTTCATGCTTTTATAATCAAAAAAGATACTTGAAATAATTTCTATCCAATTAAATGTTTTGAGGCTTGTTTTGTGTCCTAGTATATGGTCTGTCCTAGAGAATATTCCATGTGCACTTATATGCACTGTTTTTCCTGATGATGTTAAGCCTTTATGCCTCCATCAAGTCACAGATAAGCCTCCTGCCTGTGCCCATGCTCCCATCCTACAAAATTATGCTACAGTTTCTGATGGTATTCCTTCCATGACTCTTGTCTCCAAGTACCTTCCAGTCTCTTCAGAGCTCAGCTGGTTTATTCTGTTCTGAGTACTTCCCGTGGGCCAGGCACTGTGCTAAGAGCGCGGCACACGCGCTGTCTGATGCAATCCTCACCACCACCCAAAGCCAGTGCAGTTGTCCACAGTTTACCCCGGAGGACACAGCACTGCAAAAATCAAACAGCTTGTTCAAGGCCCTGCTAACAGTAAGTGGGGGGGGGTGAGGGTTTGAATCCACCATTCTGCCTGTAGCTGCTATTGTGGAGGTGTCTTAGATCCCTCTCGTTAAGATGCACAAGTGGATCTGGGGTTGCAGGGTTTAGAAGCCTACCCATTTGTAATTTTAAATAAAATAATGTAAGCATAACTTGCTCAGCAAGTATAAGACCACTTTCAGCAGGAAGAGGGTGAGCCTCATACAGCTTCCTTCCACAACTGAATCTTTTTGTCCCCTTTTGGAGGCCTGGGAGTTTCACGCCCTCTATTTCTTACGTCACGAGTCAGTGAAGTTGTCGGCAGAAATGCTGCACCTAAGAGGTGCAGACAGAGGAAGACATAGGGGAAGCGGGGGACCTAGATTTGCACCTGGTCGTGAGGAAGAGAGGGAGGCACCTAACCAGGCCACCAACACTGGCAGACTCAGGAGCGGGCCTGTGTGAGTGGCAGCCCTCTCTCTGGGCATGACTGAAGCTAGAGGTCTTTTCTGGGCAATGAAGTGGTATGGCTGGCAGGTGTGGGGTGGAGTCTGCAGCAGGAGGACCCCCGTGGCGGGGTGACGCTGTGGGATGTGAAGGGGGAGAAGGAACAGAAGTGGACAGATGAGGAAAAGGAGGGAGCCTAGCACTGCAACTGCTTCAGCCCTGGCCAGCCAGCAGGCTCTGTTCCACTGTCCTGGTCTCTTCTGCACACCCCAGATCACTGCCGCTGCCCTGACTCTGAAGCACAGAAGGGGATCAGAGCGCATGCCCTCCACCCTAGGAGAACACCAGGCCTCCTCCCTGATGAGCCCCCCACCCCAAAGAAAAAAAGATGGATGGTTTGATGGTCCAGTTCTTTATTTAGAAACCTGATTGTTCGAGAACATGGTAGGTGGGTCTGTAGCCTACCCTTTTTGTGGGATTGTGTCAGAGGTGGTGGGCAACTTTCTTCCCATTTTCTCAGCAACAGAGAGAAGGTGCTTCCACTCAGAAGCACAGATTTGTAGGGAACAGTGTGGAAAGGAAAAGGGAGGATCTCAAGCTGATCTGGGGGAAGCAGGGAGGTGACTCTCAACAGGACTAGGGCAGGGGCGGGGGGCCTACCTCTTAGGGCCTGCTGACCGGCCCCACACTTCTCATTCTCCCTGCTCTACTCAAAAGATCTCAGAACGCTCTTAGGGAGGGGAATGGAACCCATGAGCTGGGGGATGACGGCAGGGGAAGCCAGGAGGGAAGGAAGAGGGTGTGGGCAGAACCAGGGGCAGCAGATCACACAGGCCTGGGAGGTCTCCAGGTCTCAGCAGTAGCAGCAGCACTTGCCCCACGGCCCCTCCACACCCCAGGAGGGCCTCGGGGTCCACAGCTCACAGCTCAGCTCTCTGCTGTTTCGCCTTCAGGACCCCGGGGGTTGTGGGGGACAGAGGCAGGGCCAGTCTAGGAAGACTCTGGACTCTTTGGCAAGCTGGCGGTGGCGGTCTCAGAAGTCAAACTCATCCAGGTCCCCGGTGCCCTCCCCGCCGGGGGAGCCCCACACTCGGCGGTAGTTGCTCTCCAGGTCTTTCTGCCGCTGCCGCTCCTTCTGGGCCTCTTCCGCTCCCTGCACCTGGGGGAAGGCCGCAGGGCGGGCTGGGGAGCGGGATGAGCAGCGGCCGCAGCAGGCACTGGGGGACGGGGGTGGGGGGCGGGCGCGCAGTTGTTGGGGGGCGGCAGGAGCCAGCACTCACACGGGTGACTTGTAGGGCTCTTGCTGAGGCCTCAACACCCAGAACTGATAGCCTCATCTTATAGATGAGCAAACTGAGGCTTGGATAGAGGCGAGGCTGGGGGGTGCCTGGAGGACTCTAAACCTCACCCTCAACCCCGCAGCCTGCTGGGGGACAGGGAAGGCGGGAAGTCCAGGACTCAGGGGCGGGGTGCCTCTCACCAAGATATTGAAGAAAATCTCCTTGAGGTTTTTTGTGTCCTCATCAGTCAGCCAACGTGCATCCTCCTCAGTCCCTTCTGTCCCTGGTCGGACAATTTTGATCTCAATTTTCCCTGGAAAGGAGTGGGATGGGCAGTGAGAGGAGAGGCCGGGGGCAGCTCCAGTGCAGGTCTTCTGCCCCCTGGGTCCCCAGCCGAGGCCCCCGGCCCCTCCACTTCCGGCAGCAAGCCCTTCCAACAGCGCTGAATCCAGCCCGCCCCCCAGGGCCCACCTTCGGCTGTGAGTCCCTCCCTCTCCAGCAGGTCTTTCACCAGCCCCTCGATTTGTTTCAGCTGTGGGTTTTCCCGTTTCATCTCGAGGACAGTCAGATCCTGATTGGGGCCTCCGTGACGGAGCTTGGTGACCCGGACCCGGACTCTGTGCTCAGGATCCTCCTCTTAGAGGGGGAGACACACAGGGAGACACAAAACAGCGCCGTGACCCCAGGGCTGGGGGCCGGGGTGCCCGCCTCTCTCTGGCCGTCAGTTGCTTTCGGCAAGTTATTCCCTCTCAAACAGGTATGTCAGTCAGGCTTCAGAATAAATTAGGACCCATCACCCCACCCCCACCCCATTCCAAGCTATAAAGCTCCCTCCACGACTGCAGTCTCCTTTCCTCCCTCTGGACCCAGTAATTCTGCCCATCACCCACAGGAAAGCCACTATCTTTGAAGCAAAAATCAGATAAGTTGGGGCCTGCAGAGAAGGAGGTCGGAAGACTTTGGTTTGGACCCTGTGTTGGGACTTGAAAGACATTTCAGTGTTTATAATAGAGGTAGGAGGATGGAAGGATTGAAACTAGGACGATAGACCTGGAATGCCTGGTCTCCTGTCCCACAGGACCCATGGGACAGACACCGGGACACAACGGGAAGGGAGTGACTCTGTCCAGGCGACTGGCTTCTGAGTAGCTGGGCTGGCCCTCCCTCTCTGCCAGCTGAGGGCATGCCCTGTGCAGTCCTGGGTGACAGCAGCATCTGTCACAGGTGCGCGGTCTTTGGCCCACACACTCACGGTCACTCATTTAACATCTCCTCATCAGTCACAAGCTGCCGGCAAAGTGCTCGGCACTGGATGTACAGAAGCCAGGTAACAGCCATGCCAGCGAGCCACGCAGGCTCTGAAAGCTGCTTCTCAAATGGATCACTAGGAAGTGACCAGGCAAAGGGCTAGAGGTGTTGGGAAGCGCGAGAATGGTGTTCCAGAAAGAGCGAGAGGGTGCACATTCTCAGAAGGGATAAAGGTGACGGACCTGGCCATCAGGTCCTGTCTGACAGCCCTCACCTGTTGGTTGAGGGGGCGGGGGAGGCTTTTTGGGGACAACCCTCCTTTTTCGGTGCTTCTTCCTCAGCTCTGGGCTCTGTTTTTCCTCCAGCCTTTTGATGAGTTTGCTGAGAGTAGACGTCAGGGCCAGCATGGCCCGCTCGCGCTCTGACTCCTTCTTCAGCCCGTCTGGGTCTAGCTCTTTCTCTGTCTGGGAGGCCCAAGGTGGCGGTGGAGAGTTAGGGATCTGGGGAGTGAGGGGTTGTCCAAGCTCTACAAGGGAGTGATGACTTAAGTCTCCTCCTTCTCACAGACCCCCTTTCCCGCCGGCCCAGTTTTAATTAAGCAACTAGCAGTTCAGGGCTCCTGGCTGAATGCCCCAGGCAGGCGAGGCGCGGCTCGGGTTCTCTCCCCGCCCCTCGACCGGTCCCGCCTACTGGGGCTGGCAGCGGAGGAAGCTGGAAGCCGCAGGCGGGAGAGCAGAGCTCACCTCCTGGATGATGTTCTCCAGCTCCCGCTCCATGCCAGCCTTCACCTCCGCCCGGAGCCGCTCTCGGTCTGATGGGAGCAGTATACCTTCCAGTTCCTTCTCAAATTCTCCCAGCAGCTGCCGTTCATCCTCGTCTTCGTCTTCATCCTCATCCTCCTCCTCCTCTTCCACCTCCTTCTGCTGTTCTGGGCCGCCCCTTTCCTTCACCTCTGGTTCCCCGGAAGGGCCTTCTGTAGCACTCTCTCCAGGCTGCTCCTGGTCTGTGTTTGGCTTCCCCTGGATGGGTGAGGATCAGGAGAAAGAGAGATGGCAGATGGTTGGGGTTTCCGTAGGGACAGACAGTGGCGGGGGCGGGGGGCGCGGCACACAGCAGGGATGTGGTTTAGTTGGGGACGCATGAGGAGTGAGGAAGTTGAGGCAACTCTTCGGGCCCAGTTCAGGGGTGGTGCTCCGAGCGCCCTCAGCAGGGAGAAGGGTTCCATCCTTCCCGGGAGCAGGCTCACACCTTTCTTGTTCCACCCTTCAGCTCCTCTATCAATCGGATCAAGTCTGCGGGACTCCTAATGACTTTGACCTGTACGTTGTTCTGAAAATCTGAGATGGAGGAATAGGAATAGATCATAAATTAATTCTACTTTGACTTCCTAAGAAGAGGAGTTGAGGAAGCCAAGGAAGGACATGGTCCCCGGCTCTAGGAACTACCTGTCTGGTCTCGGAGACAGCAGCCAACACACCCCTCCAAAGAGCGCTTAGGGGGCCTAAGGGGGCCTCACAGCTGAGAGAAGGGTGTGGACAGGCTGCCGAGTGCCCTGCTCGTCCACGTGCCACCGAGGCCTTCCTGGCAATCAGCCTGGCTTTTAGGTCCACAGAAGAGATTCTGGGGCCAAGGGCTCCTCCTCCCTGAATCCTGTTCTCCCCACAAATACAAACCCGTTTTTGTCTGCTCAGTTCCAGGGATTGTACTGTAAACTAGATTCACTCTCATTTAATCCTGTAACAGCCCTCTCACGTAGGGGTTACTGCCCACATGTTATGGGTGAGGAAATTGGGCTTAAGTGAAATTATCCAGGACTGTAGACTCAGGCAAGCAGTGGGACCACTGTGCTCTGCTATCCTCCTAGAGAAGCGCCCAGCCTCCCTCCATGCCATGCCTGCCAACCTGAAAACACACGCACGCACATAGGAGACATGGAGCGTTCACTCACCGTCGGGAGAGGTTGGCGGTGGGTCTGTGGCTTCAAGGTTTGGTTCCTGCTCCTGATGGGGAGAAAAGGGCAGAGTCAAGTACGCAGGCTTCTGCATGCCAACCACACTCTTAAGGCACTGCCTCTGGGTATGTCCTTGCATCCCTAGGTAAAAAGAGGTTATCTCATAATGAACCTCAGCTTGAGTGGCCCTCCGACCCGAAGCCCATGTTCAGCGTCCTCAGAGAAATGGCCAGGAAGCTGGCTCTCACCTCGGCCTGGGTCTCCCTCGCTGAGGGCTGTTCCTCTGGCTCGTGAAGCACCTTCCAGAAATCTGATTCCTTACTGTTCTCCTTGGCTGGGCTTGCACCTAGAATACAGAAAACAAGGAGGAAGCTGAAAGGAGAGACAGGGTATGTTTCCCTCTCCTCTTGTAAGGTGTTAGGGCCTGTAGTACTCCTTCCCCCACCCCAGAAGTCAGGGCTGTGGGGCTGTTGAGGACCACACGTCCCTGGGTGCCCAGGACAGTAACACTGAGGAAGAAGTGGAGACGTGTGTCATGGGACAGGACTCAGGACCTACCTGCTGTCCTTGGTGGCACCAGCCCGGGCCTGGCCTCACCCCACGCTGCAGGGGCCGGGTCTGGCCGCCCCTCTACGGCCCTGTCTCCGTGCTGCTTTGAGTCTACCGGGAGACAGCGCGTCAGCAGGACGGGGACACAGTCCCAGCTCTTTGATACTCGATCTTCCGCCTGTCCCTCCCTTCGTGTCTCCTTCCTCCCTTCCTCTTAATCACTCACCAGCTTGCCTCTGAATGTAGGCCATGTACTCCTCGGGCTGCAGGGCGGGGTGGCAGAGAATGGCCTGGGGAGCAGCGCTGGGTGGGGGCCGGAGGAGGGGGTGAGGGCAGAGCCGAGGAGTTCGGATGGTCAGCACGTAAGAACAGGACAAGGGCTCGTCCACTCGGTCAATGTAGTCCCCAGAGATACCAGCGCCCTCATCGCAGAGGAACTGCCAGGACGGGAGGACGAATAGTGATCACCACCAACCATCACTGTTGGTTCTTAGCACAGCTGGCTGCTCTAAGGACTCACAGTCTGTCAAGCATGGTGCTCTGTGCGTTGTGTATATGGGGCTATAGATGCACTGTTGTTTCGTTGCTACATTGGATCTGCCTTTTTTGCAACCCTGTGGACTGTAGCCCGCCAGGCTCCTCCAGCCATGGGATTTCCCAGGAAAGAATACCAGAGTGGGTTGCCATTTCCTTCTGCAGGGGATCTTTCTGACCCAGGGATGGAACCCCCGTCTCCTGCACTGGCAGGCGGATTCTTTACCACTGAGCCAGCAGGGAAGCCCTTTACACGCATTAGCTCATTTAATTATCACAACAACCCAGTAAGGGAGGTCATAGTTATCTCAACTCTGTGGCTCAAGATACTGGGGTTTGATATAGTTGAGGGACTTGTTCAGGCTGACCAGCTGGTAAGTTGTAAAAATATGAATTGAACTTCGGCAACATAACTGTAGGTAACCAGCTGATTCCTGTTTCGTGTTCTTGCTTTATGTAAATACAGTATGTACATACTTACACATATTTGATATATATTTTTATATGTATTTGAAATACGTATATTCCGTGTGTGTGCATGCATGTGTGTATGACTTAAAAACAGCTTCAAACAGTTCTAAGTTCTTTATATTAATCAGAAAGAGAGTAAAGACATCAATTAATGTTAGCCTTTGCTAGGCCAGGATTCACCATTGTCATTTCTGGGGCTTCCCTGGTGGCTCAGCAGTAAAGAATCCGCCTGCCAATGCAAGAGATGTGCGTTCGATCCCTGGGTCAGGAAGATCCCCTGGAGAAGGAAATGGCAACCCACTCTAGTATTCTTGCCGGGAAATTTCATGGACAGAGGAGCCTGGCAGGGCTCCGTGGGGTGGCAAAGAGTCGGACATGACTGAGCGCGCGCACACACTGTAATTTCTAAAGTAACCATTACAAGTAGAAGAGAGGCCCCACTTCTCAGCAGCAGCACAAGGAGCCCTGCAGGTCCGCCCCCTACTGAAAGTCCATAACTGGAGAACACTTTTTTTTAAACTCAGGCATTTAAAATCCCTGGAAATTTTACTAAGGACATACAACAAATTAAGAAACATCTATTCAAGAAAATCCACTAAATCTTGAATAGTGAAAGTTTGCAGTACTTGGGCCATGACCCTCCTTCTTTCCCCCCAACCCTGACTTCACAGCTCAGACAGATGCTCCACTCCAGATGAGTAAGGTCCAAAAAAATGGGCCTTCTATCCCCTTGGCATCCAGTCAAGGGATACAGTATATCACCAGAGGGGCAGGCCACCAATATTGCTCAATCCTCTCCAGTTACAAGTTGCAGAGAATAAATTCCTGCTGAATATGGTCAAGAGACTGAGGACTCCCTTCCTCCACTCAGCCCCACTCACAGGACAGTGGCTGAACCTCAGGTGCAGGACAGGAATACTGGGCCTTGATCACCCTCACACAGATCACTAAAAGGGCAGAGGTTCCACAACAGAGATGAGAGCTGAGAGGACCAGAGGCTATCACCCCTGCCCAGGTCTCTGCTCATAAAACAGGAGTGTCACTCTGACAGAACTGGGTCAGTGTCTCTGACATCAGCTCCAGAGCAGGGCCTTAGAGATTCTGCCAGGGGGAGAGGCAATCCATTAGAACAGAAAGCTCCAAAGCTCCTTCCAGATGAACTGACTTCTTGTGAAACAGTATGAGGAAGTTTAAGCCTAAGGGCACTTTCCAAAAAATGAAAAAAATGGTGGTAAGCACTAAAGAAGAAGCTGGTATCATCAAAAACAACCCTGGTACAGAAGCCCAAATTTAACTGGATCAGATTATGGGGCAACTTATGCCCCACATGTCAAAGATTAGAGAGCAGTTGGATAGCAATCAATGAGTGTGAGCAGCTGGGTATGCTGCCAGCAGAGGCAGACAGATCAGCACTTCAGCAAGAGAGACGGCCACAGGGGGCCGTGCTGACACCACCAGCACCCACGTGGCGGTGGGCGTGCCCGCGGCTGTGCCCTCGGGGGGTGACAGGAGGAGGAGCAGGCCTCATTAAAACAGCCCAGCCAAGTCACGAAAGAAACAAGCAGGTGACCAAAGCAAGTCGCACGGTGGAGGCCAAGAATCAGTATCCAGACTTGCCCCAATACATTACCTAAAAGGCATTTTTTAATATATTTTTGTTCACTTTTCAATAAAAAAATTATGAGCTGTGCAAAGAAACAAAGTGTGACCCATACACAGGAAAAAAGCAGGCAACAGAAAATGCCTGTGAGAGGATAGAGATGTTAGATTTCAGAGAGAAACGTTTTGAAGTCACTATGATAAATTCAAAGAGCTAAAAATTTGAATCATATAAAGTATGTTCTCCTATAATTAAAAAAGATACATGCACCCCCTATGTTCACAGCAACACCATCTACAAAGACAGAGCACGCAAACAGCCTCAATGGCCACTGACAGACCACTGCGTGAAGAAGGTGTGGTGCATGTGCGCTGGGATCCTGCTCAGCTGTGAGAAAGAATGAAATAACGGCACCCGCAGCAACATGGATGGGCCTCTAGAGATTATCATACTAAGTGAGGTAAGTCAGAGAGAGAAAGACAAATACCGTACATGTCACTTACATCAATCTAAAGTGTGACACAAATGAACTTATCTATGAAACAGAAATTGACTCACAGACATAGAGAACGGACTTGTGATTGCCAAGGGGGAAGGGAGGTGGAGAAGAGGATTGGAAGTTGGGGGTTAGCAGATGCGAAAGTGAAAGTCGATCAGTCATATCCGACTCTTTGTGACCCCAGGGACTATATAGCCTGCCTGGCTCCTCTGCCAATGGAGTTCTCCAGCCAGAATACTGGAGTGGGTAGCCATTCCCTTCTCCAGGGGATCTTCCCAACTCAGGGATCGAACCCAGGTTTCCCACATTTCAGGTGGATTCTTTACTGTCTGAGCCACAAGGGAAGCCCAAGCAGATGCAAACTATTATATGTGAAATATGGATAAACAAGGTCCTGCTGCATAGCCCAGGGGACTATATATATGCGGACTGGATAACAAGGTCCTACTGTATAGCCCAGGGGACTATATATATGCAGACTGGATAAACAAGGTCCTACGGTATAGCCCAGGGGACTATATATATGCAGACTGGATAAACAAGGTCCTACTGTATAGCCCAGGGGACTATATATATGCAGACTGGATAACAAGGTCCTACGGTATAGCCCAGGGGACTATATATATGCAGACTGGATAAACAAGGTCCTACTGTATAGCCCAGGGGACTATATATATGCGGACTGTATAAACAAGGTCCTACTGTATAGCCCAGGGGACTATATATATGCAGACTGGATAAACAAGGTCCTACTGCATAGCCCAGGGGACTATATATATGCAGACTGGATAAACAAGGTCCTACTGTATAGCCCAGGGAACTATATATATGCAGACTGGATAACAAGGTCCTACTGTATAGCCCAGGGGACTATATATATGCAGACTGGATAAACAAGGTCCTACTGTATAGCCCAGGGAACTATATATATGCAGACTGGATAAACAAGGTCCTACTGCATAGCCCAGGGGACTATATATATGCAGACTGGATAACAAGGTCCTACTGCATAGCCCAGGGGACTATATATATGCAGACTGGATAAACAAGGTGCTACTGTATAGCCCAGGGGACTATATATATGCAGACTGGATAACAAGGTCCTACTGCATAGCCCAGGGGACTATATATATGCAGACTGGATAAACAAGGTCCTACTGTATAGCCCCGAGAACTATACATATGCAGACTGGATAAACAAGGTCCTACTGTATAGCCCAGGGAACTATATATATGTGGACTGGATAACAAGGTCCTACTGTATAGCTCCAAGAACTATATATATGCAGACTGGATAACAAGGTCCTACTGTATAGCCCCGAGAACTATATATATGCAGACTGGATAAACAAGGTCCTACTGTATAGCCCAGGGAACTATATATATGCAGACTGGATAAACAAGGTCCTACTGTATAGCCCCGAGAACTATATATATGCAGACTGGATAAACAAGGTCCTACTGTATAGCCCAGGGAACTATATATATGCGGACTGGATAACAAGGTCCTACTGTATAGCTCTGAGAACTATATATATGCAGACTGGATAACAAGGTCCTACTGTATAGCCCCGAGAACTATATATATGCAGACTGGATAAACAAGGTCCTACTGTATAGCCCCGAGAACTATATATATGCAGACTGGATAAACAAGGTCCTACTGTATAGCCCCGAGAACTATATATATGCAGACTGGATAACAAGGTCCTACTGTATAGCCCAGGGAACTATATTCAATATGCTGTGATAAACCATAATGGGAAAGAATATGAAAAAGAATGTATATATATGTATAACTGAATCACTTTACTGTACAGCAGAAATCAATAATTGTAAGTCAATTATATTTCAATAAAATACATTTTTTTAAAAACAGGGACAAAGTATGTTCTCTAACCACAGTGTAATGATATTAGAAATTAATAACAAAGAAATCTGGGGAATTCACAAATATGTAGAAATTAATACACTCCTAAGTAACCAATGGCTCAAAGAAATAACAAGAAAATTAGAAAATACTGAGATGAATGAAAACACAATGAAGACATAATTTATCAAAACTTATGGATGCAGCTAAAGCAGTGCTTAGAAGAAAACTTTTACCTGTAAAGTATAAAAAAGAAGAAAGATATCAAATCCATAACCTGAACTTCCACTTTGAAACTAGAAAAGAAAGAGCAAACTAAACCCAAAGCAAGCAGAGGGAAAGAAATAATACAGATTAGAAAAGAAATGAATGAAATAGAGGACAGAAAAATAATAGAGAAACTAAAAGTTGATTATTGAAAAGATCAATAAAAGTGACAAAACTTTAGTTAGACTGATCAAGG